TGTCCGACGCGGAGGCGAGCTGCCTGCCGCTGGCGACGGCCACGGCGTGGACGGCCCTGAACTGGATGCGGCCTCTGGTGGTGGGCGGAACGGTGCTGCTGCAGGGCACGAGCGCCACGGCGCTCGCGGGCTTGCAGATTGCCAAGGCGGCCGGCTGGACGGCTGTCGTGACCGCCCCCACGGACGAGCTGGGCAGCAGGGCCAGGGACGAGCTCGGCGCCGACGCCGTTGTGAATTACCAGACGCACTGGGCGTGGGAGGGCGACGTGCTCCGCGCGACGCACGGGCGTGGCGCAGACGTCATCTTCGAGACGGGAGACGGCGCGCGCACGCTGCGCAAGAGCTTCAAGTGCGTCGCGTTTGGCGGCGTCATCAACTGCTTGGGGGGCGGCAGCAGCGCCGTCCCCGGCGGCGGCGGTGGGGACGACGGCGGCGGGGACGGCAAGACGCCCACGCTGCACAGGATGGATGTGAATGCGCTGGCGCTGGCGCGCAGCGTCACCATCAAGGGGGTGCTCAACGGCGGCCGCGATCGTCTCGAGGAGGCCCTGGCGTTTTATGAGAGCAGGGGCATCCGGCCGGTCGTGGATCGCACGTTTGCGTTTGCTGAGGCGGGCAAGGCGCTGGCATATGTCAAGGAGGGCAAGGGGTTTGGTAAAGTGGTGATTGTGGTGGACGAGGGGGGCGATGGGGAGAAGAAGCCCGAGGAGGCCAGTTGAGCTGGTCATGGGCCGTGAGAGGATATATGAAGTGGGCGTGTTGTACATTGGATGGGCTTTGCTTTTGGACAATGAAGAATGAATGACGCAGCATGTAAGAAAATGATAAAATAAGTTTCCGCACCTCATCAACCATGATGTACACTAGAAAAGATATCGATACACCTCGGCTTTTTTTTCATACACGGGAAAAAAAAAGCCGTTTTGTAAGCCTCCAAGATGCAGTGTTTATACTATAAGACATGCCGAGCCGTTCTCCTTCTTTCGCTGCTGTTTCGCCTTTGTAATACACACACGCTCATGTAATCTTCACATCTCTGCGTCCCCTCTTTCATCGCGCAAACACCTTGACGACGCCGTCGCCGCCGCCACTCACCACCCACTTGCCGTCCTGGCTCCAGACGCACGCGCAAACGCCCTCGCCGCGCATGACGCGGTGGCTCGTAATCTCCTGCACGCATGAGCGCTTCTCCAGACTCCAGAAGCGCAGCGACGCGTCGTGCCCCGCGCTGACGAGCTCCCGCCCGTCGGGGCTGAGCGACAGACTGGAGATGGCGTCGGGGTGCGCGAGCATGTTGTACGTGCACTGGCCTAGAGAGAATGATTAGTTGAGTGCGGCTGAAGGGGGGGAAGTGCTGCGTGACATACCGCTGTTGGCATCGAAAAACCGCACGAAGCGGTCCTCGTGGCCGGTGATAATGGTGCCTTCCACGCCGCTGCCTGCCATGGAACGCCCGCCCGTGGGCCCGCCGCCGCCCGATTCGTCCTCATGAATCTTCCCGCTGTGGTGCTGGTTGCTGGCCTGGTCGAGGCCCATGGTCGTGGCGACGACGGCGTTGACGCTCGTCTTTTCCGTACCGTCGTACGTCTCCATGCTGTCCATCTGGCCGACCTGCTCGCCCGTGCGCGTGTCGTAGACCACCACGGCGGCGTCGGCGTACGCCACGACAAAGGTGTCGCCCGCGGGGCCGAGCGGCGCGATGCTCGTCGGGCTGGCTGTGGTGGCGCCGTCGGGGCGTGTGATGATGTGCACCAGCGTCTGGTGAAAGGGCGAGTTGGACGCCGTGCTGGGCTGCGGCGAGTTGGGGAACCCGCTGCCTGAGCTCATGGAGTTGCCGCGCACACGGCGGCCGGCCACGCCTCGGTTGGAGCCGCCCGGCTGCGGCGAGGTGAGCTGCGGCGGGGCGCTGACGGACCACAGGCGCACGGTGCCGTCGGCCGCACCCGACACAATCAATAAGCGGTCGGGCGTGCCAAACTGGCTCGTGTTGCCGAATATGGCCCCTAGAGTCGTGGGCAGGACGCACAAGGCCCATACAGCATCGGTGTGACCTTCGAGCGTCGCTTTAGGATCCACCCGGCCGCGCTCCCAAACGCGGATCGAGGCATCTTGGCCGCCCGAGAAGATCCAGCCATCGCCTTGCGCGCGGCCGCCTGTGGAAAAGTTGGGTGCTGGCGACCACGATGTGAGGGAGAGAACGGCACCGTTGTGACCGCGGTGGGTAAAGTTGGCAATGACGTCGAGATCAGAGGCGCCATGGCCCATGCCGGAATGCGTGTCGAGTCGCGGGATGTGGAATCGCTTAATCATGCCGTCGTCGCCGGCGGTGCAGATCTCCGGCTCGCCGGGACTGCCACCGCCAGAGAAGATGACGGTGCGCACAGTGTTGAGGTGGCCGCGCAGCCCAAATCGCAGCTTAAAGTTGCCGCTGTCTGCCTTTTGCGAAGCAAGGCTTAGTTCTTGTTCGCTGCTCCGGCGCCTCGACAGGGAACTCTTTCGGCGCTGGCTGCCAGGCACGCGACCGGGCGATTTCGGCATGTAGTCTGCGTGGGGAAACACGTCTGTGTCCGGACGGTTCGAGGTAGAGGGGTTGCGGGCCTGGGCAGTGTCGGGCAGCGCGCCCTCAGAAAAATCCCACCCGTCCGAGTCTGGTGGTGCAGGCGTTCGCTCGCGGCTCTCGGATTCGTGCAAAGTCTCAACAGCTTGTGAGGCGCCAACAGAGTCATCGTTGACAGCTCTCATAGAGACGGATATAGGGGCCGGCCAGTCGTTGGAATTCCGATATTGCGGCTGCTCCTCTGTGCGGACCATGACCTGCGGATGCGAGTCCGAGGGCTTCTGGCTGAAGCTGGATGACGGATCGTGCATCGAGACTGTCGTGCCGCTAGCTGGATTTTGCCTCGAATTCATTTCCTGGACGTGGTTCTGAGCAGGTCGTGAAGCTAGTTGAAATTGCCGGGCATCTTGAGGCGGACCAAGCCCGTACGGGTCGACCTCGCGCAAGTCCTCCATCATAGGTAGAGGCGGTGAGTCTCTCGGGGGTAACGGATTCGCTGGTGCAATCATGAGGTACATGAATTCGGATTGGCACTGGTCCAGGAAAGTCTTGAGTTCTTGCCTGTGTGCGTCGTCGTCGGTACGCTCGATTTCTACCCCGTCGACGCCAGGGACTGGCTGTTTCTCTGGAATTCCTGCACATCTGTCAATATCAATTGGGGGAGGAGGTGCCAAGGCCACCGACCGTGCAATTTTTCTTTGATTTTGGCATCGCGGTCCTTTTTGGCATCAGTGTCGGCCGTATTGTCTGGGTTTGTGCCCTTGAGCTGGGCAGTCTGGTCCTTGACCTTGCGCTCAAGAATGGCGACATATTTGCGCAGGGCTTTTTGCGTAGCATCGGCGCGTCGTGCCTGTCCCTCGAGGTTGGCTATCCTGGACCTCATCTCCTGGTTCTCAATCTCCCACGCATTTCTGTCGCGCTCGTGACGGTGCCATTCGGTCTGGAGGAAGCGCATAACGCCCTGCAGGGTGTATTCTGTCGCTTGGGGTACGTTGGGGCCATTGTTCTGCATCGTAGGCCCCATTTCCATGCCGCCGAAGCCATTTCCAACGTTGGGGCCCATCATGGCGCGCCAGTGGTGCAGCTGAGCGAGCTCATCGAGGAGCAGCCTCCCCAAGACGCGGCGGCGGGCGGTGTCAGGGTGCCCTCGCGACAGGCAGAGGGGTAAGACCAATGGACCGGTTGGATACAAAGAGCCGACGAGATGAGGTGTAAGCGAGGACGATTCGTGGCGTTTGGGGCGAACAAGGGCGTAAAATTTGGCTTGCAGAAAAGTAGTCTGAAGCAAGGCCACGGGCGCTCTCTTCAAGCTCCCAACTGCTGAGCTTGGTGGCGTCCTTCTCTGCTGTGTGGCCCCAGCCAATGGGCGTCGCGTATCGACGGTCAGGCCACAAGGCACCAATTATATTCAGCCCCTGGAAATCGCCTAGGATGTTTGGCGCGGAAACAAGGAAAGATGTTATCAGCAAGTGCAATTAATCGCGGAACGATGCATATCTCATTCATCCCAGTGCGACATAACTAGGTTTTTCTTGTCGTTTATTTAAACCGACCGCCCCGTTCTCCTCTCTGGCGAATCTTGGTTGGTGATGATCTACACATCAACAACGCCTAGGTATTTCACGGAAACCGATGCCCCTTCGCCAATTCCTTGGAAATTCGCCATTCTTCCGATTCTGCCTGGATCGCTTTACCAAATGCTTCCCGCCAACCGCCGATAGTGTTGTCTTTGTGTCCAAGGCCGCCCCATTCCCATTCAACCCAGGACTCGGCCCGAGAGCCCTCTGGCGCATGAAAAAGACCCATGGAGATGTCGACTTGGTCGGGCAAGTCGTCCACTGCGTAAAAGACGCTCGCAGAGCAGCGTGAACAGTAGTAACGCTGCACATCTGGTGAGCTTGCGTAAAAGGTGAGGGTGCCGAAGCGGCTGTCTTCGCCTGCTTGGACCGCTGTTTTCAGATCGCGTGTGTTTGCAGGAAAGTCTCCGTCGTCCCGACTGCCAGTGCCGAAGCAGAGCTGTGCAACTCTGGCAAACGTCCAATGCATAAGCGGCACGCCGACCATGAACCTGCAACTGTCGCAGGCATCGTAGGCGGCAACAGGCTTCAACGTGGTAGGATTCACCCAACCCGGTAGTTTTCCCTGCGCCTTGAGCTTGCTGAAATCCTCATTGCCGCGCCGTAATGAGAAATCGACGCCTTTGCACAGACACTGGATACGCACACTATCCTGCGAAGAACAGCTGGCGATCCTTTCCTGGCAGGATGCCTGCGGTGGCCAGTCGCTATCAAGCAACCCGCCCGCTTCACCACGACCCTTTCGCCAGCGACGAATCGGCTGAGAGGGCCCATTCAGGTTCTGCATGTAGACTGAGGCGCCGCCATCCAGAGTGTCTCCGACCCAAAAGTGCTGGGCAATCCTCACCAGGTCGACGTTCAAGTTCGGCAGCAAACCAGCGGCAAGGTAAAAGACATCAGGAGCCCCGTCCTCGTTCATCTTCCGCGCAAACACAGGCGTCCCGCAGGTCCCGCAGAACAGTATGACTGAACTCTTGGACAGGCTATATCTCTGAAGAGAGGAACTCAGAATGGCTTCTGGCGAGCCTGGCCACTCGATTGCACACGTGTACATGCCACCTGTGAGGTGGCGGCATTCGTTGCAGTGGCAGCAGCTAGCTGCTAATGGTAACTTGGCAGCGGGAAGTGATGCCGAAAAGGAGTGCGAGTTGCACAGACAGTGCACACCTATGTTAATGTCATTCGAGTCGGTCATTGTGAACGAAGAGGTTGGAGAATATCTTAGCAGATACTGACACTAGAGCTAGATTGCTCGAGTTTATACGCTTGCTAGCTAGCCTCGCCAGCTGAGCGTAACGCGGGGTTCACACCAAGCTTCAGCCCTGTTCCACCATGAATGCTTCGCTAGTGTCTAGGCGGCTGAAAGTAACGGGTCGATCTGCTCTGCTGTGCATCTGTGTGGAATAGCTTTGAGTCAACCTCCACTTCTAGTGGCTGGATCACGAACTGGAGTAAATGGGCAAGTCAATCTTATGTATCATGTATATGTACGTCTAAAACAGCGTATGTGGTGCAATCTGCTCATTTCACCAATCATTTGTTCCATTCGCCGGCAATCCAGCGGTTGAAGAAGTCCAGAGAAGACACAGGCTGGTCCTCGGGAACCATGTGTCCAGCTCCGTAGATCTGCATAAAGTTGAAGTTTCCAGAGTGAGTGACCTTGCCATACTCCTTGCCGCTACCACCCAGCTTCAGCGGTACTTCCGGCGCCTTGTTAAAGGCAGCCTTGCCAGGCCACTCCAGGGCTTTTGCCCAGGCGCGGTTGCCGAGCCAGTTGCAAATGTAGTCGGCATCACCCGCGTAGATAAGGACGGGAATCTTGGCGAGAAGGCCGGGAACGACACGCCAAATGGGCTTCATCCAGTCACCGGTCCTGGAAAAGGCCTGGTAGACGCTGCTGTCGCACAGGGTCCATGCATGCTCGGCACCGATAATCTTGGTGGTGTAGTTGCTGGTGAGGAACTGGGTGCTATAGTCGGGCGTTCCCTCGCCGTCCTGCTTTCGGATGTCGTAAACATCCCGCCCAGAACGACTGTAGACACCGAGGACGTTTGAGTTGCAGTAGTTGGTCGCGCTCTGGCAAGTGGACGCATTCTCGGTGTCGTAGCAGCTCTGGATACGTCTTTGGCACTCGGGCAGTGCATTGTCCATAGATTGGCAGTACTGCTGGCTCAACACCGCCGGGTAGCCGCCCTCGCCGCAGGCCATTGGGCGGTAATACTTGTACTGGGTAAGAGGCTCCGTCAACCCGTTGCCAACGAGGATAGACTTGAGGTTGATGTTGCGGCTGGCGTGGGAAAAGATCTCGGCCGCCGCGACGGGGATGTAATGGCCGGCGTAGGACTCGCCCGAGATGTGAAAGTCCTGCTTAGCGTACTGAGGGTACTGCTGGAAGAAAAAGGTCAGCAGCGAGTACAGGTCCTTGGCGCTGGCCACGCTGGTGCCGTCGTTGGATCCGCTGTAGGAAAATCCCGTGTTGACGGGCTGGTCGACGAAGATGACCGAGGCATTGTTGTTCCAGGAGTAGGGGTTTCTCTTGGGCTTCAAGTCAGGGTTCGGGATGGTGGCGGGACCGAGCTCGGTAAAGAGGCCGTTCATGGAAGAGCAGCCCGGTCCGCCATTAAGCCAGAGGACGACGGGGTCCTTGACAGGGTCATTACGAGACTCAAAGAACCCTTGCCAAAGTCAGTCAAGGGAAGCTGGGTCCGGGGTATGAGTGAAAGAGTACATACAGAAGAACAAGTGCTTATCGCTGGCATTGTCGTCAATGTAGCCGCTCAGTTGCTTGACGGTGTCGACCTTGAGCGCAGACGGGTCAACAATTCTCGACCGTAGTGAATAGTCCACCAGATAACCATCCGTCCTGGCCGTCTCAGTCGATCGCTGGCTCAAGATGTCGGAGCCGTGGAGAATGTGATCCCACTCTTCGTCGGGAACACGGTTGATGCGACCGGCAGCATCAGCCGTGGTCAAGAGGCCCAAGAAAAGGGCAGACACGGACAACTTCATTGTGTAAGATACTAGACGGGCAACGGTTGAAAAAATAGCAACCTGACTAGAGAGAACAAAACGGCTCGGGGAGAGGAGCGAGCGGGTACTCTTTAAACATTTCATACCGGTCACTTAACTCTACTTGATAATGACGACAACGGCTGCTTTGTGCGCTGGCGATCTCTTGTCGGCAAGCTCATGACACAAAGCGAGCGCATCGTATTGGCGGGCCGTCTCTGTGGCCTAGAGCAGGATCGGGAAGGTGAATGAACAGGCTGGGCCACTTGGACCACCATAATGGTGAGAGTAGCATCGTCCGTGGAACAGCATGGAGCAGATGATGCAACCTGGAGGAATAGCCTAATGAGGCATGTTGTAAAAAACATGGGCCAAGCTCGAGCTAAGCCGGTACGGAGCGGATTCGGGCCTATCGGATCAGCATCACAGGGACGAGTTTCTTCGGCGAACTGAAAGAGGGGGTTTTGATGGCCGAAGCAACTGAGACATGTGCATTAGATAACAATCCTTAAGTGCGGGATGGAATATTCTTTCCGTGACCATGGTGCTGTACTCCAGCATCCAGTATCCCAACTAATCCAAGTTGAGCAAGTCGTTAAACTAATAAGGTCGTATTTAGGCTAACGACATGGATGCAGCCATAATCGTGAACCTTGGAATTCATCATGATTCACTAGGGGCAGATGCCGGTGGCTGAAACCGTGCTGCTGTTCTGCTATTCTAGTCAGTTATACGGATATCTACTAGTTATTGGATTCATGCTCGTCGATAATTGATTGCTCCCCACACAAATCAGGCAAGGAAAAGACACCTGCAGGCTATAAGATCAGCAGCAATGGTTATCAAATACGGCCCTGAAACCTAAAATTCCAGTGGCGCCAGCCCCCCGAGATCAGGCTCCAAATATATGTTATTCCAATGCCCGAGGGCAAGCAATCAAGGTTACAACAGATGTGCGGGCCGTCCAAACCAGAAGCGGCAGTTCCGCCAACAATGAGTCGGTCAGTCCTTGATTGCATACAGTTGCCACTTCTAGAAAAGACCTTTTGTAGCTACATTTTTCCGACGGCTTTATATTAGGTACGCTTCCTCATGGATGAGGAAGCTCGCTCGGTCATGCGACCAAATTAGGGCGTTGAGGGGTAACTACAGGGTAATCCACCAACGACTGGATGCTGCGGAAAAAGAAGCTTTGGATACATTACCGAGAGGAGTCTAATTAGCAGGAGAAAGGGGTGTTTAAGAAAATAATGGACATGAAATAGAGAGGGAAAAGCTCAATCAAGTTGTCCGGCTATCTTTTCCACGGCGCCGGGTGCAAGTCATCAGCGGCATGGCATGCATCATCCGAAAAGTTGGCTATTAATAACAAGCACGCAAATGAATACCGGAGCATCTCAGGGCAATGCAACGTTGACTGACAGTCACAGTCAGTACTATGCCAAGACACAATAAAGTAACTATGCAGTATACGCTCATCAAGTGAAAACGGTTATCGACTTCATCTGCACCCCGTCGTTGAACTGTTGCCAAAACCAGATCCTGCCAAGAACGGGCTGGTTTATAGCGCCAAACGCCGCTGGAAAGTGATGGAGAAGACCAGATCCAGGGCAAATACCTCCGAGTCGCCAAGCTCGAGTTACCGTTGGAGATTTTTCTTTCTTTTTTTCTTCTTCTTTTTTTTCTTTTTCCCACCAACTGCGTTTTCTTGCTGTGAATTTTGTTTGCGAGGGTCTACTGTCGAGAGGAGATGTAGCCCATCTCGACCAGCAGAGTCTCAGGCTGTTGGTCGTCGGCACAGTACAGGTGTCAATCGAGGATAACATCATATGCATCTCTGAAACAGTCGAAAAAATACATTTTTGTGAATCGAGTCAATAAAAAATATGTCAACCCTCGCCAGTCTGCAGCTTCGTAGTAATGTCGCCGCAGCTGGCCTATTGCCCATAAATACCAGCAACGCACGGCCCTGATTGGCCGGCCCGCCCTGGCAACCCAGACAGAAAATCTCACTAGGATAATTCCATGTTCGCGACGACCCAGCTTCATCAGGCAGTGACCCTCCTATACACATCACCATTGAAAGCCGCTAGAGCTTTTAGCATCAGTCGCAATGCTCTGTGGAAGTGAGCATACTATTCAATGACACCTGCCCCTCGAGACTCTTTGCTAACGGCACCCCCAGTTTCTGGAGAAGCTCCCCAAGAGCCAGTCGCGTCGAAAAAGTCAGGTTCGTCGCATCGCAACTTCCCGGGCCAATGACATCGACTCTCCGCGTGACTAACAATCCCGCAGGCGTCGTCTACGAGAAGCGTCTCATCGAGCAATACGTCAACGAGCACGGCACCGAGCCCAGTACAGGCGAGGCTCTCACAGTCGAGGACCTCCTCCCCATCACCTCATCCCGCATCGCGCGTCCGCGCCCGCCCACACTGACCTCGATACCCGCGCTGCTCGCCACCTTTCAGAACGAGTGGGACAGCCTCGCCCTAGAAACATATAACCTGCGTGAGCAGCTGGCGCGCACGCGAGAGGAGCTGGCCACCTCGCTGTACCAGCACGATGCCGCCGTTCGCGTCATTGCCCGCCTGACCAAGGAGAGAAACGAGGCTCGGGATGCTCTGAGCAGAATCACTGTCTCTGGCGCCAACGCCGACGAGATGGCTGTTGACACAGAAGGCTTACCCGAAGCCCTGGCAGACCGCGTAGACCAAGTCCATCAAGAGTGCGTCACGATACACAGAGTCGCTCCCCCCACACACTAACATTGGTTCTTTCAGACTTTCCAAGGGCCGCAAGAAGCGTCCTGTACCCAAAGACTGGGTCACTCCCAGCCAAGTTGCCGCTTTCGAGGTCACAGCTACGAACGCGCTGCCTGTTGCGCAAACAACAAGCTTGGATACCGAGGGTGCCTACGCTGCTATTGGAGGGCTACAGGGCCAGGCCGCCATCTACGCTGTAGCGGCCGACTCTCTGGAGCGCGAGATTTCCGTCGGCGAGCCCGCGACCACCACGCTGTGGACCGGCTCCAAGCTCATATTTGGTACCAGCAACGGCGGCCTCAAGGTTTTCGAAGCCGGCAACCAGGTCGCTGCCGCGTCAGAGCACGCAGGGCCTACTACTGGTCTGAGTATCCATCCTAGTGGCGACATTGTTGCCTCCGTTGGTACTGATAAGGGCCTTATTCTGTACGAGTTGGACAGCCTTAAGCGTGTGAGCCGCACATATGTTGATGCCTGTAAGTATACATGTCTATTCCTCAATACATTGGAGTCCAAGTCCTCTAACATGCACAGCACTCACAACCGTGGCTTTCCACCCTGATGGCCATCTCGTCGCTGCTGGCACTGTCACTGGTGATGTGAAGTTATATATGACCAAAACGCTCGAGCAGGCGGCCGTCTTCAAGCTGGGTGCCCCCATCCAGGCCCTCGCATTCTCCGAGAACGGCTTCTGGCTAGCAGCTACCGCCAAGGGCCAGAACTCGGTCACAGTATTCGACCTTCGCAAAGAGGGCGATGCCGCCACGGCCAAGGTTCTCGAGACTGGCGGTGCCGTTGAGTCACTTGCGTGGGATTTCACCGGCCAGTACCTAGCCACCGCTGGTCCCTCGGGCCTGACTATCCAGCAGTACGCCAAGGGCGCCAAGAAATGGACAGAGCCGTTTCGCAATTCCACTGGCGCCGTTGCTGTGCGATGGGGCGAGTCGGGCAAGACTCTGGTTGCCGTCAATGGAGACGGAGTTGTTAGCGTTGTCGGTGTCAAGGCGTAAAGGAGGGGAGAGATGATTCTGTCTGTATCATATCTGGTCAACAGGTATTAGTAATGTTTTCTAGCCTAAACACGGCATTTCAAAAGCAGTGGCACTGAGGTGAATTTACTGGATACTATAGCTGTTTTTGTATTTTTATTGAGTCATTCGCTATTCGTTGAGGGAAGACTGGCTGAATGAGGAGTTCTATAGTAGTTAACCATGCGGCTGCTGCGTGAACAATGAAGTTCTGCACTGGAAATACAGGTCGGGATAGCGTATCGGCTGTGGGCTCCACCTGTCGGAACCCGCCGACAGACGGTCTATAGTTGACGAGGCCAAAGGCAAAGGGCAAAATATGAACCCTTTACTCTTCGGAAGTTGCAAAATGAATTCACCAAGTTTACCCAACATCCGGAGTCTAAGAACTCTTTCCAATGCGCACAAATGCGCCGCCTTGGACCTTTTATTCGAGCCCAGTCCGGAAATTCACAAAACCTTGATCCCCGTCTCTGAGGCAGCCGAGTACACGTCGTACAATGAATTCATCGAGTCCTGCCGCCAGGCCCTCGTCTCCATGGCGTCCCAGTCGACCACGACCAGACCCAACGAGACGCTGCTAGCCATTCTCGGTTCTCACCCGCGCCTGGGCGCGAAAAAGGTCGAGTCGGCGCAGTCGGCGGCCGAGCAGGCCAAGCTGGGTGGCGGGGAGAGTGAGGCGCTGGCGCGACTGAACCGCGATTACGAGCAGCGGTTCCCAGGTCTGCGCTACGTCGTCTTTGTAAATGGCCGCGGCAGGGAGGACATTATGCGGGATATGGAGGCGCGCATCGCCAGGGGCGACTTTGGGAAGGAAGTGGACGCGGCACTGCATGTAAGAAACTCTCTATTTTTTTCTCGTTTTGAGCAACATGACTGAAGTGTGGAAACTGACCTAGAATGGCGCTACAGGCAATGTGTGATATCGCAAGAGATAGAGCGGCGAAGCTGCCTGTTCAAGCAGCCGACCATTTGTAGTCGGCAAAGGGAAATCTCAGGGCCTTGGCATGTCGATCTTTCCGAGAGAGCCATTTATCGCAGCATAGAAAAACAGATAGTTGGAAACGCGCAAACTTGTTTCTACGTGCACTTTTGGCTTTCGCGCTTTATTACCCGCGGAACCACGGAACGGCAATGACACGGGGCGCCCCTGGGAGCCGCGAATTCCGACTACAGCGCCGCGGTTACAGCAATGCTAGAAAAGTCGGACCAACAACGAATTTCTGAAAGTCAAACAAAGGCATAGTAAAAAGAAATGACAGGACCAGAAGAGACTACCTCTTTCGAGATAACGATTCTGTAATTCTGTATAGATTCAGTGGCAGATGGATGGAGCAACCATGGAGCGCGGCGCGGCGCCGTAGCTTGTGCCGTCTCCAGACTGGGCTCGAAATTGCCGAGGCACTATTGGTCCGGCTACCAATGGCTTCAACACCCATCACAACATGTTTGCATGAGGCAGCCTTGGCTTCATCTATAAAAGCACACCGGTCTCATTCAACCAATCCAATTGATTTGTTGTTTCTTCCATTTTGCTAGCCTTGCCAGAACCACCATGACTGGCCCTCAAGGCCAGCTCGGCTTTGAGGCCTTCGAGCTGTCTCGAGTCCCCGGCTCAACCGTGCAATACACATCGAGATATCCCGCATGGCGGCCCGGTGCTGATCTCCCCGATGGTGTGGAAGAACAGCCAACAAAGACCAAGACGAAAAAATCCACCACAACCGGCGTCTTTGGATGTCGTGTATGCGCAGGCGCCGCTAGCAGCTGCGAGAGAAATCGAGTTGGAGGACAAGCAGTCGCAGGCTGCCAAGAAAGGCTACATGGGAATACATGTAAGTTGGAAACTTGGAATCGAGAGTGGCGATACACTAACAGCATTACACAGTCTATTCAGGGCGTCTTTACTGTCGCCGGCCACTCTGACCGTCCCTTTGTGCACGAGGTGACGCCGATACACACGGGCAAGTCCTTTGCGACGCGGCTCGTCCAGACAAGACAGCCAAAGGAGCCGTCTATCCCAGACCCGGCCACGGGCACCTTTGACCCCTCGGACGGCACCAAGGCGCTCAACGGGGTCTGCTTCACCTGCCTCACCACGTTCAAGCGGTCCATGGCCTCGCCCGACGACGTGCAGGAGACGGAGCCGCCGCAGGTGCGGTTTGCCTCGATCCTCGCGCAGCGGCGGCCCGACGCGTGGGACCGGCCGCGCATCGTGCACATCGACTCGGTGCAGGACCAGGTGGAGCGCAGCGGCCAGGCCGGGCGGCCCGGCACCTTTCCCGTGCTCGAGATGTACCGCGTCGACATGGCGGCGTACAACGCGGACAGGCCGGTGCCGGAGCGCCGCGAGCTGCTGCTGTACCGCCCGTGCGCGCCGATCCCCAGGGACGACCCCAACGGACACGTCGTCTGCCACGCGTTCGAGGCCGACAGGAACGGGCTCACGATGCTGGGCGGCCACCTCGGCTACGGCCGCCGGTGGGGGCGCGCCGCGAGCCTGAGCTACGCGTTTTACGTGCATGTTAATGCGGAGGAGGCCGTCATGGACGGCGCCGGCTGGTGGGTGCAGGAGGCGGCGTGGCCGCGGGTCGCGGCTGGTCGCTGCACAATGGTTTCCAAGATTTGGAGCCCCGAGGGGAGACATGTTGCGTCTGGGTACCAGGATGGCATGGTTGTGCCCGAGGATCCGAGCAAGTTGTAGACGGGAGGCGAGGTTTGTAGACAGTTGGGTCGGTAGACTTTTCGATAGACTAGAAGTAGATGGGACGAGGAATGGCTAAGAAAGCGCAGAAAGCGATGTTGAACTTGCCAATGCGGATCTTGTTGGCCAAACACTATTAACGTGAACTTGTATTCTATGTGTTAGGAGAATGCGATCGCAAGCACGTCTTGAGGGGGTTGATCGATCGACAGGAGCGGGCACAGAAAGGTCAGGTTGTAGAACACCTTGACTTTCGCTTAGAGGCCAGAAGGCAAGTATATGCGGGTTTTCACTCGTATTTTTTGTTATTCCCTATTAAATTATTAGGGAGTCTGTAATTCCAAATGCAGGAAGCAATCTTAGCACCTCGGGTACCTGCTGCATCAAAGACAACAAACACGGTGACGGGAATAGCCGCCGCCACAAACAACTGCAAAACAACACGGCAACAGGGAAATAAGTAGAGTTTGAGCAGCTGACGAAACACTGTCACTGCGTTGCCTGCTCGACCAACTGGCCTCGGCTGTTCCGCCTGCTGGCGCAACACATCACAGTCACGCAGTTAAGCAGTCGAGTAGTCACTTACACTCGCACGCCTTTTACTGTCCGCTGCTGCCGATAAATTGAAACTGAACCTGCGAATGCGGATCTTATTAGCTCCACACTATTAACGTGAACTTTTATTCTATGCAGTCACATAAGGTATTTACGCAGAAACGCAGCCACTCGGCCACTCACACGCCGTTTGCTGCCAGCTGGCAGCAGCTGGCGACAGTGTCAACACACGTCATGTGGCTGTGTTTATTGCGGCCACTTGCCTATTTATTCACTGCAGGAGCTCTCTAACGCGTTCTCCTTCCTCTCTTCTACTTCTTCTTGTTATGCTTCCGCCCGCAGCTTCTCTTCTCCTCCGCAGCAGTACCGTTCTGCATGGTTGGGTTCTGATCTAGCAGTGATTCATTGCGGCTGCCTTTTTTTACACACATTTCAAATCCGTCTACAGTACACCATGTACAAGTATCCTCCTCCACGATACCAGGCTGCTTCGCTTGCAGCCGAGGCACCCGGAGCAAGCGATGCTCTAGCAATTGATCCCGCGAAAGGCACTGAAGACAAGGAGAGAAACGGAACTGACATAATCCGCGGCTTTATTTTCGAAGAACCACCAGTCAAGCAGTCAACCTTGGGCGAGCTTCTGCCCGGGAAGCTTAAGTCGACACCGCGTCCGCCGCCCTCTTCGCTTCAGGAGGTAAATTTAGCACACAATAATGTTGATTGCCTGGAAGATGCTAACGAACAAAGCTGGAACGCCTCGCTGCGTCTTGCTCTCCGTACGAAAATGTGCAAGCCTGCATGAAGGAGCAGATGATCAAGGCGCTCGCCACGAGGTCCGACTCCATCTTCGTGCACAGCCAGGATGGCAAAACGTACCAAGAACCTTTCGCGGTCCGTGGTGTGCCTATCGAGCGCATTGAAGAGTCGTCTCCTTACTGGCAGCCAAGCTGGTCATCCCTTGAGGAGCTCCTTCTAAAGGAGGAAGTTGCGCAGCAAAAGAAAGCGGAATACCGTGCCCAGGCCGAAGCACTAGGCGTCCCCAAAACGGATAAGAAGCACAAACTCCGAAAAGAGGAGAAGACCGCAAGCGACGATTGCAGCAAGTATGCGAAGATTCGAGAAATCTTTGGCAATGGAAATGGAAAATATCACCCCAACCAGTTGGTCGCCAAAAAGTACATGCCACCAAAGGGGCTATGTGAAAAAGAACTCCTCTACAAACTTGCTCTTAAGATCTCCAATCTTCAAGAGCTTTTTCAGAAGAAGAAGCTGTCTATGGACCCCTACGACTTTTACCGATGGACCATTTGCAAGAATTTGAAGACCGATCTCCACAACGCGCTGAACAACTCTCACAATGGCTTAACTGGCCTCATCCGCACAATGGGAGACGACGGAAAGCATGCAGATCCAGTCTTCCGCACTATTGTCCTCTATTGGGCGTCCCTTACTGGGAACGAAAATAAATTTGGAAAGAACAAGAAAGCATCCACGCCACGCGCTAGGTCGGAGACACGCACCAGGTTGGGGCCATGTAGCGCACGGGAGCCACGCAGCAAGCTATATGAAAAGCAGCACCCCCCGAGCGCTTATCGTGGTCTTGGAGGTCGCGATCTAGCATCTCTAAGCTCGCACAATAAGATGATGCAACGCAGGAAGCGTCGAAACCTGGCGAAGGAAGAGGCTGCTCGGCCCAAGGTTTTTGAAGGAGTAAATGCCCACCGAGCTGAAATGGGCGTGGCGCTGACGAATGGTAGCTGAGGATGGGGAGTATTTGCACCTGGATTTTCTTTTGGCAATTTTATGAAAGTATTTTGGGTTTGGAGTTTGAAATGCTTTATGCTTTGCTCACCTTCTGGGAATCTGCTCAGCGGAATGCACTGGGGCTAAGGTTGAATTGGACACGATGAGGATTGGAGAATCATGATAGCTTATTGAAACTTGGTAGCTGATCAGCAGAAAGCTGCAAATGTATCCCCCGGGCGTTTTGAGGTTTTGAGAGATATCTCGGTCCGTAAGATGGAATAATTACGAAATGAGCTGATGTCGCGGTTCGGCAAAGGTACTTAGTCACGTGAATGCAATACGCAAGATGTGATTGGCCAATTCAAACAAAAACTGGAGCTTTCTGCAACCTTTCCACCCGAAGCAGCTCATCTCACAAATCCCTCGACAACAGGCCACCACTTCTTCTCCATTCGCCTCACCACCAGCAACCCGACCGATTGCACAGAACTGTCGCCTTTGCCCGCCATGTTCATGCAACGCACCGTCATCGCCGCGGCCCGCCGTGCGGCCATCAAGCCGACCGTCGCCCGCACCTTCACTACCTCCTTTGTCCGCCGTATGCAGCTTGATCTCCGACAAAATATCTGTTTTCGACACCAGTGACCACTAACGAAGGCTTGATTGTAGGCGAGGCTGCCAAGGGCCCTTCCACACCCGCTGACCAGGCAGCCGCCCTCTCTGGAGAGAGCAGCAAGTCCATTGGCAGCTACAAGACCTTTACCCGTACGTTTTTCCAGAAATCTATCATCGTTCCGAATGGAGTCATTCGCGACTCCCGACAACATCCGATCGCAACACACCGACAACCAAAATCAATCAATTGAGCTGCGCGCGATGAAAGATGAATGTATGGAGAGCTGATGTTATTATTTATTTAAACAGAGGTCAAGACTGAGGACGACCTGTTCGGACCCGGCGCCAAGGCTGGCACCGTCCCTACCGACCTCGAGCAGTCGACTGGTCTGGAGCGTCTCGAGATTCTCGGCAAGATGGAGGGCGTCGACATCTTTGACATGCGCCCCCTCGACGCTAGCCGCCTGGGCACGATGGAGGATCCCATCAAGGTCCGCTCTGCTGGCGACGAGCAGTACCTCGGCTGCACCGGCTACCCGGCCGACTCTCACGTCGTGACCTGGCTCGGCGTAAGTTGGCATCGCATAGGCTTGTCATCTGGACATTGCGTCTAACACAACAACTAGATCTCCAAGGAGCGCCCCATTGAGCGCTGCCCCGAGTGCGGCAGCGTCTACAAGATGGACTACGTCGGCCCCGAGGACGACCACCACGGCCACCACCACGGCCCCGAGTACCCCGAGCCCCAGACCTTTGCCGACTACATCAAGCCCGAGTACCGCTACCGATGAACGGGTTCGCCTCTGCGCAATCCGGATTTGGGAAATGTAGAGGGGAGATTGTTTGGTTTGGGCGGCGCCGTGTGACGGGATGCTGACGCCACTGTACAAGGAGAGAACATAGAGGAGAAGGAGAGGGAGCGCTGTGCGAATTTTTGGCGTCATAGAAGCAAAGCGCGGAAAAGCATCCCACGCGGCAGAGTGGTGAACTGTAGAATACGGAGAACTTGTTCCCTTTGTTAATTGAAGATTACATCCATCTACCTGCAATCCCGATCAACATCACGGCTCCCGCTGTGACTGTCAGTTTCATGTTGCACACCATTTAGCCCGTATGAAAACGACACTTTAGAATGACATGAAAGTTCAACGGTCTGCCGCCGACGACTAGTTGCCCGTTGCAAACGAGCAATCTGAAGTGGCCTGATGCTCAGCCGCTTAGTCAGGCACCGCGACCAACACTTACCCACTGAGCCTGAAGATTCGGACCTATGCCTCTCATCACGACAACGTACTCTCTTTGCCAACCTTGCAACTCATCACAAGTCCGCGCGCCCCCAACATAACCAACCGTAAAAGGCGGCGGAACAAGCAACCATGCCTGAAAAGTTCAACTCGAAGCATTTATCCTACGCCTCGCAGCCGCCGCCCTTTCTCGCGGCGCTGCAGGCGCAGGCCGCCGGCCACGGCGGTCCGGACCCCATCGCCGCCGGCCGCCGCCGGCCCGGCAAGAAGCGCTCCGACAGCGAGGAGGCCGAGGACGTGCCGCTCGTGGTGGACGAGCGCGGCAACGTGGTCGCGCTAGCGGTGGACAAGGACGGCGGCGTGGTAGCGGCGGAGCAGCAGCATGATGATGTGCCGGAGAACGAGAATGGCAAGGATAAGAAGGATATCGAGGATAGGGACAGGAAGGAGGCGGAGGTAAACGGCAACATGTCGATTGGCGGGCGGAAACGCAAGGCGGGTAGGGTGGTGGGCGGCGAGGAGGACGAGGAACAGGATGGGATGGGTGGTGTGGTGGAGGGAAGGAGTGAGAAGGGCGACAAGAAGCACAAAATGGGGCCGAAGAAGCTGAAAAAGAAGAAGGCAAAGGTGATCAAGCTCAGCTTTGACGAGGATTGAGCGCAGAATATCTTGCCGTTTCCTGACGACGTCCTTCGACCAGACACGGCACTTGAGCAGCATCAATGAGGTTCTCAGCCGCGGCAACTTTCCAAATATTTGATTGCCCCGACGGCACTTATACTTTGGAAGTTCGGTCCCCCAGCGTTGGATGCCCATGAATTTTTCGCTCTGCGGCGTTTTGTCGTCGCTTCCCACCAAGCGCGTTTACTCTTTGTCCGACAAGAGTCTGTACGTTGGAGGCCATGTCGACGCCCCAGCAAAATCTCCGCCTCCGCATTGGACCCGAAAAGGCCTCTCGACTGTCATTTGAAGGAGGGGAAATATGAAGGCCTGCCGCCGTCCGGGCGAGCATCGGACGAACTCAGAGGGCCAGGCATCTCCATGTCCCACAGTTGCTCAGAGCGGTTGGTGCCCACAAGCCTCCCTGCCTGGCCGCCATCACATCTCCACGATACAAGGTGATTGGATATCAAGTCACAGAGAGTTTTCCAAAATTTGCTGGCACGATGACCTCTCCCCTTTTCGTTACAGCAACAGATTTCTCTCTACCGTGAGGCGCGCGTGAAGCGCGCGCACAATGCTACCTGTCTTGGACGCACCGCATTACTAAATTGGTTTCACACACCTGCAGGCCTGACCGGATGCAGTATTCCTACGCATTGAACGGTGCATTGCTTCTTGCTCGTTGGCCGCAATCGTACAGAAGACAATGTACAGATCATGCTGCTTCGCATGATCTGGAAAGCTGAGATTTGACGTGGGTGATGCGTACCTGGTCTTGACGTCATACCACCGCAAGAAGCGTGTTCGAGATCAGCCGCGACGCTGAGAAGAAAGCCTGGGCTTGGATGTGATTGTGCAGTGCGACCATTTTAACACAGAGGGGATGGCCCGAGATCTGAACACTTCTCGAATACTCTTCTTTATTGTTTATTCTATTTTGAGCCCCTACCCTGGCGGCTACCAGCCCTACTACCACCTGCAGCATGAAGCGCATAACACATTTGCACAACGCTGTTGCTGAGATGCCCTATGAGCAGCCGATTGGTAGTGGTGTGAGAAGACTGCTTGTTGCACATTTTTTGAAACAAGACCTTTTGCTCCTACGCGCCTACCGAACAGCCTTGTCTCGCGGAGAGCGAGATTCATAAGCCTCACCGATGGCCGCCTCACGGGGGATATGACAACAACAGCAAGTTGGTCATGCACCGTGCCTTGCGAGGGACAAACTGTCCCGGATTGGTCTGTACCAGTGACAAGGACGTCTACTTGGGCAGAAGTTAAGGTACCCGGCCATGTCGTGAGTTGAGCGTCACTTCCACAGCACATGGCTACAGAAACATAAATAGGGATGAGGGTACCCTCTCTTCAGGACCCTACCAAAAGTCCACCGCAAGCTTTCTCAGGTCTGCGTTGCTAAACTCAGTTCCCACAAACCTATTTGGTCTTGTCCTGATCTCGGTAAGCACTTCCATGTCGTTTCACATAGATGATGGCCTCACTGACATATCAATGGAAGAAAAATGGCCGTGCTTGAAGAGGATGCCCGCGTCCTTGTCGACCAGTGCGAGTGGCGTGTCTTGTACCGACCCGATGGATCCTCGTACAGAAGGCGAGTCAAGGACTGTCAAGTGTCCACGTGCAGGTGGTCAGACAACTACATCGGCAGGTGGTCAGACAATTACATCGGCAGGTGAAGTGAGCTCGTTCTTCTTCTTCAAGAAGCTCTTTCCCCCTGCAGCTCTCTAGGGAGTTGCTATTGAGAGCTATGCATTCTTCTCCTTGAGAGTTGGAGGGATGTGGACACAAGTTGAAGATGGAGGGTATCGCTAGTTACACAACACCAATTATAATGATGTAATTTCCTCGATGTTTCCGACAGTAACTGTTCTGCATGATAAGCAAAGGCACCCAAGCTATTGTAGCAATCGATCTTCACTTTTTAATGCAGTGACTGATGACGATACATGTCTTAACATCTTGTACTTCGTGGCAACCGGTGCCGAGCGCAAAGGCCGGGACGGGACACTAGGCGACGGCGGACCATGGGCATCGCGTTTCGGGCGGATAGGCTCTTGCGACGGCACACATTTCTCGATGCTACGAGGCATACATACCCATCTGGTTGCTGCGTCGGAGTTGGCCGCTGTTTTGTGGTAGTTGTCGCGCTGGGAACATGGACGCAGGGCCTCTCTGTAGGCCTTCGATGGTGCTGATGCCATTACCTTAATCTAGCTGATCTACCAAATCTGCAAAGGCTGCGCGGAAATGCGCCTTGGGACTACAACGGATTCTGACATTACCTAAAACGCCACCACACAGTGACGTGGGAGAGGCCGGCTGCCCTACTGGGCCAAGACGGCTACACGGCACAGAGCCTGCATGTTGATTAACAGTACGGAGTACTGTTAGGTCCTTGAAGGAAGCCTCGGCCATTCCCGAGCCCGCTTCAAGTATTGATTTCGGCGAGCGCAGCGCACAACCAGTCACGCGACACATTGGGAAGGACCGTTGCGTCTCGGCGCTGCGCTTCCAGGTTTTGCTCTTCTCGAGGCGATTCCAAAGATGCTTAACTCGTCGACCACGGACGTGAGACGGAACGATGAACGCATCACGTCTGCCGCTCCCGCGCCTGGTGAGGTTTGCCAGCCTGCTTGTAGCCGTCATCGCTTTTACCGGCATCGCCCAGGCGGTGGGTGCCGACATGATCAAACTTCCCCTTCCTCAGATTGATCTACTATACCCGCGCAACGGCTCCAGCTGCAGCCCCAGCGACGAGTCTCCCGTCGTGGCCGCCATCCAAAACTTCAAGGCCTCACACATGTTCCGTCCCAACATATTCTACTACCTTGGCACCGGCACAACTCGGAACTAGCCATCTACCCGTTGACGAAGACGTTCTGGCACCAGGACGGCATCGACAACGCAACCGACACAGACGTGTTCCTATGGCACGGCTTCGGAAACGTTACCGCGGGGGACTGGTTCCTTATGTTTGCCGTCGAAGCTGACATATTCTATTGGGACCCTACAGGCTCCGACCGCAGCTTCTTCCAGACCGCTGACTCTACATCTGTCGTCTACTTCTCCGTTGTCGAGGGCGGCGCGTGGCCAGACCTCATCGCGGCAACAGACAGTGACACTTGCAACGACACGCCAAACGCGACCTTTAACATGACGGATCTTTAACCGACTCCTGGAACGTAGGACAGGAAGGGAAAGGTGTGTCCGTCGATGTCACTGCCGTCACCGACCGCGAACCCGTGCAAGGTCAAGGTCGACAAGTCGGTGGCGGCGAGCATCTCGCAGGCCATCTCGGCGGCGAAGCCACGGAGGTGCCCTGGTTTCGATATTTATAGGAAGTGCCCTGGTTTCGATATTTATAGGAAGTGCCCTGGTTTCGATATTTATAGGAAGTGCCCTGGTTTCGATATTTATAGGAAGTGCCCTGGTTTCGATATTTATAAGATTGGTTGTGGCTGGTATTGGCATGCTTGCGCTGAGAATCTGAGGAGTCGTAGTGTGCAGAGAATTCCATATTGAATTTTCTTAATAAGTAGCATCATCTTTGATAACTTGTTAATACGCAAATGACTGCATAAACTAGGGCGAGGCGCAACAGCGGATTTTCTAGACCCACTCTTTTATTCATCTCCTTGAACGAGCTCTGGAAACCCTCCTTGATTCCTCGTCAGTAATAGTTTGTCGAAATCCTTCTTTTCATGCGCCATATTGTGGCTGATCTCTGGAGGTGGAAGATGGAAACAGCATTGTAATGAAATCTAGCAGCGTCCAGGGGCCTGTCCGCAGCGCCATGCGGTCTCGTGGCACTTCTGTTGCACCTCTACGTCTTGGAGCTGCTGGAGCAGCCTTGCCTGGACGTCATGCTGATGCTGCGGGCGGTAGGCGGCCGAAGATCGATTCGCATACCGACAGTAACTGCCAACGAAGCGCAATATGGCTATTTTCAACCTTCGCGCCAAACCACAGCCCGGCGCCACTACCGAAACAGGTTGACAAATGCGCAATTGGAGCTTTCGCCCGAAGCGCTCGCAAACCTACGACGATACCGACTCAATCAAGAATGGATGGGAATTCGATAGAGAAACTGGATCCAGAAGTCGCCTATCCAAACAACTCGACGTCCACCTCCCCGCAAAAGATAACTCTACTGCCGCCAGAAGCACCGAGACATCGACGAGGTGCCATGCGATCGATACCACACACGACCGATAAGCCTCATGACCCTGGTCTACACCTAGCCAAGGAGGAACTTCTATCCCTAGTGTCAGGACCAGTCGAGGCCACAGCAGCTGAACTCTACGAGGCGCATCGAGACCCGTTTCGTGGCGGATTCGCCGCTCCAGATGGGCCGCACATCAGAATATCCGACGCTAGACAAGACATCCATTTTCCTACCCAGGAGGATATGCACCGAATCTCGGCATCCACGCAGGTGACGGTTGAGAAGCTATGCACATCACTACGGAGACGACTGCGATACCGAGACTTGGTTCCACTGGAAAAAATATACGCCACATATTTAGAGTTGCCCGAACCCCGGATGCTGAACCTCACAGCAGGCTGGAGGAAGGAGCTATTACGGGTGATGGGAATGCCCAATAAACGCGATTCGACCAGCATGCTGCGCTACTTTTCGCTGGTGGCTGACGTGAAGAATGCTGGCCTGACTCTCAACCAGCGGCAGTGGAACTATGCTCTGGCGTTTGCCGCCAAGTATACTGCTAGAGTCGAGACGCGACAACTAGAATCTGCGATGCGCCTGTGGTCAGAAATGGAGCGAGAAGGGAACCAGCCCGCCAACGAAGTCACCTTTAACATTCTCTTCGACGCCGCGACGAAAGCCGGCAGCTTTGCGCTGGCTGATATGTTGTACAAAGAGATGGAAAGCCGTGGGATTCCGTTTAACCACTTCCATCACGTTACGCTGATTTACTACTTCGGTCTGCAGAGGGACTCTGATGGCGTTCGAGCTGCATACAAGGAAATGGTCGAGGCAGGCCAGCTGGTGGATACAATTGCACTGAACTGCGTCATTTCAGGTCTCCTCCGCTCTGGAGAAGAGGGAGCGGCTGAAGACACGTATCGACGGATGAGGGCTGGAGGAAGCAGTGCGGCCCAGCCACCTGAAAAGACCTACATGGTTTCCAAGGCCATCACTAAAGCTCTCATGATGCTGTCGAAAGTGGCCAAGGAGCACCCTTCTCTCAAGAGCAACTTTCAGAGAAGTGTTTGCATATCGCCAGACCTGCGCACCTTCAAACTCTTCATCGAACACTACGCTGTCCGTGTGGGTGACCTGGGCAAGGTGGTGTACTTTCTGGATGAAATGAAGGCACAGGGTGTCATTTTGCACCCAACCCTGTTCCTGGGCATCTTTCGGGGCTTCTTCCTTCACGGCGGCCATCCCGGCTCGGAGTGGAGCGAGCAACGCCTGGACAGCGTTGTGAATGCATTCTACCAGGCCCAGGACGAGATGGGGGAGCATTTCCGCATTGATAAATGGGTCGTCATCTGGCTGTTGAAAGCTATTAAACGGTGTTGCTCGCAGCAAAAGTTAGAAAAGGCTTTTGATGAAGTTTCCGTGCGTTGGGATGTACCAATGGACCGACGGTTGGAAGTCCTTGCCATCTGCGATAAGATTGTTGGCAGGACCGACGATATTGCGGCTTGGCGTATCTTTGAGAGCACTGCCAAGCTAAAGCAAATGATGGGTAATAGAATTATCTATTAGGCAATTTGTGAGAAAGCTGTTTTGTATATAATTGTATCCGTACGCTTTCATGTGCTTTTACGCTGCGCGCGAGCTCCTATCGTATGCTCCATCCACAGAAAGCGCCATCATAGAGTTCAACGTGGCAATTCACACCATTCACTCTCAAAGAAAAAGCTGAAATGCATATCAACAAATGGAATTATGTTACAGTCGGTGCATGTGACTGCGAGAAAATCTATCCGAGCTTCTTTATCACAACTTGTCGGGCCTGTTCCCTTGTCTGGCTCTCCGTTTCGGAAGACCGGAGATATCTAACTGCTTGGTACCATGCTGAAACGTCGTTTAAGGAGCAGACTTGTAGGTTTGGTAGACTATTGCTCTTATTAGTATTGCAGGCTTCGCAAGATGGCGCTCTTTGATATTTCGCGCGCGAGGATTGTCGTACCGGCAATGCCGAAGGGCGCGAAGAAGCCGGTGGCCATGAAGCCCCAGTAGCCGAGGGTGAACCACTTGCTGTGAGGGTTGAAGGGCAGGTTGGAGTAAGCGCCGTCGGGGTAGTGGTACGGCGAGGACATGCGAGCCCGGGTAGCGTGGAAAGCACGGCGGGAGACCAGAGTGGTCGTGGTGCGGGTGGCGGCGTGGGAGAACATCTGCAAAGTCGTCAATTAGCTCGGAGGGTCTTTGTAGAGTGCATTGGGTGGGCGTGGCGGACATTGACTGATGAATTGGCGAGCTTGGAGTTGCGAATACCTTCAAGCTTTCGGGGAGGACCGTGTCGGCAAAGCAGGTAAGCTGGTAAGAGGTCAAAAGACATTGGTCGGCGCTGGATCACGTGAGGATGAGGCCACAAGGTACGTACCTTTCTTCACAGCTGTCTGGCTGCACCAAATCTCATGGGTCTGACCGCCTGCCTGGTTGGAGCACAATTTTTATTCTGCCTCGCTGCCCACATACTTCGAAGGAGACCAGCCTCGATCGATGATCGATCCCTCCGACTTCACTACAAGCTTTGCTTCCGGAGGAAACGGGTGGTGTTCTTTATAAAGTTTATTTCCTGAAAAAATACCAACGGCATTACGTTGTCATTCTTTAACTCACCTGCGCCCGCTTTTTGGCCGCTGTGGCTCCGATTTCTACCAGGAAAAATTTGCCAGTCAGGTTACGAACTTTTTTCAACTCACGCATCTAAATTTGGAAAGCTTCACACGAAGCTGCAGATCATTGCCCACCATGGACGAGATGTTTGATGTTTTCGAGGGCAACGCCGGCCCTGCGAGCGCCAGCGAAGACGAAAGAGTGCCGACCAAGAGCCGCAAGGACAAGACGAAGAAGAGAAAGGCGGACGAGGCGATGAACGGCAAGGCTGCTGCTGAACCCCAGAAGGAGAATGCGACCGAAGATACTGAGATGGGTGAGACGAGCGATGCCGCGGCGGCGCAAGAAGACGACTCGGACACGCCAAGCCAGCAGGACAAGAAGCGTCGCAAAAAGGGCGACGCTGCCGTGCCGGTCATGGCGGACAACTTTGAGACGGCGCAGTCGAGAGAGGTGGCTGGTGCGGCGACTTTTGTCCCGCAGGACTCCTCCCTCATCCTATCGCACAACATCCAGCACCAGGTCGCACTGCCACCCGACCTTGACTATGAATACGTTCCGCTCTCCGAGCATAAGTCGCCCGCCGAGCCTGCGCGATCGTACCCCTTCAAGCTAGATCCCTTTCAGAGTCTGTCGGTTGCTTCCATCGAGCGCGATGAGAGCGTCCTCGTCTCGGCGCACACCTCTGCGGGTAAAACCGTCGTCGCCGAGTACGCCATCGCCCAGTGCCTGAAGCGAAACCAGCGAGTCATCTACACCAGTCCGATCAAGGCCCTCAGCAACCAAAAATACCGAGACTTTGAAGCCCTTTTCGGCGATGTCGGCTTGATGACTGGTGACGTGACCATTAACCCGACGGCGAGTTGCTTGGTCATGACGACGGAAATTTTGCGATCCATGCTGTATCGCGGCTCAGAGATTATGCGAGAAGTCGCGTGGGTTGTGTTTGACGAGATTCACTACATGCGCGACAAGACACGAGGCGTCGTTTGGGAGGAGACAATTATTATGCTGCCCGACAAGGTCCGATATGTGTTCCTGTCCGCCACCATCCCCAATGCCTTCCAATTTGCGGAATGGATCGCCAAGATTCACCACCAAGCCTGCCACGTTGTGTATACCGATTTCCGACCTACACCGCTGCAAAACTACTTTTACCCAGCCGGCGGCTCTGGGGCGCGCATTGTCGTCGACGAAAAGGGCAACTTCAACGAAGACAACTTCAATATCGTAATGAAGGAGGTCGAGGAAAAGAAGGGTGCCGACCCCAACGACATTAACGCCAAACAAACGGGCAAAGGGAAGAACAAGAAAACGCACAAGGGTGGCTCCGACGACGGCTCCGATATGAGCAAGATTATCCGCATGACGATCCGGAAAAGCTTCAACCCTGTCATTGTCTTCAACTTTAGCAAGCGAGAGTGCGAGAACATGGCCATTAGCATCTCGAAGCTGAGCCTCAATGACGATTCCGAAAAGGCCATGGTCAACAAAGTCTTCCACAGTGCCATTGAGAGTCTGTCAGAGCAAGATCGCGACCTGCCGCAGATCAAGAACCTGCTGCCCCTGCTTGTGCGCGGCATTGGTGTCCATCACTCTGGTCTCCTGCCCATTTTGAAGGAGACTATCGAGATTCTTTTCCAAGAATCCTTGATCAAGGTGCTGTTTGCCACCGAGACCTTTTCCATCGGCTTGAACATGCCTGCCAAGACTGTAGTCTTTAGCCAAATCACCAAGTGGGACGGCGTCAAGCGTCGCCCGCTCACGTCCTCCGAGTACGTGCAGATGGCTGGCCGTGCCGGTCGCCGCGGTCTTGACGCGCGAGGTATTGTAATCATGATGATTGACGATAAATTGGAGCCCGACACCGCCAAGGAAATTGTTACCGGCCAACAGGACAGGCTCAACTCGGCCTTTTACCTGGGCTACAACATGATTCTCAACTTGCTCAGAATCGAGGCCATCTCTCCTGAATTCATGCTCGAGAGATGTTTTCATCAGTTCCAGAATGCGGCTAGCGTTCCCAGTCTCGAGAGGGAACTCATGGCACTGCAGCAAGAGCGTGATGGCGCCACTATTCCCGACGAAGCCACCATCAAGGACTACTATCAAATTCGCCAGCAGCTCAACACCTATACGAGAGATATGCGATCGGTTATTCAGCTTCCCAACTATTGTCTCCACTTCCTACAACCTGGCCGCCCAGTTCAAATCTACAACCCCAAGGATTCGCCGGACAACGTGGCTGGTGGCCTGGACTTTGGCTGGGGCGTGATTGTTAACCACTACCCGCGTCGTAGCACCAAGCTTGGCGAACCCGAGCACATCCCTCAAGAATCGTACATTATCGATGTCTTGCTTCCGATATCTGCTTCTAGTGCCGATATTGTTCCTGGACAGCCAGCTGCCGAGATGCCTACCGGTCTTGTTCCCGCCAACGGCGATAAAAACACAATCATTGCCATTGTTCCCTGCTTGCTCACATGCATAAAAGCCATCAGCCAGATCCGCGTCTTTATGCCCAAGGATGGCCTCAAGACGGACAAGGACCGCGCGACGGTGAACAAGTCTCTTTCCGAAGTCAAGCGCCGCTTCCCCGATGGTCTGCCCATCCTCGATCCGTTTCACAACATGGATATTACAGACGAGTCGTTTCAAAAGCTCCTTCGCAAGATTGAAGTTCTTGAATCCTGTCTGCTAGCCAACCCTCTACACCTGTCGCCCCTGCTGCCGTCACTCTGGGATCAGTACCATGCCAAGACACTGCTTACGGAGAAGATCAAGGCCAAGAAGAAGTCGATTGCCAAGGCCCACAGCATCACCCAAATGGATGAGCTCAAGTCGCGCAAGCGTGTGCTGCGGCGTCTTGGATTTATCAACGATGCGGAAGTCGTGCAGCTCAAGGCTCGCGTTGCTTGCGAGATCTCATCGACCGAAGGTCACGAACTGGTGCTCTCGGAGCTGCTCTTTGACCGCTTCTTCAATGAACTCACGCCCGAGACGTGCGCTTCCATTCTCAGCTGCTTCATCTTTGATGAAAAGGTCGAGGCGACGGCTTTGAAGGAAGACCTGCAGAAGCCGTTCCGCGAGGTGCAGGCCAAGGCGCGCATCGTCGCCAAGGTCAGCCAGGAGTGCAAGTTGGACGTCAACGAAGAGGAATACGCGGCCAGCCTCAAGTGGCAGCTGATGGAGACGGTGTTTGCCTGGGCCCAAGGCCGGCCGTTTTCTGAGATTTGCAAGATGACAAATGTCTACGAGGGCTCCCTGATTCGCCTCTTCCGCCGCCTGGAAGAGCTTCTGCGCCAGATGGCCCAGGCCGCCAGGGTCATGGGCAACGACGACCTCACCAAGAAATTTGACGAGAGCTTGCAGAAGATTAGAAGGGACATTGTGGCTGCCCAGAGTCTGTACCTGTAGCTGAATTGCTGTTTGTTCCAACTACCTTTTCTTATGTAGCGCGTCTCATTGTTTTCTTAGTCATTTGCAACCAGGGTTTATATGGTCGTAATGGAGTTTGCTGGCATTGGGAAAATGAAGAAGAATGTTACGGATTTAGACATTAAGAAGTCATCAGAAGCGTCCTTAACGCGATATGGAAAAGTCGCGAGCTTGGTAACATTTGGGTTAGCATATTGTGGTAGTAACATTGATGAGATAAAATATATTTCATTGTTTCTGTTAGTCCCCAGCCTGTTCGTGGAAAACGTTTTAGCTATAAAGGAATAGAGAAGTGAAAGATGCCACGCGCCAGACGCCATTGAAAGTAGATAGCCATTCAAAGAGAAAATCAAAACCGAGCAGCCATTGGCCGCGTCCCTACCGCTCACTGCCCATAGTCATGAAGATGCCGACGGTCAAGCTTAGCACGACACCAGAGCCGACAAAGATGCGCCACTTCTCGCCCCAGACATCCTGGCGCAGCAGCCACGTCATGGTGCCGAGCGGGAAGAAGAAGCCAATCATCATGGCGCGGATGAGGACGTCGAGAACCGAGGACAAGTTGGTGATGTCGTCATCGAGCGGGCCAGCCGGCGTCGACGACGGCAGCTCCCCCGCGTTGCCGTCGATCCACGCGTCCTCCATGCCGCGCATCGTGTCCGGCGAGGGCACAGCGTCGGACGCGAAGCGCTCCGTGTGGATCGACGCAAACTGCGTCCGCAGCGTGGCAATGTCCGACGCCGTAAAGCCCGCCTGTAGCAGGCGATCAAAGCCGCGCGGTCGCGGCTTCTTGCCCGCCGTCCCGGGGGCCGCTACCTCACCGCCGCCTTCTGGCGGTTTGGCGGCGTCGGCCTCTTCGGCGTCGAGCTCCGCCGTGGTGAGCTCGTCGCCGATGGAGCAGTTGAGGTAGACGCGGACCGCGGGGGGTTTGTCGACGGCCTTGCCCTTGGTGTCGGGCGGTGGTGGTGGTGGTGCGGCAGGGAGCGGCTTCAGCACGCTGGCGAGGGAGGCGGCCGAGGGGAGGATGCGGCCCTGGTAAATGAGGCGCAGGCGGCCGCGCGAGGCGATGCGCGCGCGCAGGCCGTGCTGGAAGGCGAGCACGGTCGTGGTGTGCGGCAGGGGCACGTCGGTGGTGAGGTCGGGGAGGCCGTTGGAGAAGCGGACGATGATGAGGAGAGGCGGCGGCGCGGGCGCGGGTGCGGTTGTCGATGCCATGATGGCATGCTGGCCGCGAGAGGGGCCGGAGTGCAGTGGTGACGATGAGGTCGGGATGGGAATGGGAAGTATGTAGTTGATGAGATGACAGATAGGCGTTGAGAGCTCACCCAGTGGCGGTAACGGCACAGGGACCTCGTTTGACAGCTATGCGGATACTCCGAACAGGATGCCGAGTTGGCCGCGCCTAGTGTCAACATATAGCCAAAATATTACAGAAATTCGGGTACCTTGTCAAACAACCTCTTCTAGGCGAGTTTATACTTTATATAAATCTGAAACGTTTTTCAATTACATGCATGTAACCTACGCAAGAACACGTTACAGGGTACATACGGAGTACAAGGCGCTTAAATAGCTGTCGCTGGGGAGCTTCCAGGGTCTCATCAGAGAACATCTTTGGCTGACCGCTCTGGCAGAATTTCTTCCTGTTCACAAGCACCTCTACGCATCAGGGTCATTCGGTCAACGGCATTTCTTTTGCATTTCGTTTGCTTTAGAGCGTGCATTTTGGTTCTCACAATAGACCCCATCTTTCCCCTTGCTCTGTCTGATGCGGCGCGTCCCCTAAATGTCATGCGGCGCACCAGGCAAACCAAACGTCTCAGTTGCTTCTACTGCGGCAAACAGACAGGCCTCACGTATGATGGCACGATAACCAACTTCCTCTGCCTCTCCTGTGAGGCGACAAACTACCTAGATCACGTATGCTAAATTGTCATGATCTTTTTCCGCCAAGGAAATCTGCTAAATTCTGCTTCTAGAATGGTGACATCACCGACCCTCCCGTCGCAACAGAAGGTGAAGCTGCCGCGCCCTCACAATATGCCAGACCACAATCCGTCGCCGCTGCCCGGCCGGACGTCGTCTTTTGCGAAACCTGTCTCAAAAACCAGCACCTCTTTACAGCGTCTCTGGCGCAGTATCTCCCGGACGACCCGTCCCACCCAGACTACGACGAGCTCGATCGAAATTACTACCGCTACAGACGCAATCTTGAGAAGCGCTACCCGCAGGTCTGCGACGAGTGCGCCGACAAGGTGCAGAAGCGCATACGAGAAGCCGGCTACACGGCAAAAACGGACCATCTGCGGCGCATGATGGACAAGAGCCGCGGGCGCAAGGCGACGCGCAAGGCTGGCGTCCTCGACGTGGCCAGCGCGCTGGGCGCCTGGCTCTGGCGCGGCGGGCTCGTGGCACAGTTGCTATGGCATGTGCGACACATTCTGCAGGCCTTGGAGCGTCCGGATGACGGCATGTACGACCCAGACGACGCGAGCGTATACGTGAAATCACTGGTGGCGGCCAAGCCTGTGTTGACGTGGCTGCCAGACGGAGATGTACTGATACAGATGAGCATCGCGGCGGCTATCCTCTCATCATGGTGGAATCCACATTTCGTGCAATTCACGAGGGGCTTTACGAGACATTTGCTAGGCTTCACGCGCTGGTACTCGTTCCAGGGCTTGATAATTTTCTTGCGCATCCTCTTCCGTAGTGTGTTGGGCATACACGGCGGAGATGCGCCATCACAGAGCGCACAGTTGAGTGTACATCTAGCCACTGCGGGCATCATGTGTTTCGTAAGCACACATCTACCACCAGGCATGAGTGATGCTAACAAATCTAGATTTACATCATGGCAGGTAGATCCATCAAAGTAGACACAGCGCCACTGTTCCGGCCCGAGAACAAACCCTTGACGCCGCGCCGAACCATGACACCGGCCAAGCGCAGAGAAGAAGACTCCAAGACCTTTTCCGAATTGATCAACGAGGCCCTCGACTCGACACCCCACAAAGGTGGCCTCTTGTCCGCGGGCGCGACGCCCGGCACACCAAACTACGCATCCAGTAGCGCATTCGTCCCACCAAGCCAGATCAAGATGATGCAGCAGCGCGGCTTCAACGACTCGCCGCTAGCGTCGGCAGCGTCCTTCAAGCCGCTCTCGCAGCCGCCACCCATTGATAATGGCAGTGACGAGATGGACTGGTCACCAAGCCAGCCGCAACACCGCGCGTTCCGCGACACCACGGACAATGGCGGGCAACCCCGGCCGTTTGGCCAGTCCCCGACGCACCCTGATCAGAGCAAGAACCCGTTTTGGTTCAAGGTGCCTCCCGCGCCGACCAATCCCGCGCGGCAGCTGCGCAACCCACCCAACATGCCCATCTTGCGCCAGAAACCCGTCGAGCGCGACGACGTCTTCTTCACCAGCCGCCGCGACAGCGCCGAGTATAAGAACCGCCTGGGCCCGACGGGTGCCGGCACCAGCTTCCGCAACCCGACTTTCTTTGCGCCCGAGAAGAATGACGAGGCCAATTCCCTCGCCGACCTCCTCGGCGAAAGCTTCAGCCTAGGCCGGGGAAAGCAGCAAGGCCAACAACAACAACAACCCCACGACAGAACGTCATCGACCTTTTCCTCGCCCTTTTCTGTCAAGCGGCACGCGGCCCCGCAACACCCTCGCGCGCTTCCTCGTCACCGCCACCGCCCCGTCGAGCTCGTGGCCCTGGCCGTTCTGCTGCCGCTCTGGCTGCTGCTGTCGGCCTTTCCATCGCTCCTGTACGGGACAGCGCTGCGGGGTCTGGTGCTCGTCGGCGCGGGCGCCATTGCGCTGAGCGGCACGCCCGAGATGGACGACCAGCGCGATGGGCGGCGATTGGAGCCCCCCAAGCTCGTGGATGCCCTGCTCTCGGCACTTGGCGTCGTGGAGCTCGCGGCCGTGTGCTGGGTCGGCTGGGAGACGTGGACAGGACGCGTGGATGTCGATGCGTACGGTACAGGTGTCTTGACGGTCATGCTGGCACACCATGCCGCGAGCCTTTTGCAGGCCTGAGGGTGGGCGGTGCGAGGATATGGCATTGGAGTTTTACAGGAGGGAGGAGTTTGGTGGGCTTTTGACTACTTTCAAGAGAATGACGTGTGTGTGTTTTGGGTATAAAATGGAAAATGATTCACCCGTATATACCTTGATTCTGCATTAACGGAAAAATGTATACATCATTCATCATAACTTCGTGTACATGGCTACAAATATTTGAGGCCTTTGCCCATACTGTATACATCAGAGAATGACCCGTTGAGGCTCCCGCTCTATTCGCGACCGATAAGCAACCCCCCCCCCTAAGACAAAAACAAGCTACACTGATCAACTCTGATACTAGAACCCTGTGTAGAGAGGCATCGCCGCCGTCATCCACAATCGAGCTTTGGACCGGCCGGGGCACGATATCCGTCATCAAAGGCGTTGAAGGGCCCTCAACGGGTCGTCTATCTCGGGGACACATATTTTCAAGGCCGCGAGCGGTCGGTACCTCGGATTGCAGCTGGTTTTCTGTTTTGCAGCTATTTGACATGTCTACGACGATGGTGGTGACGGTCGCGATGCCCCTCCCCCCCCCGAGACGTGGCAAGGATGAAGATGATGGCACAAGTGATGATGGGATGCAAATGCTGGGCATATGCCGACTTCATCGATTTCTGTCTCTCTCTGACCCACCCCGACCTTTTCTGAGAGTCGTGCCCCCTGACCGCTCCTTTTAATCCAACATCACGATCGAAACATTACAACCAGCCTGTCACCCAGATCCATCCCACCACCCTCGAACCAGAATGGCGGACTCGGCATCCCGGCGTGCGCTGAGCATCCCCGAAATCCTTCTCAATATACTAAACGGATGCACCAAAGACACTCTCCTCGCCGCCGTCCGCGTCAACAAACTCTGGTTTGACTGCGGCATCGGCGCGCTCTGGGGCTTGAACGACTTCCTCGAGACGGCGGCCCAGCTGGCGGCGATAAAGGGCAAAGAGCGCCGCCAGCTCTACGCCAACTGCATCAAGGATCTCAGCGTCCACGAGCAAAACACGCACCTCTACGCAGGGCCGCTCAAGGCCGTCGAGTTCCCGGCGTTGAACTTCGTGCACCTTGAACACAGCAGACCGGGCCAGGCCTGGCTGTTTTCCCGCGTCTTCACGCCTACCGTAAAAGTCCTGAAACTGTTTGCGGTGAAGCTGGGTGATTATGGTATGCCCGCCATTGCCTCCCGCATGGGTCACCTGACGCATCTGATGATGGGTGGCTCGGGCTGCTACGCAGGCGGAATGGCCGCGTTCCTAGGCGCATGTCGCTCGCTCCAGTACCTGGACGTTCATGGCGTGTACCAGATTGCGCGCCAGTTTCCTACCGAGTGCTTCATCGTGCTCGCCTCGCTACCCAGTCTTGAGGTACTGCATTACGAGGGAGACCTGAGCGCGGACTCCATTACAAGGGCGGCCACGGTGGTGGCCGAGCCCTTTATCGCTTTGAAGCTGGTAGTCTTCAAGGTTCAGCCGCAAAAAGTGCCAGGGCTGCTGCACGGTATAGCACAGCTCCCGCAGCTTTGCTCCTTGCAGCTGGATCTGGACTGTAAGATGCCAGATTTGAGAAACTTGTCCCAGTTGCAGAAACTTCGCAGCTTCGCGCTGATGTTCAAGTCAGCGCCGCGCATGAGAAAGGAGGATCTGGCACCAGTGAAAGCCCTGACTGCTTTGGAATACTTGACGATAGACGCTGAGAATTGGTTCGAGGGTCTTATAAACCCTGGCATGCCCGACTTGATGAAGGAGATGGACCTGCAAGAACTCGTTTTGGGACTGGGAAAGCTCCACAAACTACGCCTCACACCCAAGGCCGATATTGGCGTGACGTTTCTACAACATCTAGCAAAATACTGCCCCTTGCTCACAAGTTGCGCCATGCTGACTCTGACTTTGTCTCTGCGAGAGCTCGAGGGAATAGAGCCAATTGCCCCGAACAAATGGTTTTGCCAGGCCTTGTCCGTGGGCCTCGTGGAGAATAATTTCAGGGAGGAAGCTGACATGTAAGTTGAGAATGGCCCCCAATGAGTCGCTTTGTTGCTGACCATCTGATCAAGCGACTCGGCCGTGGCCTTGATTCTTGAAAAGCTGCCGACAGTCCGACGCTTTGACTTTTTGCCATTCGACTTTACCGTCCCCGGACTTTTGGATACAGACTCATTGATATACAAATTCCAGCAGGCTTTGAACTTTGCCATTCGAGCTCTGCCTGGCTGAGGGGCATATTGTAGAATGCTACTCTTGTGTCAATACTCGGATGGTCGCACTGGTGAGACGGCAACCACCAGAGCTAGGATGGTTGGAAAGGAATGGTTTGGACTGATGTTGCAGAAGGGTTTCGTATATTTAGGGTAGTTATTCGTAACATTGTCGTTTGTTATGAAGTGACTGGACAATTCCGCATATTGTACTGTGGTTGTTGGAATCCCGACGTATTAGTGTGCCAACTCCGGAACGCCACGCCTAACTAACTACCAGAAGAAAGGTGCCTAACAACTGACTAGGCCAAGGGCAAAGCAATAGTTAGTCTTTCCTCATTATCATCGACGGAATTCGATGCAGCGATTAAAATGATATGTTACGCTCCGACGGAGCACCCGATCCAGGGTTCCGGGCTCCTCCCAACAGATTGATGACTTGGCATGTCCGATCTCGTGAAGTTTTTGCTCCGCTCGGTGTCGAATCGAGCCGGCCAGCCGTACGGCGAAGGCGGCTTCGGTCAGCAGATGGGGCAAGCCATCGCGTGAAGAGCACACGCGAGCGAAAACTAAATTGAGTCTGTTTCAAGTACTCGGTGTAAATAATTCTGAAGATGAGGCAGCCCAGAAAGGCAACGGCATCCTGATTGACAGAGGCTGGTTTGGCCAAGGCCAAGATAGTTTGCTTGGTGCATGAGCTGGGGTGTAGCACAGGCTTTGAAATGGCATGGGTGCTGTGGCTTGAATTGCGATGAACGAGTGTCCACTTGCGGCAGCCTGTCGCGTGAGGATAATAGTGATTGATATCCGTCGTGGGATTGAATCAAGTCAAGTCACCGACGGTCATCGTTATGATGGTGCTGCAACGGCGTGAGTACACCAGCCAGCCAGTCACCGACGTGCAGAGTGGGACGGACAGTGACTGATTGAATGCTGCGTGACACAATTAGCAGCCGGAGCTTCAAAAACCTATCTGTAGCCTTGGTGATAGTTGGTTGATAATAAGACAAGCATTGTTCAAAGCAGGCTGGGGCTGGAACATCCCGGCCGTCCCATCTCCGAGCTGTCCGTAAATACGATGTTGTGCAGTATTGCCACATGCTTAGTTGAGACGGCGCAAAAGGCCTGGACCATTCGGTCTGAACGGGCAACCGATCGAAAAGCCCGTCCCTGTTTATTATAGTTAGGCACATTTGTCCCTGTCACCCTGTGGTGTGACGAACGACAGCGCCGCAGCCACTGCAGCCAACAAGAATGTTGGAATTTCCAAGGCTTATTATGTGCCCTCCACACCGATTGCGACGGTAGAATCGTAGAACTAGCAGTATTAATAATGTTCGGAGGAAAACATGGCAGTGGATGCGAGTGGGATCGCAATTATAAGCTCTTGTGCGATGGCCTGATGCACCTAAAAAGGTATGGCATGGTACGAGAGGCCTGGGGGAAAATACGTAGTAGAAGTAGGTGGCGTCTTGGTTTTGGTGGACAACGGATTTAGCGGATTTGATCAAATGCTTGCACAGTGCCGAGTTCATCGTCTACCGTAGCCAGCAAGCTTTTTGGCTTTTCTGTTGTACCAGACGTGACAGACTGACGCCAGATCAAGTTGTGACCCAGAAAGCGTAATAGAGCCGGTCTGGTCGGTGTTGACTTATTACTGGCATCGACACAATGATGAAGGCGATCTGCGAGATTATTATTATTATGACCCCGGAATTTTTGTCCGCCTGAGACATGCGACTGCTGGAGTTGAGAGGCAATCCATGCAGGAGAGATGTCGATTCCGTGCTCATTATTCGGTAGGTGAGATTGCAACGCGGGACAATGTGAGAGACGCAAGGTATTGATATTTTTGGCTAGCGTAGCGTGCCTGGCAAGTTCGCGACTAGCATCCGGCAGAAGTCACAGCTGGCAACAAAGTTCTGCAATTGGTGATTGCGGCGGGCGCAGCGTCTTTTAGCATCAGCAAGGTTATCTTTAGCGCTCTAGTTATTCGTTCGGGCGTGACAGCGTCCTTGGGCCTTTGACCTGTTAGTCGGATACACGACTGTCAAAATTGGCCGTCATGTACCTGATTTTCCGGATTTGTCTCGACAGGAACAGTGATGATCTGCAACGACGCTACCGACGTAGTTCCCCAAATGTGCAAGGGACAGTCTGGGCCAGTCGCAGCCAAACAGGGCGGAACTAATACAAAGTTCCGTCGATGTGCTTAGTTGAGCATCGAAAATCGACGTGGTAATGATGGACTGGTCATTGTAGGTTTGCTTCGTAGCAGCACACTATTGCCTTGCGTGGTTATGTTGCCACGGCCAGGATGGAACTTTGGCTTTGTTCGTCTTCCTTGATACTCGCTTGGCAATGACGCCAGTCCGGATAAGGAGGGCAGATCCGCAAAGCAGATGGTGGATGGCTCTAGCAGGGTTCGGGGAGGCGATGATGGAGAGGAGGCCGAGAGGTTGCTGGTTGCTGGTCACAGTGTTTGCCCGGAGTTGAAGAGGCGGGCCTCCCGAGGCCGTGGTAGAGCACACAGTGCTGCACAGCTTGTCTACAGTGCCGCCAGGCCAGAATCGAAAGAATGCAGCGGCGGGAGAAAAGGGCAAGCAGTATTTTGCGACTGTGTCTTCTATTCTGCGACTGTGTCTTCTATTCTGCGACTGTGTCTTCTATTCTTATCCTTTGTTTGCGCTTTCTTTCACGTGTACGAATTACAGTTGCCTTCAAACAAGGTTCTCGTCGTCACTCACGCAAGAGTTACAGTGCGTGTGGCACACGAGCATGCTTGTTGCCTTGCTAACGCGTAGAGTCGAGACCTAGGAGGTAGGTACCTAGGTACCTCTTTCGTCACCAAGAATGAGAGGCATGACAAGTTTCCAGTACTAATATGTAGTCCCGGATGCCTGCATTAAAGAAAGGCAGTATATCAGTAGTGAGATGCAGGGTCCCCGACAAACAAATGCGTGAGACGCCGTCGCCCGCTTTATTATTTCTTCCAGTTCATCACAGGGGCTTTCGGGTGGCTTTGTGGCGGCCCACAGGCGTCTCGTCCACTGCCGAGCCCTGAATTACAGTTCCCTCGTTCGCTAAAAACAAGGAGAGTTTTTTTTTTTTTTTTTTTCTTTAGCACATTCTTGGCTTCCACGCGACTTGCCGCTACAGCCACAGGCGGTCGGTACCTTGCCCTTGTCTTACTTTGCAGCAAAACGCCACCAAAACCAACCCGCTGTTTATGTACTCCCCGCTGTACCTAACTACCTGTTACTCCAGATTCCCTGCCTGGCCTGTGTGCGCACGCCCCCGTTCCCCCAAAACCTTGCCCATCAAAACCCATCCTTGCCTCTCCCTCTCCTCTCGCTTCTGTGTACCATCCCGCGTCAACCATTCTCTCTCACCGAGCACACTCTTCGTTTGATTCACCACTATTCTCTCAGCGCTTAAAACTCGACAAGATGCCTTCTCTCGTCAAACTCACCTTCGAAATGTGTTCCAATTGTCTGTAGCTTCCCGCTATTGCTGCACCACGGGCTCCGACTTGGATCTCTACTGCATCTGAACACGCACTCGTCTTGCACTCGCTCGAGTAAACCATCACAACTCCTCCAAACGCGCCCAACCGCACCCATATCTTCTTCTACAATCCTTCTTTCCTGATTCACTACCTCCGATCGCAGTCGCGTCGTCTTGCCTTTCACCACTCCAAGGTCGACCTCTCGAAATCGCCCGTCGCTGAATATCATGGCCCAGCGTAACTCTCGCGTATACGCTGAAGACGCCATCTTCTTTGAAGATTCGAGCTACACGTCCTCCACAGACCGCTCATCTTCTTCTGGATCTTCTTACCATTCCAGGCGGAGTTCCCGGAGTTCATTCAGAGAAGAGATATACCAGTGTGCTCCTGAAATGGAAGAAGGATTGCGCAATGGCGCGCCCATCAAAGAGGCCCTGCGTTACCAGAGCAGTATCACCGGTGCCAGAGATTTTACTCTCGAAAAGTCAGGTATGCAGCCAGCAGTATCGCTTCCGAAGTCCTCGTCTCCTAATATGGACCCGACAGCCAAACTACCGACGTTGCTTCCCACCATCCACCAGTCAGTCGAGTATCCTGTCGTGCCTCTGGACGGCCGTCCACTCAACTTTGGCGTGGTTGTTCCTGGCTTTTATCGTAGCAGCTACCCAAAGCAGCACGATTTCGATTTTATCAAGAGCCTCAAGCTCAAGACCATTGTGACCCTGGTCAAGAAGGACGAGTTCCAGGATGACCTGGCAGCCTTTGCCGACGTCAACGGTATCCGCCAAGTCACCTTCGACATGAAAGGCACCAAGAAGGAGGCCATCCCGCTCGATACCATGGCCGACATCCTTCAACTGACCCTGGACAAGCGAAACTACCCCCTCCTTGTCCACTGCAACCACGGCAAGCACCGCACCGGTTGTGTCGTTGCCGCCGCGCGCAGAGTCGCAGGTTGGGAAGTTGACCCCGCGCTGGAAGAGTACAGGGCATTCGCCTCACCCAAGACTCGCGACTGCGATATCGACTACATAAACGCCTTCCAGTCTTCTCTAATACCGAGATTTGAAGACGACATTGTTCCGCACAAACCTGTCCAGGTCAAGACATTTGTGCGCACACTACTGTTCTCAACAGTGGTCGTTGTAATATGGATTGTATCCGGAACGCAAATGGCTTCGGCCCCTGCCACTGTCGAAACCTTTTAACGGCACGGCACGCAGTGGTGCGATTATCATCTCTGCCGGCACAATTTTACTGACTTGAGAGACATTTATGCACTGGAAAGCGCCTCGCTGCAAACACTCTAGACGCAAGGTGCGTTGTGTTAGACTTGCGCGTTTTACTCATAGATGGTGGCGAGCGGGTGTGTTTACTTGCCTACGTTGATCTCCGGGGCTTAGAGTTGCAGCAAAGACGTCGCCGAGGGAAGACATCAAGAGCTGAGGTTCCCTCACTCGGGCGACGATGGAACGAGAAGCCACAGTTTGGCTATGTATCATTTCTTTGTGGATTACGGGCGTACGGATTTTGTTATTCGCCACGAGCAACGGTGTTTTCTCTTGTCACTACGTGGCTGTGACTAGCGAATTGATTGATTAATTTACTATAGAGGCTGTGCTCTCTTTGAACTTGATAACTGTTGAAGAATTTTCGCGTGCCGTGTCGAACAAATCGCAGTGCGTGATCCAGCCGAGTGCAGTTGATGTGGGTGAAGGTTCACCCACGACTCTCCTCCCTCCACAGCCTACCGACCATAACTCCTCATAGACATGCATGGTTGGTTGCCCTTGCGTCATTGAATATTGGCCTCGGTGTTTCCGGCGTTGCTTCCGCGGCCCCGTGGAGTCACGAGACCAGCTGGGCGACAACTCTACAGACATCGAGGGTTGAATGCAGCCAAAGATGTCAGTCGACGGTGGCAAGTCCTCTGTCTGTCCGGTCTAGAGAAGCTGCATTAGCAGGCTGCAAAGGAATCCATGATGGTCCCTCTGCGCCGGCACGACGCCCGATGATGATGCCAAAGGCGTGAGTCAGTAGCTGGCCCTCCTTCAGCGCAGCAGCTCACGAGCTTGAACCGTCGGTTGGCGGACAAGGACCGGCTAGCGGTACGACGACGTCGTAGCGTTCACGGAGCTCAAGTATTGCGGGAGTTTACTGGAGAAAGACGACGCTGGTCAAACGGACTGTCCAAGACGGCCACTCCATGTGTGCTTCCAGTGGCGGAAGCTGAAGTCATTCCCTACATCAAGAGCCTCCTCGGGTTGCAAAGGTGGTTGGTTGCCTTGGGAAGCCGTCCATCACATCTGCGCCAGAGGTCTTCCGGTTGCTGCCGCCGTGATCCATAGTCCTCGATGAGCATTGTTGGCTGCTCCGGTGGCAGAAGCAGCAATTCCTTCCTCAAGTCAAGAGCCCTTCTTCCTTGCAAAGGGGTCATGATGAAAAACAGGGTATAATATCTGTGCCAGAGGTAGCTGTGCCTCTCGGCGTGATTCATACTCTGAACGGACCACGAGCGCTCCCAATGTCAGTCAGACGCAACTAAGGTTGATCCATGAGGCGCTCATTGCCATGATCAGGAGACTGCGGCCTACACCACATGATTGTCAGCCAGCGAATGACTTTGGCTTCCTCCGGTGTATGTTTCCCGAGGACAAACCGGTACAACCTGAGAATGACTGTTTGAGCCGCCGACCACGTTGATGGATTCTTGTCACAGAGGTTGGTCGCCCCCCCCCCCGTCCTTCTCGTGGGAAACAATTCATGTCCAAAAAGCCTCCCGCGTACTTGGTATCTTGCAAGCTGCAAAGCGAACAAATGTCTACCAGGCTATTACGTTCGTGTCAGACCTTGCCAGGAATCCTGGAAGCTTATTTTCCAAATATGAAAAAAATGATCATTTCGTCCACACGCATCGCCACGACTCAGGGTGCCCAGCCAAGCTATCCTGCTCTCTCAAGTTGTCGCCGCAGCACCGTAAGCGACTCGAAACACCAAAAGACAAGGTCATGCAAGGCATAACCAGGTGACAACCCCATCACCACGAATGTCCACCAAAAGTACCCCCCGAGAAGCAAGTCACCCCCCCTGCCAAGACTGCTTTTTCTAGGTGATTGGTTCCGTGAGCATTGGCGAGGCAGAATAGGCAAATGTTTCGAGCATACCACAACTGCCAAGCTGCAATGAGAAAAGGATGTCCTGCTACTTTTGGTCACGGGTCCAGTTACCGGCCATTGGGCGCGGACTACGGGCATATCAAAGAAGGATAGAAGCCTTGTGGAAAACCATGGTTGCCACCCTAGCGCTCAGGAAACAGGGCAAGCAGGGGGGAGATCGTTTATAGAACCAATCAGGATATAGCCTAGGTGTGGTTTTCGTTCGAGTCAACCTTGAAAAGTGGTACATTGTGCGCCTTGGGTGAATGGGGGTTTTGTGCTGCTTATGGTGTGCGCGACAACGTCCGGTGTGTACCCTAGCTACTCCATGGTAGCCCCCGAGCCTCTGGAACGGTAGAGGTTTGACCAGGTATGTGAGATTTAGCTTCTTCGGTAGGCTTTTTTTTTTATCCTCTGCTTCTAAAAAAAACATGACAATGTTCGATTTCGAGAAGAAAAAAAGGTGGTTGAAAGGGGGCTCGGGAATGCTCCTGGAGACCCAAAATAGCCTGTGGGTTTTGGTTCCATCCAAGTCCGCCGTGGCTTGCGGAGTTTTCTCCTTCTTCGTTTTCTTCTTTAATGAATTGCCTGAGATTAAACGTTTTTGCATCGTCGTCGCGTCTTACCAATCAATCATCACAGCTTTACCCCCCCTCCCATACGCAAAAGCCACGAGCCTTACGCGCCCGCCTCTACGGGTATACAGCGCCCCCCCCTAAGCCTCTTCAATCGCCCGATAGGCAGCAGCATTATAAATGCGGGAGAGAGGGGGAGTGTGCCTTGGCCGTTCGTTGGATGCATCGGAGCTTCTGCACACCCCTCCGCATATTCAGTTCCTGTTGATGCATCATTCCCCCATCATGTCTCTCGTGTCTAACAGGCACCAAACCTGTGGGTTGCCCTCATCAAGTCTTTGTCTCGCCTTGAAAGTGGCGCGACATGCAGTGCGACCACACCTTCTCGTCTAAAGTGGCGCCCGATTGTACTTGTGTTCCGAATTGCTTCAATATGCAAAAAGAAAATGCAGATCCGCCGTGGAAAGAGGATGGTGCAACTCTGTATACGCCGGGGCTGAGCAGTAGTTGATGTAGTTGATGCACAACGAGGCTGGTGAAACACGATGCAAAGGCCGTTCTTTTGTCATTGTTGGTGAATCATTTCGATGATTCATTTCAGTACCACCCTTGCCGGAGACTTTCACCTCGGACTCGGAAACCACGGGCTCAAAACTACCATGTAATTAGTAGTTATTGATCTTACAATGCACGTTGTAGAAGTCGGGGCTTGTTAAGAAAAAAAAAAGGGCTGCCGACTTTCCGCACACACACACATACACGTGTAACAACCTTCACCCCCCTTCTCAGTCGGAAAGCTTCTCGCATGCCGGGTTAGTCAGGGGTGTGGCTGTCGAGGGTCCTCTCGCGAGGGAGGCGCGGGACGTCCTTGTCATCCCAAATCTTCGAGGCACCATGTGCTTGTGGAAGAACCCGACCGCCAACTCACGCCCCTCTGAGCACGATGATGCCGACCAGGACGTATGGACAGGAGCAAATTGGAAGATCAGTTCGTCGAATAATCTCGTTTGCCAACCTTGTTCTGCCGTGTTCCCCTGGAAAAGAAAAGTGACAAGTAGTGGAAGCGTCTTGCTCATTCAATCTTCTTCTTCCAAGACGGGCATCTCCAGCTTTACTTCCATCATCGGGGTTGGCGCTCTCTCACTAACCGTCTAGTTGGTTCCCCCATGTAACAGCATGCGGTGGACCTGCACCTATCTTGGTCAGCTGTAGTAATCTGTATAGGTGACGCGGTTTTTGTTGGTTGCACCTGCACGCCAGAGTAATGGAAGGCCATCAATCAGGTTCTGGGCCTATGTAGGCACGCAGCAGCCAAGGTGCCCCCCCACGCCAAGTGCACGAATAATGTACTTGGCGAGCCAGAAAGAAATTGGCCCCGAAGCAATAACTGCAACTGGTTTTAAACGTCCAGAGAATTCGAGTTTGGTTTAGCTCTTACCACGCCCCTGGCATCGTGTGTATTGCGAGTGGCAATCCCCTGGCCACTGACCACATTTCACTGCCCTATGTACTTCGTAAACAACACCCCAGCGCCATGGTTTTGGCACCAGAGCTAAGGTAACCCTCAACAGGAAAAGTTTCACGCCTCCAGGAGCGCATCAAATGTCGGAATTTGAAGAGGTTCTGTTCGGAGATGCGTCTAGGGCCAGGACCCGTTTGCGTGGTTCGGTCCCGAAGCCAGCTCTTTTCGGCCGAGGCTCTGGATCAAGTGCTCAGAGCGCTGTAATCGCCTTGAATTTGGAAGTGAATCTCCACGTAGCAAACCATGAAACCGATTACTTGAGGCTCCCTAGTTGCAGTTAGACACAACTCTCTTTCCTGTATTCTTGAGAAGTGAATAGTGAGCTTGCAGGGGCTTGTTCATTTCCAACAAGTGCAGGGGTGTCACTCACGAGTGACCACAAAAAAACATGGGTTAGTGACAAATGGTCTCTATGCCCGACTATGGGTAATACTTCGATGCGCTCAACATTATAACTAAAGGCTCTTTCCAACATGTGGGATGATCTAGCACGTTTTAGTGTCATGTCCAAGAAATCGCCGATATTGAAAAACGAGGCCAATCGTCGATTCCATTGTTGCCGTAGCCCCCATGATGTGGCGGCCAGAGTGACAGAGTTGTGCGGATTATCTGGGATATTCACCTCGACAAGCTACTGATGAGCAGACCCAGAAAACTTACAGCCGGCCCCGCTAACCGTCGAGTTAGCTGCTTGGTAAAAAGGACAAGGCCAGCTGTCGTGAACATGTCCGCCATGCAGACCTCAAAGGTCCCACATTTAGGAACAACAGCTCAGATGCAACCTACCTCGCAGCACAAGCTTCGAGTGCAACCTGGAGTTGTTATCCCGTTGTAAAGGGGAAGACTCAGCTGGGGCTCTTCTGAGGCGTGCACCCCCACCAGAAACTAGTTGGCGATAGCCCTCGCCTTGAGCTCCTTCGCTGGATCGGCGATGCTGCGCTTTGTTTAGTATCAGACGGTTTGGAATACCGAGAATATACACCCGTATATAGAGATGTTTGCGTTAAGGGCAGTTTGATGGCTAAATGTTCCGTAGGGAGAAGCAATGGACTTGCCAAGTCACTATGGTGGGTGTAAATCGGACGGCAAATTCGCAAATACTGACAGCTACAGCTGGCTGTAAAAGGGATCATCGGGCGCGGTGGATAGTTTCAGTGGCCTGAGAGTGTCGGGATGGGGGAGAAGCCTGCTGAAGCTCTGTTTCTGGTCCATGGCAGCAACAGAGCGGACACACTATTCGTATAGTCGTGTGCGGACTAAACAGTAACCCGACAAGAAGCAAGAGCCGGCCCTAGTCTGGGCGTGACGCCGGCCTTGGGGGGCCTTGTCTGTCTGGGCTCTGCATTAGTTGAACGAACTGGGAGGGTGGCTGCGACGTGGTTGGCTTACCTGGCGGGAGTGAGGGTCGGTGACAGCCTTGGACCCCAGCGGGTGGTGGATAGGGCGTGTTAGCGGGTGTGTGCCAGCCTTGGAGCTGCGCTCTCAACCGCTCCGGCTTGGACGCTTGTGAACCTTGTCAGTGCGTGTGGTGGGGAGGAAAGGGAGCAAGACTGGGGTGAGGTCGGTAAGCATGCCCACCTTAAACGAAATCTGATGTCGGGTACCTTGGGTCTCGAGGTACTTCGTACATCTCGTCCTTCGCCTTCTGCCAACGGCCCGGATGGCAACGATTGAGGAGGGCATGATAGTTGTACGCCCTCCTCGCTCTTTTTTTGCTTGTTTCTTTCCCCCACATCAATGCCGGCCCCCAATCTGCCTGCATTTTGACCCGCTGGGGTCGCCCAGAGATACAAGCTTTGGTATATAAGGACGTTGTCCGTAAGGCTGTCCCATCGCCATCGTTGATCAAGGTTCTCGTTCAGACCAGCCGTGATTTTAAAACCGCCCGTTTTTGTTATAAAGTTGATGGTATCGCTCTTCTTTAGCTTCCTGCGCCACAAGTTAGCACCATCGACTTGGCAACCCGCCATTCAGACATACACATAGACATACGCACCTTGTCGCATCCCCACACACGACAAGCACGTCAACATGTTTGCAACTTGGAAATACGACCGCGACACCTCCGAGGTGCAAAACATTCGTCTCGCGTATGATCCCATCTCTGCTCGATCGAGTCAACATCAAGCGTGCGACCGCTGCCATGAGAAAAAGGTAAGCCTCTCACCACAGGGCGACGAGTTTGTACGGTTGAAGTTGGGGTGCCGGCCGGTCTGCCAACTACCCGCCATTGCCAGCTGCCAAACACCACCTCACCTTCTCCGGTGCCCGTTTGCTCCTTTCACCTCTGCCATGCCAGTCCGCTAACCATATTCTCACGCTTTCCAGTTAAAATGCAGCGGTGAAAAGAACGGTTGTGATCGCTGCGTCTCCAGCGCCCATGCTTGCGTCTACAATCGCAGCGAGGCACGATGCTCTCGCCGGGGCAAGAGGGGCAGCAGCCGGTGCTCGACCGATGGTGGTAGCGCCATTGACGACTCGCTGAGCCGGAACGCCAGTAACGCGGGGTCGCCCTCGCGACGAAGCACACAGGCGGGGCAGCAGAACCGCGTCCGCAAGGGCTCCCAGTCACGGCGCAAGTCGACCTGCTCCTCGGCCGCGCAGTCGCGCTCGTCGACGGAGCCCGACGCCGACTTCACATCGCCCCGCGCCTCGGCCGCCCCCTCCGTCACAGGCAGCCCCTACTGCCTCGCCGCCAGCTTCGCCACCATTTCGGAGAGCGGCGACTTCGAGGCCGCCCTCGCCAGCCCCTACGACGCCGGCCTGGCCGCGCACCAGCAACAGCAGCACCTCCCATACTCGATGCACTACCACGACTGCGGGTACCAGTCGGGCGCTGTCTGGCCCGACGCCTACCCGCGTGATCCGAGTACGTCGGCGGGCATGAGCAACTCGTTCCTCTCTACTACGTCGAACCCGCACGCATTCACGGTCCTGACACCGCCCGACGAATATATGCAGTTTCAGGCCTTTGCCAGCCTGCAGACTGCTGGTGCTGATCTCTGGCCCTACCACCGCTAGAAAAAAGACACAGAGCATACATGACGATACGTTTTTCTTGATTGCTTCTTCAGCATACATTGGCATGATGTCACGACCAGCATTTCTTCCTTCTACACGTGTATTCATATCGCTGCTGCAAGCACTTTGGGTTTCTTTCAGATGCGAGTTTCGTCTTTGGTGTTAATTCGGTGTGGGCCTTGATCTTGATCAATTTTTTCTACTGCCCGAATCCTCTTTACTAGAAGCGTTTTAGTAACTAGTTAGGCGAGATTCACAGCTTTGCTACTCCATACATGGTGTTATATAGACCGGACAAAAGTAACGACGATTTCTCTTCACTTTCCACACAAACTTCAATTACCATAGGGATGTTTTACTACAGACGCGGAGTAACTGCGTAATACGCAGGATACTATCCAACCATTCTAATGGCGAGTAGATGAATGCGCATGTGTAAGAGCCGCGATTCCATGCTATACGAGTGGTGAGTACCCAAGTGAAATTACAAAGTCCACGGCTATGTAGCCAGCGAGACGATTAAAAATAGTATACCAGACAAAGTTTCCAGTGTACTACACGAAATGGCGGACCAGGCATACTGCGACCAGAGAGTACCACGAGCCAGCACTTGTATCGAGCACAGCCAGTGCCACTTGGGGCACGCTCCGCCGTTGTCAATGGACAAGACACGGAGTGGAAAGGGCACTAACTAGCTGACAACTGAAACAAGAATAAAAATAAACACGTATAAAAGCCAAAAATGTCCACAGACTGGTCAGATGAGATCCGGGGCGGCATTACCAAGGCCGATAGAGTCGGCCCCGGCCCGGACACTTTTTTTTGTTCGAGCTGGGCGCACGGTGTCCCACACAGCGCAGCACCGACCAAATACGTCATCGAAGAATTGATCGAGGGGGGGTCGTCTCCGCAATAAACGAGCCGATGCGGGTTAGATTGTTGCTGATCAAAAAATCCGGCACAAAAGCAATTACAGTCCCTTTGTATTGCATGACAGCAGCCGAAACAAAACCTCCGATGATCCGCCGCCAGAAGAAAGGAGAATTCCTTTGAAAAGCATTTCTATCATCAATTGCGAAAATAGGCCATATGTTCTTCTTCAGTAGTGCCGCCTTTGTACCCGAACCCAGCTACAAGACAGCTCTTCCAAGAGGTACTGTATGGTACCATGCCAAGCCGTATCCGCGCCGCGTGGACCTGCACATCGCACACCAGGAGCTCAGCCACCAGGTTGTAGATTGGTCATGGCACCTAACTCATCAGTAGGGCTGAATTCGCCAAGTTGAAACATTGTGCCCGCCACTGCAGGATGGAGCGCCAAGGGCAACCAGGCGCCCAGCGAGTCGAGACATTGCTCGTACTGTTCCACTTACTCCCATGTTCTCTGCCTTGCCATGCTCAAGTTCTGTACCCTGGTTCGTCGGTGCATGATGCTGGAGACTGTTTGTACGACTTGGCTAAATTACCCTTTCTGGCAACACGGACAAGGGGGTCGGCACACAAACCGTGAAAGCTGATTGGTCGCGTAGACGAGTTGACAAGTTTCTGGCAGCCTTCTTTTGCTTTCTGTCTGGCGAAGCCCTGAAGAATGCCCTGTTAGACGGGCTTTTCCCCTTGGCGGACTTGCGTGCTGCGTCCAATCCTCCCGCAACCCGTAAAATAAGCCGTCCCTGAATAAGCGTGCCTGGATCTTGGGGGCGTAGGATGAAGGCCCGATGGCGGGCGTGCGCAGACAAGTCCGTACCCCTTGTGTTTTTTGGGGGGCCTTGACCTTATGAACTGCGCATTTTGCTAAGATGCTTCCTTCTTCCACGCCACGTTCTCTGCAAGCCCGCCGCACGGGCAGTCGGCGGAGCGAGGGATTTGAGAAGAGGCCCGCCACCAGTCTGGACCCCTTTTTAGACAAAACAAGGGCTAGGGACAACTTTAATTCCCTCTTCTTTAAGCATAGATTAATACCTCTTTTAGTATAATTGACAGCAACGGCAATATGGAGCGCGGCCAGTCACCCAACGGAAGCTCCCAAAAGATATCCATCGCCCGCCAGGGCTGAGGTAGGACAAGGGGGTGAGCCGGTAGTTACTTGGGGTGTGGCTGGAGGAGCAAGAGTTCTGACAGGCTGGAGATGGAGACACTTGATTGGCGGGAGGCGAGGAGGTGAAGACTGTTCAAGAGTTGGTCCCTTTCAGCGAATTGCCGCTTGAGTGTAATTTGAAGTCATTGGTATCGACGTTCATTGGGTACCATAAACTGTCACATGTTTAGGGGATAGACAAGGCTGCTTTTGCGCTGATGAACCGTGAGACAATAGTCCGCTATTACCACTCAACTAGGAAAAAAACCAGGAAATAAGAAAAGAAGAGGCCGAGACCGGAAATGCACTCATATGTAGGATTAGCGTATCTAACAACGGGCGGGTTTCAATTGTCTCGCATCTTGGCCCCCATCCCGTTCATTAGGGGACACAAAGTTCTGCAATAAAACGCATTGAAACGAAGGACGTTGAAAAAGCAATTCAGAACAATTTTGAAATACTTGCATATATTATACAGCACTAGCAAATATTGATCAGCTTTGCTCCCAACACCCCAGACCCCGGAGAGCCACCGTTGGACTTCCACATCGTATTCTCTCCAATCACACTTGTGACTTGCAATATCATGCTCTGTAGTATCGGTCTGCCGCCACCCTGCAGACTTGGCAGGTGGTGTGTGGGCTGCGTGGCTTCGACAACAGCTATCCGTAGTTAAAGCCAGCTACCGAGCTTCCGCGATTGATTCCGACCAGCCTCGTTTCTCTCCAATTATCAACCAGAAGAACAAAAAAATAGTAATAATCCGTGCCTCAGACCATAGCCCACTCAAAAAAGTCCCACCACCTCAATCGGTCGTCAGACCATATCTTATGCAAAAAAATTGAAACGAGCTGGTTGGGCGTTTTCTGCTCACGCCGACCGCCCATTGGCCAGCGAGCCAAGCCCGGGTGGTGACGACATAATTTTTCCCATGCCGGGCACGGGCTCCAAGCTTCCAGCCATCAACACCAATTTGTCCCTGCGCCATTCGTCGCACCCCTTTCGCAATGGCCTCCGGCGACAACAGTCCTCTCCCGTCGGAAAAGTCCATTCTTCAACGCATAGAGGACTGGGGTAGTGAGTAGCGAGCCCAGCCTGAATTCCCTTGTTTCCCCCCTCACCAACCTGCGCGCGCCACGCGACCTCTCCCCTCGCATTCAACGCAACGCAACGCAACCCGAACCACGCCACGCGCCCCCCCTCCCCTTTAAACCCACACAAAGACAAAAAAACGCTGGCTTACACAAGCATCTGCTCAGCATCGTCCCTGCCGCCCTCCCTGCTCGCCACCCTCGTCACGGCGCTGCACGCCCGGCCGCTGCAGCCCGTCCCGCTCTTCCTCTTCACCCCGACGCTCCTCTTCTCCTCGTACCTCAACCTATCGGGCTTCACCACGGCTAGCGCGGGCCTGACGGCTGCCTGGTCCGGCCTCTACGCGCTGCTCGCGCTGCGCCGCCCGCAGGGGCTGCGCGCCAAGTTTTCCGCGCGGGGACTGGTCCGCGGTTCGGCTGTTGGCCTCGGCGCCGCCAATGCCGTCGCCGGCGGCTGGGTGTACATGAAGGGCGACTTTCGAAAGGACGACGACCGCCGACGCGAGCGGAAACGCTGGAACGGCGACTAACTATGGAGACGGTCGTGACGAATAGCGCGGAAACAACGGGCGTATCTGCACCGTCGTAGCTTCATGTCCGATCTGTGCTGGACGGCCGAACGCTGATGGGAGCAAGAAGTCGTAGCTTGTACGCTAACCTAATTATGTATTCTATTGTGTAATATATTGCAATTTTGCGCAAACAACGATGCTTTGCCGCTCATGGTCAATTGTGTTGTCAATTTAAGGCCTCGGGTGTTATACGGCGGAAGAGGCAGATCGGTACCAACAGCTACCAACCGTCGTCGTACGATAGGCAATATGGGACTTCGGGAGAGTCGGCAACGTAGTCTAATTTACTTGATTGACAGCTCCCTTATTAAGCAAAGTATGATAAAGCTGAAAACCTGAGCAGGCTGTCCAAGTGTCGGCCATGCAACCGAGGCAGATGGCCCGATAGTCAACAACACCTATATTATCATCACTTCTTTCCTCACATATGTATGGCCAGCCTGGCTGCAACCAGGTTGGTCAGGACGGGGTCTTGCCTCAACGACACCCCTTCTCATGCAGCGAACCTCGCCTCCGCACCCCCTGTGCAGGTACGCTTTGTTGAAGCAGCTGTCGAGTGCTACGTGCCGCTGCGGCGCCGATGCAGCTATACTATTCGGGTCATGGCCGATGCGGAAGGATAAGTAAGGCTGTTCACAGCCTTGGATTTGCACTTAGAGCGGCGGGGAATGGGGGCGGCTCGGTTGCGCTGCAGAGGGCCGACGCGGTCGGGTCCGTGAGATGCAGTCAACGGCGATCAACCACAGATGGACATGCTATATTATCTGCGGAATAGCGCTCCCGGCTACTCGGTGATGCTCGCGTCTCGATGCTGATGGGGATTTAACCCCCAAGCTAGCGAACAGCCACTTCAGGATTACCAGTATCCTGGGATTGTAGCGGCTTCGGATGGAATAGGATAAAGAGTCAAAGCATTCAGGCATAGGTCCTTGAAATTTCTCAAGTTGTTACACTTTCTTTGATAAATACAGCTCATCAAGTCGAGTCCGTGATGTTTCCAGTGTTGTACTGTTGTCAGGCTCCGGCCGAACGAGAGTTCGACTCGGCCGGTGGGCAGTGCGCAGCATCCCGGCAAGGCGAGCGACGAGTACCGAATTTTTACTATCATACTTATACGCTAACCAACAAAAGGGTACAATTATGAGGTCAAGGGAATGGAAATTTGGCGGTGGAGCGACGGCCATATGTTCAGCTCGACTGAACAAGGCTGGTGATTCAAGGCGAGATGAGCTAGGCAATTAGCGTGGCAGGGCAGAACTAGTACCGAGCGTGGTTCAACCAAGGCTTTGAACATATGATACGATGTTCAGTGCTTTGACAGGACGTTGTAGGTGAAAGAAGATGGAAACATACAGTGCAGCACCGTGTATCCTGTCTCTAAGCACTTTGCCTTGAAGTCCCCCCATCTCCCCATCTCCCGAGGGCTGGTGTGTGTGGATCTGGGGAGTGAGATGAAGGCTTCCCGGCCTAACAACACACCCTCGTCTACACGGCCAATCACAACCCCGGTCCTGCACTTCGTTCACTTGCATGACGCTAACCAGTAGAACACTTCGATGGCCACCCAGTCTGGCTTTTACAAATAAAAAAGCAACCACGCTGACGCGGCGGACCCTTTCAGTTGAACAAGGCGTAAAAGTCGTCTTAATGGAGCCCGTCGATACGCCCCTCTTAGCTCCGGATGTACCTTTTTCTAGTTGATACATGCTCGCCTCGCTCCTCTCCCACGAGGGGCGTGACGCACAGCAAGGCGGTGCATCATGACGTCCATCTAGGGGCTCGGGAACCTGTGATTTGATTAGTGTCATGCGCAGAAAGGGACATCCGTTAGAGTCAGCCTCAGTGGGGCTTATTATACAGCGGTATGGTAGAACGGCGGTCACAAGTGCGCGAGGAGACAGGAATGGACATTGCGATAGGGTCCTGCTGCGCCTTGAGAAATTGCGCATCATGGCCGGAATCAGGCTGCGTGTTGCGTAGGCGTCTGCGTATCGCGAGGGCATGTGATGGGAGAGCGACGCGTGGACTGTTGCATGCGTGGCTTGCCATGGCCCAACAGTGGAAGAGTAGATCTCGGACTTGGTATCAATCTTCTTCGTAGCTTGAGGTCCTTCAGCTGAATGGCAAGGCGAGCGAAGTTACTTTATTAGGCGTTTCGGGTATCGCTCTCCATCGGGACTCGTTTATGCACTGTCAGATCCGTATGAAAGGAATCGCCACATGCCTTTCCAGGATACGATGCTAGAGCTAGCCCATTCCGATGCAATGACAGGTCAAATAACTAGTCCTATTTTCATGGCTGACGATATTCTGTTTGTTTTCTGTCGCAGCTAGCGCGCTTTGCTTTACCTAACCTCACCCATGTTAATACTCATAGTGTTCCCTTGGTTGACTTTACTCGAATGTGAGCACGTTGAGCCCGCCGCTGCCGAATCTACCAACGAATTCTCCTCGCAGTTGGTTAGGATAACGAAACTGCAGTTTGGTGAGACTATTATCCCTTGTGGCAATGATTTGCCTACCCAGTCGTGAAGTCATCGACGCCAATTCAGCACGCCTGTTGAGACCCAAGTTGGCACCATCGGTAATGACACAACCGAAAAATCTTACTCCAAAGAGCAACCAATGCTCCGGGGATTACCAGCGTCCTCCAACCAGATCTATGGCAGCACACCCATATCTGCGATTGACATGCGACAATTTATGTTATTGTGCATCGCCAGCCATTGGCAGAGAGACGAGATCCAGAGCGGAGTATCTCCTTGGGTAAAGTAGCGAGGGTATAGTCCACCGTGTATGGATATATCATTCAAAAGTCATGGAATTTGCTCTGTCAAAACGTGCCCGACCGAGGAGCCGCAGGCTGGCAAACGTCCTGGTCCTGTCCCGAGATCATTCTTGGACCCGTCGGCGCAGCAGAGTCGACGACGGCAAAATTTAGCAAGACATGCTCGATGCACCGATTTCGAGACGAATGTTTTTGAACAGCTACTCTTCTCGCAGTAAACAGGCAACTTGGACGGGGCGGTGTTGTAACAGGCCACTGAGTGCCAAGATGTGTTGACCAAACGACTGCAAATTGGCATTGTGTCCGAGAAGCACACGAGGCCCTGTCAAATTGTGAGATAGGGGTTGCCTAGAGCCCCGATCAATTTCTATCTTAGCTAAAAATCTCTAAAATTGGAAATCGCCAAATCCATCAGCGAAGCTTCTTCACATACAAACTACCTGCCGTAAGCGTTTCCAATGCCCCGTCTCGAACCTTAAAGAAAATATATTTGAAAAAAACTTCATTGAAACCGCTTTTTGGCTATGCTTGAGGTTCGAATCTGAGATCACCCTATTTTGCAATGCTGACCTATTCGCGAGCTCATATCAACTATGTCAAGAGTATAGGGTAAGAAACGGACAAAAGACGGGGTGTCCAAGCCACACTTGACGCCACACATTCGGAGTTTGCCTAGGTAGTTATGGGATCTGTGGCTGGGCAAAAGGCCAGCGTAACAACGCCACGTTAAAATTCGCCTCTTTTCTCTGCGCTTCCATCTTGGCTTCTCAACACCCCTCTTGTCGTAACTCTGTCCATCTCTTACTCGCCGTCTCCCGAGTCCTTTCCGCTCCTCAACTCCTGTACCCGTCTACTCTCCACCTCGCTGCAGTTATTCACAATGGCCGGCCTCAGCCCCCAAATGTAAGGAGTCACTCGCTGATTTTCGCTTCTGGGCTACCGAACCAACGCTCGAACCCCCTGTTTCCGACGACATCGACCAGCGACATGCAACAGACAGGCGGACGTGGTTGCGGGAAGAGCTCGCGCGATGCGCAGTCTATGCGACGACAATGGCTAACTAGATTGATGTAGCACCAACCTGATCATCATCCTTGGTATGATGCAGGTGTCTAAGCGCATCCCCTTCGAAGATCCCCAGGTTCTCAACACGGTCCGCGCCGTCTACATTGGTAGTAATGTTGTTATTGCCCTCATCTACGCCTACATCATGACCCAGATCAACAAAAAGAAGGGTACGTCAACGACCGACGACTACGATATTGCCTCGGCGGCCGTTACCAGTGTCACGCGACGGCAAAACAGGTACTAACTGGCAATAGACATGACCACCCTCAAGTACGTCGAGCCTGCCCCCATGGGCTCTTCCGAGGAGGGCAAGCTCGTCACCACCACCATCCACGCTTACGACACCGCCCAGCTCAAACAGGCCTTCCGCGGTCAGCTCATGGCCGTCGGCATGATGGGCTTCATGCACCTGTACATGAAGTACACCAACCCCCTCATGATCCAGTCCATCATCCCTGTCAAGTCCCTGTTCGAGAGCAATCTGGTCAAGATCCACCTTTACGGCCAGCCCGCTGCCGGCGAGCTCAAGCGCCCCTTCAAGGCCGCCGCCGGCTTCATGAGCGCCCTGCAGGGCGGCCAGACCCAGAGCGACAAGAAGGCTGTCGAGGCTGCCGAGAAGGCCGGCCGTGGCGGCGCCAAGGAGGAGTAGATACGCGTACATTGAATGATGATAGACGGGGTGGAGAGGGTTACGGGACATTATAGAGAGCGGAATAGCCCTGGTTTTGGATGCACTACGATTGGGCAATGGTAGCAAACGACGGGTACGCCCGCGTTGTAAGATTAGTTAACGTGCCAATGCGGTCTGGTAATAATCTGCATTAATCTTGTCTGGCAACAAGCTATGTCTGGTATCAAGTTATATGGCCATACGTGATGAGTTATGCGATTTGCGACGTGGTATTCCACTTTCAAATAGGATCACGTGTAGACGTGAGTGGGTGGCGATGACGACGGATCGCTGGCGTGAATCTGCGACGCAGCCCCTCCAACCTAGCCCGCATTTTCAACTTTGCAATCACAGAGGTTACTCTGTGCTGCAATTATACAGGTCCACCGGGCAATTTTCGACAGGATACGGCAAATACAGGATACGGCAAATTCTTGCTCAACAATGGAGCGGTCAAAGACGCCACCACCGACTTCGCGGCCACCCGCCAAGTCGCCACTCACGCCCGACCAGCGGAGGCGCATAGTGAGTCTGCTGTCCAGATGATCCGCGCATGCATTCTTTCTGACCTTTGACAACCAGGAAGAAAACCGGTTAAAAGCCAAAGCGATTCGCGATCAACGAGAAGCCGAGCAGCGCGCAGCAGGCACCGCGCCCACCCTTCCCAAGACGGCCGCCGGCTTCGTCCCAACCGATGACGTCTACGTCTCCAAGCCGGCCAACGGCAAGCGTCCTCTGGCCGCCGCCGCCGCCGACACGGGCACGAATCGGGACGGGCGCGATCGCGGCGACGCGGCGGAGGCGCTGCGGCCGGTCAAGAAGTTTGCCAAGTTTGTCGACTACGACATGAGCGCCATGACGGACACCAAGGGCGGCTTCCTCTCGACCGAGGACGACCCGCACAACCGCGCGCTGGGCGGCGCATCCAAGCCCGGCGGCGGCGATGACCAGCAGCCGCAGCGGCCCAAGGACATGACGATGCGGGAGTGGGAGAAGCTGCAGCTGCTACGGACGCTGCGCCGGCAAAAGGCGGGCCCGTTTGAGCCGGGCATCAGCGTGCTGGACGACGAGAAGACGCGGAAAAAGTGCCGCGAGTGTGGCAGCCTCGAGGTGGACTGGGTCTGGGAGGAGGTCTTTCATCTCTGCGTGTGCAACAAGTGCAAGAACAATCTGCCAGACAAGTACTCGCTGCTGACCAAGACGGAGTGCAAGGAGGATTATCTGCTCACAGATCGTACGCCCCCCCCCAAGACACGGTTGACGTTTGAGTTTACTGACCACCGCGCAGCCGAGCTACGCGACCCGGACCTGCTGCCGCATCTCTCCAAACCCAACCCGCACAAGTCGCACTGGCACGACATGATGCTGTTCCTGCGGTGCCAGGTGGAGGAGTACGCGGTGCAGACGAAATGGGGCTCGGCCGACGCGCTCGACGCCGAGTACGCGCGCCGCGAGGCCCAGAAAAAGGCCCGCAAGGAGCGCCAGTTCAAGGAGAAGCTGACGGACCTCAAGCGCAAGACGCGGACGGACGCGTTTCGCCGCCAAGCCGGCCACCTCGGCACCACCGGCGCCAGCAAGTTTGGCGATGCGGTGGGCGGTCACGGAAAGCACGTGCACGAATGGGGCCGGACGGTGGAAAACGAGGACGGCATGACGGTCAAGACGTGCGCGACGTGCGGGATGGAGGTGGAGGAGCTGGAGCTGTGAGGGATGAGGGCTGGGTTTGGGGAGTAGATAAGGGGCGGACGTGGCTTGCATTGGGTGAACGGGCGTTGACGGATATACCTTGGGACGATTGTTGCATTGATAGACGCTGCATTTTATGATACATGATATAGAAAAGTTGTATAAACAAAGCTGGAATTCCCTACTACACGACGAGGTATGCAAGGTACATGAAGTGGCCATGTAGCGCTATGATAATACATGATGATATGTGATGATTGATATACAGAGCCCAAGGCCAAATACAAATATGCGAAATGCGAGATGAGAATAGGTCGCTGCCGATTGAAATGCTCATTGCCTTGTGAATGCAGTCCCGAGAATACTATTCAGCCAGTTCCCGATAGGCTGTGCTTGGTGGCTCGCGATGCCTGCGTCGGCAAGCTGCGCGGACCAGTCGTTGATGTTGTACATGGTGACGCCGACCAAAGAAGAGAGATCCCTGCGCGCGCCGTTTCCGTTTTCCACCTGAAAGCGCTCGATGACGCCCTGCTTTGCCTCAATATAGACGCGTTCCTATGCACACCGTTAGCAAAACCGCCGCCACAAGCGACTGCGCGCGCGCGCGCTCCTCAAAGAACATGCCTCAAACGGGAGTTTCGGCCGCGGCCGCGGGTCCTGCTCCGTCGGGTGCGTGCTCAGCGTGAACCGCGGCGTCTGGCCGTACAGCCACTCGCGGGACGCCATCTCGGCATAGCCGCGGCGGACGGGATCCACGGCGCGCGCGGGGCCGTCCTCGACGACGGCGCGCACGTCGGGCGGCCCGTACATGGCCTCGAACTCGCGGACGACGGCGTCGCGGAACGCGTCGGCGTCGAGGTCGAGGTTGCGCACGGGGCTGCGCACGCTCTCCACGCCGCGGGCGCGCACAAACGGCGCGGCCGGCGCGCGCAGCAGCCCCGAAATGGCGTCGAGGTGCGGGCTGCGCAGCAGGCAGGTGCCGTGGTGCAGCGACCGCAGCCGGGTGAGCTTGTACGCGGAGCCCGAGACCTTGAAGGTGGCACCGGGTTCGTCGACGACGATGTCGTGGCGCGCGTTGACGCGCGCGGTCGGCCGCCCGAGGCGGCGCAGCGCGCGCACCACCATGTCCGCGTGCCGGTCCCGGTCAAACGCGGCCGACGGACCAATGACGCTGAAGTTGACGTTGCCTGGATCGTGGAAGACGGTGCCGCCGCCGGAGCGCCGCCGCACGAGCTGCACGCCACCGCCGGCGAGGCGCGCCAGGTCCGTCTCGATCCACGGGTTCTGGTTGCGCCCGACGACGACGCACGGCGCGTTGGCGTAGAGCATGAGCACGGTCGCGTCGGCCGGCACCGTCCGCAGCAGGTGGTGCTCGACCGAGAGGTTCAGCAGCGGGTCGGCGGAGCGCGACAGGTAGATTTGCGTCTTGTGCGAGGGGTCGGCCGCCGCGGCCGTCGAGAAGAGGCGGCGCGAGAGCTGGCACAGGAGCCGCGGTCGGCAAGCCATTGTTGGGGGGGCCGGGAATGGGCAAGGCTTTGGCTTTTTGCGTCGAGGGAAGGTGCGGGTTATTGGTGAGGCATGGCGTGCGATTGGGCGTGGAAGCGGTAGTTGTTGGTGTTGGTGGGAGAGGGTGAGGTCGTGAGCTTGAGGGAGGGCTTGACTTAGTTGATGGGGGCCGGATCGGAGATTTATTACGGAGCGTGTGGGTGGTATCAACGAATGACCAGCAAACCACTTGTACGTTTGCAAACAATACAATGACTTGCTTCGTTTTTACTGATGAACCGAAACACTATTTTCTCCTTCGATTATATATCTGGTGCAATTATCGCCATGGTGTGAATTTCCACGGCAACAAAACAGCCACCACCCGAAACTCCTACTGCGTGCGGCCCGTACAAGGTTTATAAATCTAGTATGTGCACGTAGACCGGAAAAAGCGGCAATGTCGAGCGAAGGCTTCTCTGAATCGATATATAAGAAAGGAGCTACGTCACGGCTGCGATTCCGTTCCATAGTTGATTTTCATCAAAGTGACCAAGTGTTTTGTCATTCAGCATGTAAAAAGAAAATCCGCCGTGAGCAAAGATCCTATGCAGAGTACATGTTCATATCATAAGTCCAAAACTCCATCCAGTGCGCCATACAGTGACATGATGTGAAAATAATAGCTACCTCTTTTTACGCTTTCGCTTTGCCCTCGCTTCCAAACACCCATGTTTCCAAGCACACACAGATAAATAATTTCCAGAAAGATGAATACATCGCTTGCTACCTTGCAATGCCATAAAACACACATAATACATAGAAAAAAGGCCGCTTCCGGGCATGTTGAGCTAGGGAGTCTCAAACAAACCCAGCATGTCCGTCGTGAGGTCCAGCCAGGAGCCACTGACCAGGTCCTGCTGGAGCCCCAACTCCTCGACGTCAATGTCGCGGCTGTTGAACGTAATGCCATCCATCTGGCCCATCATGGGTCCGCCGCCCCAGGTGCCAAACTGCGGCGCCATGGTGCCGTACATGGTGGCTGACGAGTGGCTCACGTCACCGGCCGGTGGTGGTGGTTGTGGCGGAGGCGGCGGCGTGGCACCAAACGTAGCCGCGTCAAATGCCGCCGTTGCGTGCTGGCTGGTCGGCGCGTACGCCGGCGGGGGCGGGGGTGGCGGCGGGGGCGCAAAAATCTTGGCGTCATCGCTGACGCTCTCGAAGCGCATGCCGTTGGGGACGATCCTGGCCGAGGTGCCTTGGTGCGGCGAGTGTCGGAGCGCCGAGAGGTTGGGCTGCGGGACCGCTGGTGGGAACATGGTGCTCGTCTGCGTCGGGCGGATCGGGTCGTAGATCATATTACCGGGGGGCGTGCTGCCCTCTTTGCGCGAGACGGGCTGCGGCGGCGGAGGACGGGACGACGAAGTGGACGGGGCCTTGGTAGGCCCGCCGGTCGGGGTGGTGCTGCTGGACTGAACAAGGCCCCCGCTACCGCCGCCCAGGGCCGCGGCCTGGTACATGGCGGTAAAGTTGGAGTTGGGCGAGTTGGCAGTACCGGAGAAGCTCCACGCAAAGGCGCCGGGCGGGATGGGCGAACCCTGGTTATTGAGGCGGCTGAGCTGGTCGCCGATGCTGGCCTGCACGGGCGGCGGCAGCATCAGCGACTTGGTGCTCTCGTACTCTTCCGTGGTGTACGTCTCGACGTCGCGCGTTCCCTTGGATTTCTGGTCCAGCGCGGTTAGAATGTACTTGATGCCGCCCCAGTAGCCGTGAATCTCCTGGAGCGAGTTGTAGCAGCGCTGGTAGTTTTGCGTGGCGGCCGAGGCGAGCATCGAATGGCGCGACGAACGACCGCGGGCCGCCGCGGCGCTCTTGCGATCGGTAGCCGGCGGCGGTGAGGCCTCACGCGAGGGGCCTTCAGAGGCGTTGGCGCTCGACTCCATGAGAAAGGCGCCGGCGGCAATGTAGATGGGCTGGCTGGTGAATGGGTTGCCGATGAAGCTCTTGGGGTCAATGAGGTCGGCAAAGGAGAGAATATCGCAAATGGTCTTTGCGCTGCTCATGCTCAGCTCGCGGCTGTCGGGCAGCAGCTGGAGCTCGCTGCGCAGCTCGCCAAACGCCATGAGCACTGTCGGTTGATGCAGGTTGATGAAGAGGGCGTGGAACCACAGGTGCAGCAGGATAAAGATGTTGCCCTGGCCGTCCTTGAGGTAGTGCTTAAAGTTGTTGACGTTGAACTGCAGCCGGTGGCCCCAGTTCTTGTACAGCCGTGTCAGCTGGTGTTCCATGGTGCTGAGCTTGCTCCAACGGTCCTGCGTCAGGTCGTCGACGTGGTGGATGTTGTTCAGCACGTCGGACACGCGACCATAGAGGTGCACGATTTGCACAAGCACGGGGAAGAGCGTCGGCCAGCCCGTGTTGGGATCCGTGCTGGCTTCGGGAAACGGAAGCTCAAAGTCGTCGTCACGGAGAGTGACGGGGCGGCCCGTGCCGGAGGAGATGATGCGATCTAGGACGAAAACGGCCCAGAACGTGTCGATGCGTTCCTGCTCGAGCTCGCGCTGCCCAGTTTCGCTAAGGTCGCCGTCGTCACGGCGGCGATCTTCTGGGCTCTCGGAGTCGGTGGTCCCGCGACTGCGCTGCTGCGTGTTCCAGGGGTCCTTTTCGCCTTGATACTTGATGCCGACACGTTTCTGTAGGCCGAGGTCGAGAGCCATGCGAATGGCCAGGCCGAGATACATCCACAGAGCACTGTCCTGGTTGGCACCGAAGCCTTCATAGGCCATGAGCAAGCAGGCCTGAACAGCCTCGACGCTGGGGCAGGCGAAAGTGTCGACGGTGGCTTGCTTGGCGCGCTGGGCAAAGACGTGGCCGCGTTCGGTCCGGGGCATCTTGTCGTTGCCGCCCGTTAGCGAGGGCGAGTCCGAGAAGCGGGCAGCGAGGGCGCATATCGAGTCGACGAGGATGGGCTCAACCCTCTTCTCGCGGATATGACGGAGAGCCTTTTCTTTTTTGAGAAAGGGAAAGTTGCAGCCGACGTGGGCGAAGAAGATCTCGACGAGGTGTAGGAGGAGCGGATGAACGGGCCCGGGGGCGTTGGGGTCATACGAGGGCGGGTCATCGACGACGACATCGCTGTTGCCGGTGGAGCTGGCGGCAAAGACGGTGCTGTGGGTGGAAAGGGGCGAGGTGCCCGGATGGGAGCCAGTGGCCGAGGTGGACAGGCGGCGGTCGCGGACAGCGACGACCATCTGCTTGAAGCCGGGGACGATGGCGGTGGGACCAAAGTAGCGAAAGTAGGGGATGCGGTAGCTGTAATTTTGCGTGCGGCGCAGGGCCGTCGGGGACGAGGGTAGGTCATCTGTCGAGCCCGTCTGGGGCGGGTGGCTGGAGGACGAGGGCGAAGGCGCGAGACCGGCTGGTGTGGCCAACGTGGCAGCGTGCGGAGGCGTGACCATGGCGTTGGCGGCGTGCGGAGACGCGAGGATAGGTAGCTGGACCAAGGAGGGGCGCGCTCGCGGGCCGATGCGGGTGGGAGCAGCATGGGTGTCGCGGTCCCCGGTATCGCGGTCCGTTGCGCGGGAGGGTCGGTCGGCCTCGGCCCCGATTGGCGGGTCGGGACGATGGTGAGCGGCGGAAGACGAAGACGCCGTGGTAGCTGGCTCGTGGTCGTTGTCGTCACCGATGTCGGGGCCGTCGCGCTTCGACTCGTCGGGATAGCCCAAACATTTGTGGCCGTTTTTGGAGCAGGTCGAGCAGGTCGGGCGCTCGCCGTCGCAGCGCGTCTTGCGGCGTCTACAAGTGAGGCATCTATAAGAAGCGAAGCGGTTGCGTGTCAGTGAACTAGTCGTGCGAAACGCGTCGCAGGTGCGTAGAGGGGCTCGCAGAAAACAAGGAGGGAGGGAGGGGGCGTACGCGGCGTTGATCCGGCGGCGCTTGGAGGGCGGCTGGCCTTGGTTGTGGACAAAGCGAATCTGCCTCGGGGCGGCGGCGGAAGAGTCCGACTTGCCAAAGGTCACATTCATGGCTTGACCATGGCTATGCGAGCGGAGGGGGGAAGCGGGCTGGCGACGAATGGAATGGCGAGCGCAAGAGTTGGCGAGAAAGAGAGGGGTGAGCGGGAGAGCGGGAGAAGAAAAGAAGGCCGGCCGGTTGGGCTGGGTGAGTGTTGCGCAGGTAAGGCTATGGTGCGTTAGTGATATGTGGGCGGTTGGTGGCGCTGGTAGGTCGTGGCACGTCGTATGCGGTCAGAGGTTGGTGGAAATGAATGGAAAATGGGAAAATGGAGATGGAGGTGGCGGAAGACCTGGATGTGGTATTGAGAGGGAGGTAGGCCCCAGAGATGGCGAGGATGGCTACGGGTTGAGAGGGAGGAATATCGTGAGGTTGATGGATGGAGGAAAAAGGCGGTTCGTCCGTTTGAACGGCGGGTCGCAGCCCGCAGCCCCGTTGTCACCTGGAGAAGCGTGGATACAGTGGTACCATGGTGATAGTGCGGGGGCGGCAAGAGAAAAATCCGGGAAAATAGCAGTGGTACAAAGATGTACAAGTTGATATTGACAATTTCCCGAACAGTCTTTTCTGTTATGGTACCGATGTTGAATGGTGGTGTGATGGCTGTGTTTTTGCCAGCTAGTGTTGGTAGTGAGTGGCGGCACGGCAAGTCTGTGTTTGTTGGCGAGCTAAGAACAGTTACGACTACCAGCACGACTCGATAAAGCAAATAACAGAGAATACCATCATATATAAAATAACCCGACATTAACAAAAAGCCAAGAAGACGCGGAGATGCCAAGCGATCTTTCTTTTTTCTCTGTTCAACCAACAACAAGACAAGACGGCCCGCCGGCCGGCAAGAGACAAGCCACGCCCAGCTCTGAAAGACGTCAAAGACGGAAACCGGCCGAGTTGCGCTTTTTCCAACTTTGTCCTTTTCCACCCCGGTTGTTACCCCCGTCGTCACATTGAGTTTAATTTTGTGGCTTGTTGGGTTCTCAACGCCCGTCGTCGTTGATTTGTGGCTTTCCGGGCCGCTTCCCCATCCTTCAATCATAAAGCCGGAATAGTGCCACAACTTCGGCGTTTGAAACAAAGAGAACTGGGAATATATCCGTACAAGACAAGACGCAAACAACCGCAGCATGTCTCGCGTGAACCACGTAGTCTCCCCGTTTCTGCAGCCAGGTCCATGTCACCAGACAATGCGTTGGCAAGTTGATCCTTGTCCATAAGCATGTTACACTGTCCACCTGACCGACACTTTACCAGCCAGACCCCTTTGCTTTGTCCGCTACGACATGTCACGCGCCAGCTGGACTGCAAATTCCAACAAACGACATGTTGAATTGTTCCACGCTATCTCTACTACTATAGTTTTCGCAGATTATAACCGTAGTTATGACCATCTGGCGATCCTCATCAAACTCGTACATTATTGAATGTATCAGAACGCGTCACCTGTGTACCGCATCATCCACCCCTGGCCGTAATCAATCAGTATTTTGTCAACATGTACGGATAATTCGCGTGCGGAGCGGGCCACAGATGGAACCTGCCTGCGTCATCCAAACACCACAGACAAGCCCATATCTCGACACACCTGCCGCCACAGGTCCTCTTGCGCAAAATCCACACCCCTCATATCCTCTAGTCGGCTATGCCGCAGGCCAGTCCCCAGCGCTGCCATGCCGTCCTCGCCTTCATGCGCCTCGTCCGCGCGCCGCCAGACCTCGCGCACGATGCGCCACGACTGCGCGATATTCGCCATGCCCTGGTTCCTATCAATACCCTCAAACGCGCGTGCCGCCAACGCCCGGTCCGCGGCTGTCTGAGCCTCGCAGGACGCCACAAAAAGCGGCCACAGCAGCGCGCCCATCGGCCCGCCGCTCTCCACGGTCCCGACGCACGAGCGCAGGCTTGCCTGCGCGTGTGTCTGTACCATAGGGTGCTCCCGCCGCGCTCCGTAAATGCTCCGGTGTAGGTGCACCAGCGACGAGTGGCGGTACGCCCGCGCGTTGTGCAAGAGTCCGACCAGCGCTGGGCTGCTACTGCTGCTGCTCGACGGCTCCGGCTCCCAGGCTAGGAGCGAGCCTTCAATGGCCGAGGCTGTCGCCTCCAGCTCGGCGCGCAGCGGCGCGGCTGTGGTGGTCTGCCCGCTGTATTCGGCCGCGAGGACTTGGTCTTTGAGCGCGCCGAGGTTTGAGAGCTGGTGCATCACCGGCCACAGCGACGTCGCCATGCCGAGGAGAGCGTCGGCGCTGCCAACGGGTTGCGGCGTGCCGAGGCTGTCGACGGGAAGAAAACCGTCGATGCTCCCAGGCGCGGGTGCAGGGGAGAGAGTTGCTCTTCGAAAAGAGAGTGCCGCGATGACATCGTAGAACCGAAACGCCTGGTGTCGTCAGAGGATGCGTTTGTGTCACGGCTACGCAAACGACTTACCCGTTCTAGAAACGCTCGTGTTGGATCTGATGGCGAGCGGGCGCTTTTTAAAATGGCCATTGCACCTTTCAGATGCCCATGAATGATCTGTGACCGCTCTCGATGCACCAACTATCAACGTCAGCATTTCCCCCGACCTGCACTCACAGCGGCCGCAGACTCACCACCTCGTAGTAGATCAACAACATGACAGCCGCCAGCAGCTCATTCTGGTTCCCCTCTCCCCCCCGCTCAATCAGCGCGGCCAGGTTGCGCGCGGCTTCGGAGTGGAACTCTATGCTACTATGCTCGACGGCCGCGACGCCGCGAAACTCGAGGTGCGCGCTCGACAGCGCGTACACGGCGCTCGCCACCGCGGGGCTGCGCCGCGCCATGGGCAGCACAAGACGCTGAAACGGGTTGCTACCCCCATCGTCCTCGCGCAGAACGATGAGGTGCGACAGCACGTGCGCAAAGTGGTCCAGCAGGCCCCGTCGCCCCTGAATGGTCGTAAACTCGGAGAAGAGCGGCATGTTGAGCTCCAGGTGCGGCGTGGTGTAAAAGGCGCCGGCAGCGTGGCGATGGATTGGCGCCCAGCGAGCGACGGCGCCGGGGGCGACGTCGGAAAGTTCGAGCAAACTGTTAGTAGCGTCTAGCCGGTCGTCTTTTGTAACTGGTTGGGGTGAAGAAGGGTCGGCTGCATCGCTCTGCTGTACGAGGCCCGGTACCGACGACCCCTCCGCACCGACCCCGTCGGCCTCCCTCTGCGCGGTGGTTCTCCTTTGACGCGGTCGCAACGGGCCGTACACGCATTCCTGGCCTGCCTCTTCACACCGGGCGCAAATGGGACTAGCTTCGTCACATTTCTTTTTCTGAAAGGTACGCCAGCGTCAGCATTGCCTGAGAGGTGTTTCTGCTCATGTGCGGCTTACTTTGACTCTACTATCGGCCGATTGTCAGCAAATGCGATTGCAAGCAGTCTCGTAGACGACTTACCAAAATTCACAACCTGATTAAGACAACGAGGTAGTGTTAGAGGAATCCACATGGTTGGAACTCGCGCCGTAAAATACTTACCTCCTCGCGAGCGCTTCTTAGGAATCTTGGGCAGTGCCCTTTTGGTGTACAACAGCATCTCTTCGGGTTTGGCCGCAGACAGGACGTCTGCAGACCCGCTTCACATGTCCCATCAACAGACTTGACGCTGAAGTATCTATGCGGCTTCCAGAGAATGGACTTGTTGTTGAAAGGTTCTGTGATGATTGTGATGATGGGGTCGTTAGTGATCACGGATTAGGTGGCGCTTCTGGCGGCTCGGTTCTTAGTCAGCGATTTGAGTGGTTTCCTTTCGAGGAGATACTGGCTACGGAAACTAGGAAACTAGGGCAAATACGGCTTCTTTGACGGGCATTAACTCAATACTGATGAAGAGCTCTGGACCACAGAGCTCTTCACAGTTTATGGGTATTGTCTTGACCCTTTCTCGGTTTATTGTACGGATAAGTTGGGTGACAACGGATGCCAGGCCCTGTTGAAAGATTGGCTCTCTGGCGGGACTTCACGTGGTAAAGTGGCACATCTGAAGCGCTCTCCAAACGACGACGATGGGTTGGATGGGACCAGGAAGCTACGTTTTGGAAAGTTGAATTTGGAGTCGGCGATGACGAGAGCTAGGTAGCTTGACCTGGGCGCATGACAGTGGTGTCCCAGATGTGACATACACGAAGGTATGAAGAAATTTCAGGGAATTTCCCTAGCTATCTCAATATGCCTGTCGGCCAGAGCTAGTGAATTCGTTTTCTATATTTTGTTCTGCTCAGGCTGACGCCACGTCTAGATGTCAGATTTACATTCTAGGCAAATCCCTACTAGAGAATCTGCAGAAAAGATTTCCTTGTCTAATAATAAATAGTTTATTAAAAGACGCGAGAATCTATAGATCGCATTCGATCTTTGTAGTCATTATCTTGAGCTCACGGATTCATTGTCATTAGTACAGGGTAGGTACCAGATAACTACATCCTACATCCGCCAGACCGTGACCCACCCAATTCTTTCTTCCATCGTCAACCGGCACCATCATCTCATCAAACCAGCTCCATTCATCTCGATGAGATGCACTGGCACCAAGTCAGCGCCCCATGGCTCTCTCTCCAAACCGAGCAAACTCTCGCAAATTAGAGGTTTGAAAATGCACCTAATCCCGCCCCTCCTTTCGATCCCACTACTGGTACTCCATCCATCCGCTTTCTAACGCTTTCAAATCTCGCCACTTCTAATCAAGTATAACTACTACGCCAAAAATACTACTGTATTGTTAGTGCGAGCGACTACGCACGGGCGACAGCGCCGACGACAGATGGAGCGTACATGTGAGAGGATCAGCTTTTGCCACAAGTTGGACCCGAGCCAGCCGCAGCAACGCACCCAACTTTTCTCAATCTAGCGACAACAAACAAGACGTTTTGGCGGCAATTGCCCTCGGCCGCCCCGCGATCTTATTACCCCAAGATGGAGCGCCGGTAGTCTTCGTTGGCCGGTGCCACACCCACCGAGGCGGCCAGGTACCTCGATCGCATTTGTCAATGCGCTGCGATATTCAGTGCCAGGCCCAATACCGTGGCTCGACCAGATGAATTGATTTGATTATGCGCCTAGCGACCAGACCCCGCCACGTGCTGGCTTCGCCCTTCAGCTCGGCCACACCAAGTCCTTTCAGAGCACCTCATTTGCTATCAAAGCCGAGCGAGAACAGGCATTGACATGTGCATGAATTATAGGCTGAGCTAAAATGGCCTATTTTCCTTGGGACCGCCCGCAGAAGCGTTCGTAACTAATCATCAGGACAGGAAAGGAGCAGTGCTCGGCGGGATCGTCGTCCTCGCCTTGGCGCCGTGCGCTTCTCCTCAGTTGTTGATCAAGTGCTTACGGGCCACCTACAGAGGCCAATGCGGCCTGTTCCTGTTCCTGTTCTTCCATCATCTACTCGTGAAATATTTCAAAGGGTGTAGGCTGAATTGAGATAGCGCTGGTCGTCACCTCCAAATCACAATGATGCAGCTTTCAAGTCTTGCGTTGGCCACAGCTACAGCCTTGGTACGAACGCTCCCGCGCAACGCTTGCGCGCTCCTGCCGGTTTACCGTTGGCTAGTCTAATTGGCAACCTGCAGCTAACATTCGTCGCAGCTTCACGTCGCCAGCGCTGCTCCGGCTGAGGCCATGACTACCGACGCAATTTCCAGCTGCGGCCAGGCTTGGATGCCTAGGGATGATGTCACAATTGGACAAGGCAGCGACAAGCGACGAGGATTCTCTTCCGCTGTGCAGTCTTTTTGCTGTGCCGCCAAGGGGAGGACCGTCAGAGCCGGCGGCTATCTTTCGCTTTCCACCGAGGTTTTTCTCAATGGCGGAAAACCTCCTTCGGAATATGGCATCCAAGGCTTTGTCAACTGTAAGTCTCTATCTATGCACTGGCCCAGTCCAGTCGGCCGCATTACTCACACAATTTGCAGTCGAGGTTCACAACAAGATCACTTCCGACCATGTTATTTCCAGTATGCAACGATACTACGGCTTCTTTGCGCATGTTTCCAGTGTGCTAACCATTTGATAGAGAATGACTGTGTCAGATATCTCAACGCCCTAAGCGCGGATGGCGGTAAATGCTCCGGCGCCACTAACAAGGATACCAAAGGCGGAACTTGGCAGGTTGGCCCCGACGGCATCTCTTACCATGCCATTGGCTATGAGACGCCGCCCAAGGAGGACGCCGTCAATAAGATCTTTGAGGGCTCTGCTATTTCAGCCCAGAGCGCCAACAAGGGTGCTGGTCCACCTCTGAGCCCGTGGCCGTTTGGATCACTCAGCAACATCAAGCCTGTGGCTTGTCACAGCCACAATGACTACGACCGCAACGTCCCCGTCTTCTCCGCCTTCAGTGCCGGATGCATTGCCGTCGAAGCCGATGTTTTCCTTTCTGGGGACGATGTCATCATCGGCCACGTTTTCCCAACCCCTGGCCGAACTCTGCGTATCCAGTACACGCAGCCTCTCCGTGCCATCCTCGACCACAACAATGGCGGCTCGCCGGGCGAAATCGGCATCTATAAGGCCCGCCCTGATCAAAATGTTGTCCTCATGGTCGACTTCAAGACATCCGATACCAAGACACTTGATGCTGTCGTTGCTGCGTTGCAACCTCTCCGTGACGGCAAGTACCTGAGCCACGTTGCTGGTGGCAAGTTCGTACAACGTGCCATTACTGTCGTGGCCAGTGGCAGTGCCCCCTTTGACCGTATTAACTCGGGTGATGGTGTGCCCAACCGTGATATCTTTTATGACGCCAAAGTCGACAATCTCGACGCCAGGTACAATACGCTCAACTCGTACTACGCCTCTGCCGACTTCCAGAGCGCCATTGGAAACCCGTCCAGCGCTGGTGCCTTCTCTGATGCGCAAAAGGCTAAGGTCAAGTCTCAGGTGGATGCTGCGCATGCTGCTGGACTAAAAGTCCGTTACTGTAAGTGCTACGAGCCGTAATAACAAGAAGAATAGTACGCTGATATCACTGTGTCAGGGAACCTACCCGGTGAATACATGTGGGAGCCTCTGGCGGCTCTCGGTGTTGACTACCTCAATGCCGATGATATGTCTAATACGGCACGACTCAAGCGCATCTAATAAAGCGGAACTTGGACGTCTACATATTACGATAGTTTCAACATACTACAGTAACACAACCGTTCACTTCTGTGCAACGCGACTACCCCCGTGCCGATGACAGGTCAATACTGCACGACTCAGGCACATTGATGTGGGCTTGGACATCGCGATGATACAACATGAAGGCTCATTTCTGTGCAACGCAAACTACACCCCTTCTAACTTTCGTATCCTCTGAGCTCCCAAGCGAGACAAACAGCTTCGTGTATGGCGATGACATCGGTACCAAACTGACACATGACATGTCAATCAATGGTCAGCTCTTGTGTGGCAGAGTTGCTTTCGTGGCACGTAACATGAGATACCCACGCCTTCTTGGCTAGAAAGCATGTCTCGCAGCTATTAATTGGTAATGTGCGTCCTTAATTTATTCTCTAGGGTACGTCGTTTCATCGTTTGTCCAATCACACAACAATCTATTTTTGCGACGACCCGACTCGAGCATACCCTCATCTGCACAAGAGCTCCGCTCTAGCGAATCCAGCAATCTCTGGTTACCTTTCTCCTACCGCAGGCAACTGTTACTCTCCTGAAGTACACGGATGGTCCCTCGAGGAGCGGAGCGGGATTCCTTCCCGCTCCTAGAAAAAAGCCAGTGCGCCAATGACAGGCTTGGCAGGCCACCGTAAAGGGGGAAACGAATTGACCCTGCTCGGCACTTGGAAGGCCCTTTGGGGAACTGTGTGACTTGCAAGTGGACAGGTGCAATATGCGGCGCACCCAGGAAGTGTACCAAGAAATGCGGGGGATGTGTCCGGGTTATGATTCGCCTCATGCAATGGGAAGTCGGCATGCATGTAAGCCACAGAACGTGGGCGAGTAGCGGCATTCCTATTTCGATCATGTCGTCGGACGCGAACGGTCAAGTACAGCACTCTGTTCAGTTGGACGATCAGTTTGGGTCGCTCCAGGTTAACGTTACGAGCGGAGCTGTGCTTGATAAGAACCCTTTGCAATCTACTACTCGTCCAAACTGGGGTGCGATACTCTGGGCAGAGGCGGCGAAGTGGCTTTTTCCCCATGTGGATGGTTACAAAGGCAGCGACTAGCCTGTACTAGTCCCTTGGCGAAACACATAATTCCACAGCGGCTAAGGCTGCTGACTTCCCGTTCATGTCATCCGAAGTTATTCTCGCCCTACTGCTATTATTGCTTTTGCTAGGACTGGGGCGGCAGAAAGGGCTTGGCTGTGACAGTGCGCGGCATCGCTCTAGCGGAAACGGAGTAGGAAACAGGCAGCTTCCTATTGCGGTAGTTTTGGGCATCTGGCTGACGACCTTTCATTCTGCACCGGAGAACGATGGCGCATAATGGCAAGGTTGACAGCTTGTGAGTGTTACATTGCAGAGTCATGATGCTGCCCATCAAGACGGCGTCGCTGTCAGAACCACTTCTGGCATGGGTAGTCTGACCAAGTGAATGGCTTCGCTATGATGTTGCCTGATGTCACTGTCAACTGCCAAGGAGCCTATCATGGGGATGTCTGTGACCACTCGTGGAAGCTTGCAAGCTTAGCGAAGTTTAGGGCAACGTCTCGAGGGCAGACACGCGCATCTACATATAAGACGCCTCAATCCCCTCGTTTAGGTTTGCTTCGAAGTCCCAAGCTCCGTACCACTAGCAACCAGTCCAACTCATTCATCGCTTACACAGTCGACTACTATTCCTCTTCTCCATACCGGTTTCCTCCTCTCAAGCAACCATGCATCTTCCGTCTCTCTCCCTGCCCGCCGTCTTGGGCTTCGTCTCTGTGGCGGCCGGGCACATGCAAATGTCGAGCCCGGCGCCGTTCCGCTCCAAGCACAACCCGTACACGACCAACGTTGACTACGACATGATCAACCCGCTCGCCGCCAACGGGGCCAACTTTCCGTGCAAGGGCTACCACACCCTGCTCAACACGCCGCAGGGCCGCTCCGTCGTGACGTGGCGCGCTGGAGGTAGCTACACATTTAGCGTCGAGGGCAGCGCCACGCACAATGGCGGCAGCTGCCAGGTCTCGCTCTCGTACGACGGCGGCAACACCTTCACGGCCATTCAGTCGTACATTGGCGGCTGCCCGCTCAAGGCGACCTGGCCATTTACGCTGCCCAACGACACGCCGGCCGGCGAGGCCATCTTTGCCTGGTCCTGGTTCAACAACATCGGCAACCGCGAAATGTACATGAACTGCGCCCACGTCACCATCCAGCCGCGCGTGGCGGCCCGCGACGAGGCCGAGGGTGTGTCGCTCAACGAGCGTGCGCCGTCGGATCCCTTTCGCTCCCGCCCGCGCATGTTTGCGGCCAATGTCGCCAACGGCTGCTCGACCGTTGAGGGCTCCGATGTGCTCTTCCCCAGCCTCGGACCGGACGTGATCAATGTCTCTGCCAGGACGGCGCCTCCTCGCGGTACCTGCGCCTAAAGCCGAGGGCTGCCGGCCGCTCTGCGCATTGAGAATGAGGGCATCGACATGTAGCCCTGCTGGATGTTGCCTTTGCACGTCTGTTCGCCTTCCAAGTGCATACATGTCACGATGCGGCCAAGAAGAGAGTTCCTGCTAGCAGCTAGTCAATATTTGTTATCTGGTTATTGTATATAGTATGAAATCACAGTCGTTACCACTCAAATCCTTTTACCGGTGCGCCAGAGCTGTATACTTTGAATGATGAAAACGCCAATTTCCCAAAGGCCACCACTGCGTCGGCCCTTCCAAGGGGGGGTAAAGGCTACTATGTAGTTGCGCCAGAGGATTCATCGGGCTCTCTTTTGCTTGTTCTGCATAATGGCACGGTCGCTGCCTATGCTCTGCAGGCTTCGACCGTCGTCGACGGGCGTCAGCACTCGGTCTCGGGGCGGCGCTCGAGGCAAAAGCACGCCATCCTCGACCTCGATCTCCGATTCCACATCTTGCGGCCTTGTCGTCTGGATACTGCCACGGTAATGCTCCCGCAGCACCGACATGGCGTAGCTATTGCTGTTGCTCCGCTGGCCGTGGCTGCGGTCCACCGAGCGGTCCTCGTCGGTGCCCATCTTGGTGGTGGCCCCAAAGTCGTTGCTGAAGGCGTGCAAGAACTGTCGAAAGCAGGGAAACGTGGCGGCTATGACGGAAAAGTGCATGACGACCTGGGTGACTATGGTGGTGTCGGCGAGGATGAAGAGGACGGGTCCGCGGTGCGTGGTGGTGGTGGCGTCGCGGAGGAGGACGAGTCGGTAGGCGACGGGGATAGCGACGAGCAGTTGGGCGGAAAAGGCGAGGATGACAATGAGCTTGGTTTGCAGGGCGAGGTCAAGGCCGAGGACGAGGGAGAAGGCGAGGCTGGCGATGAGGAGCTCGAGGACGAGGCTGAGGGCTTCAATGGCGAGCCAGCGCGGGAACTTGCGTCATTGGTGTCAGTAACGGAAGTAAGTTGGTGAGAGGGGACGACGCACAAGACCGGTGCAGTGTCCGGGGGCGGCCAGGTCCCACGGCTGCGTGCTGCCGCATTGAAACGCGACAATGAAGACGGAGGCGACACCCCAAAGGACGATGATGCTGGTGGCGATGCGCGTGGCGAGAAGGTGCTTGTCGGCGGCTTGTCGGCTGACGCGCGAAATCAGCAGCGACATGGACGCCTTGGCCGGGCAGAGCGCCATGATGTACATGATTGTGCTGGCATAGTACGCCTGCGGCCTCCGCGTTAGCCTTTGCCATCTGATGCGTGAATCGTGATAATTGGTGATACCTTGAGCCCAGAGTCTACGCTGTCATGATAGGCTGGGTTGTCGCGGACGCCTACGCCTTGGCGGACAGCGTAGAGCACCGTCGCCGTCTGGCAGACAGCAATGATCTGCAACAAAAGTCAGGGCTATCATATGAGAGAGGCCTTGTTTGTACGTACGGTGGCTAGGGAGGCGGCGGCGTCGTCGGCGCCAAAGGGCCCGCTGAGACGGAGGCGGATAAAGACGCGGATGCACAGCACGAGCAGGCTCCAGACGAGGCCGACGACGGCGACGATGACAATGTAGGCGCGGCGGTCGTCGGGACCGGCGGCCATGTGGTTGGGGATGATGCCCGCGGCCGCCATAGAGAGTGACTAGGAGAGACGAGGAGGAGTGAGGCGATTATCTCTCAACCATGATTATGAGCGCATACGCGCAAAGAGAGAGAGCCAGAGAGCGCTTCTGGGAAGAGGGAGAAAGGAAATTGGTGAGAGTATGGGAGGGGGGCGATGGCATGAAGAATGTAGATTACGGATGGCGTGCCGAGCTCCGGATATGGCAGCCTTGCGGGCCAAGAATGACAAGAGATGCAGAGTATGCGGGTACGATGTAATAATGAGAAATGATGCGCGTACTCGGTTCATAAACAGAAAAGCCAATTTAAAAAGCAAGAGGGCCGGCCATCGAGCCTGTTACCAGTACCATGACGGTTGCTTACTGGTCCCCGCCGGCTCGGGTCGCCGCGGGCAGAGATGAGCAGGGCATTGAAAGGGAAATAAATGCAGTTACTAGACGAGATGGGTTTGGGGCACACACCCAATGAAGTTGTGGTTGGTTCTTGACAAGATTCGCAAGTCGACGTTGCGGATAGATGTCCTTACTATATTGGCTGGCCAGAGCCTCCTTCTTTGGAGATTGCGCCGGCTTAGCTAGGTTCCAAAAGCCGCAGTTTGGTGATAGATGACCCTTTCTTCAATTCAGTTGCAAGGGGGGCTCTTTCATATCCTCTTTCTCATCCTTGTTGACAGCGGCTGGCCAGGGTTATTTCTTCTCCACCATACTTCTTTTTTTCCCTCCCTTGTACTCCGTATTACGGAACACGATCAAACGGATTGATTGATTACTTTTTCATCGTAATAGCGCCGCCAAACTGCGCCGGCTCCTGCCTAGCTAGTTACTCAGGCCAAACCCCACAAGGGCGGGAAGCTGCCCGCGGAACTTTGTCGAAATCACTGTTTTTTTCTTAATCAACTAGACCCGGATAGCTTCGAAGACGTCTTGTTCCGCGGTACGTGGGATGTATAGCTTGTCTGGGTGGTCTGTAGGCTGTAGTATGTATAAGTTTCGTGTGCATACGCTTCCACACGTGCTGCCATAGCACGGCCATGAACTTCGGGTCCCTGTCTGATAGCATGATCTTGGTCTCCTTTTCGCTGCCGTCTCGCGTCTGTGTGTGTATCACTAGCTTGACTTGCTTGATTTCTCTGACGATCTTCGGCCCTTGTTGTTCTGTGTTGGTCGATCCTGTCTCCTGCGCCTTGCTGTCTTGTCGTTTTCCCTTCTTTCGGGGGCCGTAGAGCGCTGCGAGCTCCGCTGTCAGCTCTGCTGCGCGCTCCTTCACTCGTTCCTCCGTCTCTAGCGCCGTGGTGAAGTCGGCCACGCAGGGCTTGACTCCCGCAAGCACCATCCTGAGATTCTCGTCTCTTGGATACCACTTCATGGTGCGGGCTTTGTCTGTGCCGCAGACTGCTGTGGCGACCGCCATCTGTGCAAGCGTCTTCGGTTTCAACGCGTCGAATTTAGTCATAGGCAGATTGCCGGCATTCTTGTGGCACTACTTAGGGCACGAAGGCCACCCACTTAGCTAGAGAATACATGATCATCTTGCCAAATCCTCAGTGCCTAACAGCTGGTTAGCGAAGGTGATATTTTGACAGCAAGAATTGATTAAATGACAACAAGCTAAACCTAATTGGTTATTTATAGGTTACCTAGGTGGCTACTAACGTTAACTAGCGTCGCGCTAGTAAAATTTCTAGCTAATCAGACGGTAGGAGCGCACAACCACTGTCAACAACTATCAGCTTCATCTCGTCGTGATGGCCTATTTTTACCCTTAACCTCAACAGCCTTAAGAGCGCCGCAAGGTAGGCACCGGGCAGCCTCTTAGCTAGCGATGCAGAGATTAACGATATAGACGATACAGACGATACGGGCGATATAGACGACGCGGGCGATACGGGCGATACGGGCGATACGGGCGATACGGGTGATATGGGCGATACGATAGGTGTTATTATCGCAGATTCAGGGGCTAGAACAACGCATCAACAAGTCAACCGCCGCCGCCACCGCCAGCTTCGCTCTAGCCGCCGGCTTCGAATTTATCAATTCTAGCCATCGTGGCAGCCTCTTTGATATGCAATTAATACTCATTGAGAATTGACGCTGGTACTATCCCCTGTAAAACTTGGGAGTGGCTACGTGGGTCTATACTAATTCGATTGATTAGCTTATTGTCATTTGACCAATTCATATTGTTAAAATATCAGCCTTCCCTGACAGATGATAACTTACATCCATTATCACGGCTATCCGAGAAGGCCGACGGCTAACAGACAACATCCAAAAGGTATATATAAAGTAGTTATGCTTAGTCGTTTCGTTTCACTAATATTTTGCAGTTCTTGCTACACCTACTAGTCTTAAATCTCGCTTCTCCCTCAACAGCCTCGAGAGCGCCGCGAGGTAGGCACTAGGCAGCCTCTTAGCGCGATGCAGATATCAACGATTCAGACGATACAGACGATGCGGGCGATATAGGCGATATAGGCGATATGGGCGATACAATAGGTGTTATTATCGCAAATTCAGGGGCTAGAACGACGCTGCCGCCGCTGCTACCGCCAGCTTCGCTCCAGCCGCCGGCAGTGTCAATTATCAATTCCAGCCGCCAGCTTCACATAGCGAAATTATTAATTCCAGTCATCGTGGCACCCTCAAGAGATGTACTGTCCCCTGCAAAACTTGGTGGAGTGGCTACGTGGGTCTATATCAAGCTTATTGTCATTTGTCAAAATATCAGCCTTCCTGGTTAGCGGAGCCCTGGACATGTTCATTTCATCTGCATAGTTATTGCCTCCACAGAACTGCTGATGAATTTTAGCTTATTTGCAAAAGTTCCTGCTACGCCAGCTTCGTAACTCGCCAACTGGCCGTAACCGATAAGATCAACTCGAGTAGACAACGCTGCGATGAACGATGCCGCGGATGAGGCCATCATTGGTATTACCCTTAACCCCTGCCTGATTGAGCCCTAGCTTGCAATAGCGCATCGTCTGTGTGTCGACGGGTCAAGCCCAAGACAGATCCCGGCCGCAGCGGCACAAAGACGCCACCCGGACGCCCCTTTGCGGGAGCGACGCCGACTCTCACCTGTAGGCTCGCCGCCCGGGACTCAAATCCTTGGGAAAGGACAGACCAATCCCCCCGTTGCAACATCATAGTAACTAGTAACTACACAGGGTCCTGCCAAGACACAAGATGCTGCCAAGTCAGCCCGAGATCCATTGCCCGAAGAGCCGGCTAGTTCCCCACCAAGATCAAGAAAGGAATGCCGCAACGGTCGGTCCCGTACATGCAATTTCTCTCCGTGACATATCATTTTTTTTCTTGCGCCTTCTTCAACGGCCGCCTCTTGCAAGGCAGTTTTTCGGGAACTATTAGCTCGAGACAGAGAGCTAGTGTGTAACTGGGACTCTGATTGCAGAATACAACTTGGGCACAGCAGATACACCACAGGTTCCCATGGAGAAACCGGTACATCCAGTAATGACGGCCGCCGAGGTCGAGTCGCAGCCCGACGCCGCCGCCGGCACCGGGGCAGAAGACGCCGGCGCGGCGGCGTGGAACGAGGCCCTCAACAAGGAGCTGCAAGAGGGCTTCACCGGCAACGACCGACGAGACATGCAGCGCATGGGCAAGAAGCAGCAATTCCGCGTACGGCACCCCCCTTTTACCTCTCCTCAGCGAAGCTCCTGGCTAATCAGCACTGCTCATTAGCGAAACTTTCGGCTCCTGTCCACCATCGGCTTCACGACCTGCGTCATGGGCACCTGGGAAATTCTCCTCACGTTGGTCCCTCGTTCTCTAGATCGCAACACCGTGACTCTGGCCCAAGCAAACTGACAGATGATCACAGCTCCAACACGCAGGGCCTCACGGCCGGCGGCCTGCCCGGCCTGTTCTGGTCCCTGTGCTGGTCGTACACCGGGCAGTTCTTCATCGTGCTGTCGCTCGCCGAGATGGCGTCGATGGCGCCGACGGCCGGCGGCCAGTACCACTGGGTGTCCGAGTTTGCGCCGCCGCGGCACCAGAAGCTCCTGAGCTACCTCTCCGGTGCGGCGACACTTGCCCTCCACACATGCCCGCTTCAAAGCTAACCGCATCAACAGGCTGGCTCTCTGCCGTGTCGTGGCAGTCCATTGTCGCGCTCGACGCCTTCCTGATCGGCTCCATCATCCAGGGCCTCATCACGCTCAACAACGCGGCCTACACCCCGGCGCCGTGGCAGGGCACCCTCCTCGTCATGGCCTCTGTCCTCGCCGTTGCGCTCTTCAACGTGTTCGGCGCCGCGCACCTGCCGCTCGCCGAAGGCCTGTTCGTGACGGTGCACATTTTTGCCTTTTTCCCCGTCATTGTCACCCTGCTCGTGCTGGCGCCCAAGCAGCCCGCCGCCGCCGTCTTTGCCGGCTTCACCGACAACGGCGCCGGCTGGCCGTCCGTCTCGCTCGCCGTCATGGTCGGCCAGGTCTCGACTATGTTTGTCGTGCTCGGGTCCGACTCGGTCGCCCACATGTCCGAGGAGATTGAGGACGCGGGCGTCATTGTGCCGCGCGCCATGGTCTGGTCGTTTCTGCTCAACGTGCCCTTTACGTTTGGGCTGCTGCTGACGTACCTCTTTTCGATTGGCAATGTGCAGGAGGCGCTGAGTGACAGGACGGGCTTTCCCTTCATCTATGTGTTTCGGGAGGCGACGGGCAGTGTGCGTGGCGCGACGGGACTCACGGTCGTGGTGCTCGTGCTGCTCATCATGGTCACGATTTCGAGTCTGGCGTCGACGTCGCGCCAGACGTTTGCCTTTGCCCGCGATAATGGCCTTCCATTCTCGAAATGGCTTGGTGCTGTAAGGCTCACAGCTACTCTTCTTTCCTATATGGTGCGAAGCTAACATGCTCGCTCGCAGGTTCACCCGACATGGCATGTCCCTGTCAATGCCGTCACCTTTACCTGCATCTTCAGTATGGTGCTTTCGCTCATCAACATTGGGTCAACGGTTGCCTTCAACGCCATGCTCTCCCTCTCTACAGTGGCCCTCATGGCTACCTACGTCATCTGCCTCGGCTGCGTCGCCTTAAGGCGTCTTCACGGCGAGCCGCTCCCTCATGCGCGCTGGTCACTTGGCAGATGGGGCCTTCCCATTAACTGTACCGCCCTCGTCTACGCCTGCTGGTCCTTTTTCTGGAGTTTCTGGCCCAACAGTTACCACCTCACTGCGCAAAACTTCAATTGGGCCTGCGTTCTTTTCGTTGGGCTCATGAGTTTATCAGTGGTCCTCTACTATACTCGTGCTCGCCACATTTATCAAGGTCCGGTGGTTCTTGTTCAGAAACCGAGAGACTAACTGCGCCATGTTTCTGAGGACCTATTCTTGGGCGTTGAACATCGGTCGGCGGCGGCAAGCACCTGCGGCCCGCTACCAATGTCCGCCACGCCACACATATGTAGGCTGTAGTGATAACGAGCCGACATTGAACGAATCCACCCACCCTATAAGAGAATGACGTTTATTTTAAACTCGCTCTCTCTGATTATCAAGGTTCTCGAGTTGGTACACTACCTGAGTGAGTGAACGAGTTTTCGGTCATCACGTCCGCGTCCGCCTGATAGAAAGCGAGGTAGGAAATCAGGTTGAATGAATTTAGTCCCCTAAGCAGAAGACACATACAATAGATATGCTAGCTAAGACTGCTACATGATTGTTGAAGATCCAAGTAGCGTTGGTTTCCAAAAGAACTGCCCCTCACAGGACACAGACTCCAATGCAGCAGCCGCTCACATGAACTCCGATGCATGTGTACTCAACATGATTTCCGTGGCCATCCAACTTGCTCACAGACATGTCCATCGATCGGTCGGGGTAGACAGTCAGGGACGTAATCTTTCCAGTTCTGTCCCCGGAAACATGGACAGTGTCGTACTGGGCGCCTCCCTTGGCGTCCCTCTTCGCGTCAGTGCCAGGAGCTGACTCAGAGCAGTAGATGCCAATACAACAGGCTCCAATCTCCACACCCCAGCAGCCTCGTGGAAGAAGACCGCGCTTTCCGATGCCTGCCTGGTACGCATACACAGATCCGTCCTCCTGGTATGTAACAACGACACCCAGCTCCGCCGCAGGGATCTGGATCTCACCAGCGAGGTCCACAGGAACTGTACCAAGGTACTCTCCCTTCGGCTGCTTGGTGAAGGCTGCCGTGGAGAAGAGGGCGGAAGCGACGAGGCCGGCCGTTGCGATGGAAGAGGTGTGCATGGTGTTGAGAGAGCAAATGAAGCTGAAAATTGATCAGGTTTATAGTATAGGTAGAGTGAAATTGTATCGTTTGATGTATGTGGTTCTCTAGATCCAAGGTTGGGCATCCTGATTGTTGATATACCTCTTTGTTTCGCTTTTTCTGCATGGCCATATCCAGCCTGATAAGCCCAGAAGCAGCGACTTCGTCTAGCTTGCTGTTTGTATGGTTAATACGTAGTTGCTGGTAAGGTCAGTACAGCCACATACCGGTTGTATGTCGGTGATCCTCTGTAAATGAATAGGTATCGCATGAGCAGGAAGCGAAAAGAAAGAGATCATCGCTGCTATAGCATTCCTTCACTATCGATCAGTCTGCTGCCCAGATTGAAGCTATCATCCGACTGAAATTGCTCCGTGTCCTTGAATTAAGCGTGTTGTTTTAAATAGGAGACTCTGTTCACTTTCATGGATGATATCTGCCTCTCAAAGATGTTGGTTGGTCATTCATTACTACAACATCGTGTGCAGGGCACTGCTGGTCCCCCGCCCGGCGGGGGTGACAAAGGTTTTGCTCAGCGGCCCTTATTAGCATTAGGTACATGGGTAGGTAGGCAGCTATTAGTACTGCACTGTGCGGAACTTTTGATGACCGAGTGGCGCTCATGGTGGATAACAAAAGAACATCACGGTGGCATCCTCCTGGTGCTTTTGCAGGCGCCCACGAGTATATGTTTGCATGTAGTGATATGCCTGACACATGTATTGACGCGTTCCGTCTAAAAGCGTTGCTCATTGGCTATCTTGAAAAATGCCCAAGCCCGTAAGAATTCTCAGCCAGAGCCAGGCTGAAGCCTGATCATTTGTCCATTTTGATATTTAATACAACTAGCTAGTACATGGCCCTTATCTCTTGTGACCACTACTTCTACTTCTTCTCATGCATTGGATACCCATCGTCTCAATAACGCCGTCACAGTATATGGCTCTTCCGTGGAAAGCTCTTGTCCTGCTCATCTCCTTCTGCCACTTCGTCTTTGAATCATGGCTTACTCTGCGGCAGATGCGCGCCCTGCGGGACACCGCAGTGCCACCACGTCTCGCCGACAAGTTGGCGCAGCAGACGGTGGCGGATTCGCATTCCTACAAGCAGGCCAAGGCGAAGCTCAGTCTTGCGACGGGCGTATGGGGACAGCTCATCAACGCGACAATCATCTCCTTTGATGCGCTGCCGTGGCTGTGGGACACCATCGGCGGCCTAGCGCCAGCAATGGCCACCAACACCAACCGCTCCATCGTGTTCGCTCTGTGCTACATGTGGTTCTGCAATTGCGTGTACCTGCCTGTCCAGGTATACGACACTTTTGTGGTGGAGGCTGCGTTTGGCTTCAACAGACAGACACCAGGGCTCTTCTTGCGCGACTTCGTCAAGATCCAGGCGCTCAACTCTGTGCTGCTTGCCCCGTCCCTGGCCCTGTTCCTTGGCATCGTTGCCAGGACGGGGAACAACTTTGCGTTGTACGTCTGGCTAGGGGCGGCGGCCATCCAGGCGCTCATCATCACGCTGGACCCCATCTTGTTCACGCCGCTGTTCAACTCGCTGCGGCCGCTGGCGGACGAAAGCCTTGTTCCCCGCGTGGAAGCTCTGGCCGCGAGGGTCGGGTTTCCGCTGCAGCGCGTATATGTGTCCGACAACAGCAAGCGAAGCGCGCACTCGAATGCATACTTCTACGGCTTCCCTTGGCAGATGCAGATCGTGGTGCAGGACACGCTCCTTCAGAAAGCAAGCACCGATGAGATCACAGCCATCATAGCGCATGAGCTCGGTCATTGGAAATACCACCACAGTAGCAAACTCTTCCTGATACAACAGGTAGGTACCGAGATGGCCATGCTGTGGGCACAGGGCTGCAGCTGTACTAACACCACGTAGGTGAATCTCTTTGTCGTCTTCCTTGCTTTCGCAGCCTTTGCTGGCCGTTCCGATCTCTACCACTCTTTTGGCTTTTATTCCGAGGGGCCCATCATTGCGGGCTTCGTTCTGTTCTACAAGGTACTTTTACCAGTCAACTCTGTTTTACAGCTGCTCCACAACGCCGTCTGCCGCCGATATGAGTTCTCGGCCGACAGCTTCGCCAAGGACACGGGGCAGGGCCATGAACTTGCGCGTGCCTTGATCAAGCTCCATACGCAGAATCTTGGGGCAGTCCACAATGATTTCCTCTATGCATGCTACCACCACAGCCACCCCAGCCTGGTTGAACGCCTCTCACACCTCGGTATGAAAGAGAAGATCTAGTGACTAGTCACATCGATGATGGAACGAGAATGCTTTCGCTACAATATATTCAAATCTTTGCTTCTTTTCATTGCCAGGCGCTCCCACTCGTAATACACAGTCAAGAACTGCAGTCTTAAGGCCAGCGCCCAAGGATTGTAGTTGGCTCCCCATGCGTGGGTCAATTGTGGCTGTCGCACAAGTTGGAATAGCAGGCTTCACTAGGCCTTGCAGGTGATGGACGTTCGGAATTGGAAAGGGTAAGCCTCATTTCGAGCTGAAGTCTGGTACTGGGGGCGACGCGCTAGGGCTCCGGTTGCGGGTGAGGATACTGGGGCCTCGGTTCTAGTCATTTTGATGCCTTGTTTCTACTGGTAATAGTAAACGGGCAATAACTAGTTACGGAGTAGCCTGCGTTTCGGTCAAGAGGCCCCGGAATGTGTTGACAAAAGGACCTTGGCCGTCGCAACAAAAGGACCCCCCCCAGCTCCAGTTTATTTCTGGGCCAACATGCGAGATTATGGGTGTGCCCGTGATGTGACTGCGTTTGCAGACGCACCCACCACGTTTCGTTGCCGGGGGATCGTTGTCCGGGGGTGTGTGTCTGGTCAGATTCCAATTAATGGTCACAATAAACAATACACGTATGAATGGGTGATGATGACGGCTTCAGCCCTTTGTCAGGCCTTGGCTTGGCCCATCGCCGAGCCAACTCTTGGACCGATCGGGCGGCGGCCATCGTCTTGGCTTGCCTGAGCCGTTCAACCGACGGGGCCCTGAGAAGCCGAAAAAGTTTTCTCCGGGTGGCTTGGCGCTAGGCTGATGGGGGGGAGTATCCATCCTGGAAGCGTCCTCGTTTTGGTGTCGCGGGCGGGTTTAACGGGCGGTTTAACGAGAGGGGTTTCGGGGGCCGGCGGTAGCTCGGTACAGGACGAGGCGTACGCCACTTTGCGGGCACGCACGACGGCCGGCCTGCTCGGAACAAGAGGAAGCGAGAGTGGAAGAAGGTAGAGGTGTCATGGTTTTGACCGGAACAGGATTTGCTTTGTCTGGATAAAGCTGGTGGCTTCTGCTCCTCTTTTTTTTTTTTCCCTTCATGACTAAAGTTTCTGGGGAATATTCCAGATGGGAAAGTCCGAGCAGGGTCGCGTGCGGAAGGTCCTGGAGTGGCGGACGGCGGCCGACGGTGGGCGGAATGCTTGCTTTGGGGCGAGTTCCTGGCCATCGACCGGAGCACGCATTTTCGCTCAGGACAACCTCGCAGAAAAAATCAGTCATGGCTGGTCACGAGCATACCTCTCCTCATTATACACAAATATAGGCCCCCTCCCTGCGACGAATGTCCCCAGCAGTTCTGTCGATGGGTTGCCATTTCAACCCTAGCAGAACTTGGGTGGGTTCCTCCGCGGCAGCGCCGTTTTGGGCTGTTCGCCGTCGGTCCTCGCCGCGAGACCCTCCGGACTTGAATGTAACTACAGATACTCCGTCCTGCATCCCCCATCTCCACTGCCGTCATACGTTGTCCATCTTTTTCTTGTCGGTACTTTTACTTCTTTTATCCCAGTATTTGTTTCTACTAATTAGGTAACAATTGGCTAGTTCGCCGCCCGCTCATCGCCACTTGTACTTTATCTAGTCGTCCTGTCCCACCCCTCGTAGCTGTCGTTTTCTCCTTTCTCTTCTTGGATTCCCCATTTCCTTCTGTATCTGAGCTTTCAATACCGTAGAGAGGCTGTAATTGTCCCTTGTCGCAGCCATGGCCACCAACCACGAGGATGCCGCTGTCGAGTAAGAACTTGCCCCGTCATCACCACTTACACACAACCTAACACGGCAACTTCAGGCTCCACGAAGAGTTCTCTGAGCGCGTCCCCAACAAACACCACGATGTCGCCGGCGGCTTCATCCAAGAACCGGACGACGCAGCCTCCCTCTCCGCCGAAAAGGCGGACCTCGAGACCGGCCACCCGACGGCCGACGGCGGGGAGCCCAGCGCCCACGAGCGCGCCACGCTGCGCCGCGTCGGCGAGAGCCTGCCGGCGTCGGCCTTTCTTATCGCCTTTGTCGAGCTGACGGAGCGCTTCACGTACTACGGCGCGCAGGGCCTGTTCCAAAACTACATCTCGCACGACAAGCACGGGGCCGACGGCGCGCCAGGGCTCGGCATGGGCCACCAGGCCGCGACCGGCCTCAACCTCTTCTTCCAGTGGTTCTGCTACGTCACACCCATCCTCGGCGCCATCGTGTCGGACCAGTACCTCGGCAAGTACAAGACGATCCTCATCTTCTGCGCCGTCTACTGGGTCGGCCTCGTCTTCCTCTGGGTTACGTCGCTGCCGTCGGTCCGCGACGTCGCCGGCCTGCCCGGCTACATTGTCGCCATCATCATCATCGGCTTCGGCACCGGCGGCATCAAGTCCAACATTGCGCCCCTCATCGCCGATCAGTACCAGCGCCGCCGCATGGCCCTCCGCACCGAGCCTACCGGCGAGCGCGTCATCATCGACCCGGCCATCACGTATCAGCGCATCTACATGATCTTTTACTGGTGTATCAACATTGGCGCCCTCTCCCTCATGGCCACGCCCTTTATGGAGCTCTACAAGGGCTTCTGGACCGCCTTCCTCATGTGCTTCTGCATGTTCAACCTCGGCATCTTCGTTCTCGTCATCCGCCGCAAGTCGTATATTATCCGCCCACCTCAGGGCTCCATCATCACCGACGCCCTCAAGGCCGTCGGCATGATGATTGTCGGCCGCAGCACCGATGCCCCCAAGAACGCCTGGCGCATCGCCCACGGCAAGAGCTCCGTCCCGTGGGACGACCACTTTGTCGACGAGCTCAAGCGCGCGCTCCGTGCCTGCAAGGTCTTCCTCTTCTACCCCATCTTCTGGGTCTGCTATGGACAGTTCTCCTCCAACTTTGTCACCCAAGCCGAGCAGATGCAGGGTCACGGTATGCCCAACGACTTTATGCAAAACTTTGACTCGCTCTCGATTCTCGTCTTCACACCCATCCTGGATCGCGTCCTCTACCCCGTTCTCCGCAAGTGTGGCATCGAGCTGCGCCCCATTGCTCGTATCACCATTGGTTTCTGGCTCGCCGCTCTCTGTCTGGCTTATGCTGCCATTGTCCAGCACCTCATCTACAGCGCTGGCCCCTGCTATAGCTTCCCCCGTGACCCCGACAACTGCGCCGCCGCAGTCGGCCCCGATGGCAAGATTGTCTCCAACAACGTCCACATTGCCGTCCAGACACCCGCCTACGTCTTCATCGGCCTTGCCGAAATCTTCATCTCCGTCACTGGTCTCGAGTACGCTTACACCAAGGCTCCTCCCACTATGAAGTCGTTTGTCCAGAGTATCTACCTCTTCACCAACGCTTTCGGCTCTGCCATCTCCGAGGGTCTTGTCCCTGTTTCCAAGAACCCCAAGTTCGTTTGGATGTACACGGGCGTCTCCGTCTCGTCTGCCGTTGCTGGCTGCGTCTGCTACGCCCTGTTCCGCCACTACGATGCCCAGGAAGAGGACATGTACGACCTCGACCGTGATGAGCCCGAGCTGGAGATTGGCAACGAGGCTCAAGCTCTCCAAGCCGCCAAGGAGAAGCGCGCAGACGGGCAGTGATGTATGAATTGTGTATGTGTATCAAGATGTAGTCAAAATGAACGTATACGAGTCGCATGTTTTAGTTCCTCAGTTGCTCCTGATGTATTGTGCTTTACATTGTGACAGTTAAATAGAACACCTCGGTAGTCTTCTCCAAGGACAATACTTGGCTTCTGTAAAAAGTCAAAGCTACCATTTCGGGAAGAGTGCTGCTATTAGCACGAGAGCTTCTTTCCAAAGGTACAACCTCAGTTACCTAAGATTTAGCAGAAACCTATAAAGACCGAGTTACTCTTTTATAATTATTGCACTTGGTATATGGGTTCTCGTGGTTTCGGGAATCGCGCTGTGTAGGCTGCTGCTAGTCAAGTAAATGCCTGGCTACCAGAAACCTCACTAATGACAATGCATCTAGAAGTATCCAAATCGGCCAAAATAATGAATGAATTAGCGACGAATAACCAATACGGCTATTTAATTGTCTGAGCGCCAGGGTGAGACCCGACTCGTATCGGAAGGAAACTGTACAGACTCCTGTCGCATGATATATATAGACACAGGCAATGCACGTCCCTGCATCACCGATACAGTCAAAGGCGGAACGTCATGACAAGTTGGTACGCTGTTTAAAACGTGCTATATCGAATTGAAGTTATATCTGCTGCCTGCGGGACACTGGTACTGGTTGCGGAGTCTTGACTTTTGGGAACCATTTTGTCAACGAGTGCCTCATACCCTGTTGTTTCCTAGCCAATATAAGTAACAGAAACGCTTCCGTCGGTGCCAATGTCAGTGCTGGTGAGGATGACGCCATTCTGTTTAAGATTGGCCTTTGTAGCACCGGCAGCGGTAACATTCCCGTTGGGACCACTGGCCAAGGTGTCGAAGAATTTAATCGTGCCCCAGTCCACAAGGGGAGCCAGATCGCCCGCCGAATCGATCTGGAAGTCCTCGACAATCCACTCTGCATCGGTCTCGCAAAGAGGATACGAGGTCTCGCTGGTAAAGGTATGCGAGACCGACTTGCCCGTGGTCAAGTTCTCGACCGTCGTGGTTCCGCTGGTAGTAGACGTGGCGTGGACGGTGAGCCGGACAGTGTCTCCGCCGCTGACGTCCAGGCTGACGGTGTAATCCTGCATGGTGTGCTTCCACCATTCGGTCCACACCCAAAAGGTGCCGTCGCCATAGGTGACGATGCCAGTCTGGAGGATGGCCGTCTTGCAGTTGTTGCCATCGATGCCCACCCAGATGTCGGCAGTGCCTTTGGGGTTGTTCGCGTCGTTCAGGGTGGGAACGACGAGCTGGCCTGTACAAGGGTGTAGCTTCCGGAGGAGGAGGACTCCTGGATAGCACCGGACCAGTTGGTGAAGTAGAGGTCACGCTTGTGTCTGGCGGGAGTGACATTGTCCAGGGGAGCAGCGAGGATGCTGGCCAGGGAAGCAAGAGTGAGAAGCAGTGGCTTGTACATGATGACTTGTACGTGAATATATATTGTAAGCAAGAGAAGAAAGTTGTCGTTGAATGTTGACGATGTTTTATCTTGTTTTCTTCAATTATACTGTGTCGGGGGATATCTACGGTTTTTATCTTCATCTTTGAGATGGCACTGCTGATACTAGAACTCCTGTTTGTCATAAGATTGTGAAGCCCTCACAGCTCTTACTGTTTACTGTTTGTCACAACCTTAGAGCCATCGTAGCACCCTTTACCCTTACAAGCAGGAAGAGCGCGACCAGCAGTTGACATGGCTGAACGAGTTGGCGCCACGGCGAGTCGCGGCGTCGAAATGTGTCTCTAGCGCCGCCGAAGAGCCGGAAAAGTGTCTGCAAAGTGTCGGGCGGTATGTGTTGGAAGTGCCGGCCCATTGGCGAATGAGGCCGAGGTCGGTATCGCAGAACAGGCAACCTTCCTCATCGAGAATGAAAGTCGGGATCGACACGGCTTTTGCGACCGGTGGCTTGCCGCTTGTAGGCTCATCTTCAGGGTGCGCCGAGGCAGCTGGTGTAAGATACCGCAATCGCTACACAATGCTGGGCGATTGAGATTTGCAAAGAGTATTGATAAAGGGTACGAAAACAGTTTTGTAATGGAACGCGATTATATGTGCTACCTGCTTCTTGATAAAGGAGCCTCAGCAATATGCAAAGGGATAGTAGTCTTGGCCTTAGTGTGTCTATAAGTAGAAGAAGTACCACGCTAGATGGGCACTTGCGCCTGACAATAGTACAAGAGCCATTATGAACAAACTCTCGCGGGCTGCTACGTATCCAACATTGGAAATTTTATGTTTTGGAGAGGCAATGTAATTGTATACCCGTACGATAGGCGAATCTCCGCTTCCGCATCTACGCCTCGGCTTGGCAATCAGACCAAAGTTGTTCGTCCTTCCTTCCCCCTCACTAGTTAGGACAAGAACGGTGGATCAATTAATCATGGAAGGGTTTCTAACTACTATTACAAACAGTTGATGGCCTGGTGAGGTGTCAGTTCCTGCTTATCGCACCGGATTCAGCACGCCGCTCTGGGTATATGCCGTGGTCCGATCTTTCCTATTTAAGAAGCTCACTAATGCAGACTGAGCTGAATACATGGAAACCGCCTGAGACATACTGCGAGGTGGATAGCGCGACGCATACTAGCTAGGTAGTAGGTCTTGTAGTACCGCCGGTACTTGTTTATATATCCCAAGGTGTGTCAATTCGCACTTCAACTTTTACAACTCGACAATAGCGTGGGGTAGCATGGGCAGCATCACCGCCAACCCGATGCGCCAGAACAGCAAGCCGGCCGACGACTTCGCGACCGTGCCAATAGCCGCCTGCGCCGTCCTTGCACCCTTCAAATATACAACTATACTGGCTGCGCGGGCGTGAAGCAGTACCCTTAGTGTATCAGCAGCGATACTGTTCCGGGGCCCCGGCCTCACAAATAGTACACAATAAGTAGCATAGGGAAAACATCTATTACTGGAAGAAAACATATAATAAGGGTCCAATATATAGCTGCCGCTCTTCCATGCCGTTATTCCAAAACTATACCCACAACCCACTCAGCAGCGCCCTGCACTCATGCATATCCTCAAGATTATGCACTGTAGATCTAGCGAGAGAATCAGCCCTGTTCTATTAGTGGCCAAAAGGTCCTCGCCACTTGAAGGCTACTAGAGGCAATCGTTCTAGGCCTTCTTGTCCTGAGGCAGGAGGCCGGATCTCTCCTCGGGACCGAACTCGCAAGCTCAATACGAAAAGAAAAAAAAAAGATCAAAAGCGACAGGACATATAAATGATTCAAAGAACAGCAAGCAAAACTATAAAAAAAAGCCACTCTGAAGAGTGGTGGCGGATCTCTCCCGCCGGGAATTGAACCCGGGTCTCAAGCGTGACAAGCTTGCATACTGACCACTATACTACGGAAGATGTTCGGATGTTGACATCCGACGTAGCTGAGATCGATGTAGGCCAGCGCACTATTTATACCTATAATCCTATGAGAGCTCAGAACTAGTCATTTTTTCTCGCCGTTCAACTGTTCTAGGCAGTAAATAAATGTCTTAAAAGATACAGATTACTCATCCCTTTATAACAACTTGATACAGTCTCTTCTCCAGCTATTCGGATACCTGACCAGTCTGTATCAAAGTAAGACCGCCTCCCCGTAGCATCAATCACAATGCCAACATACATATAACATCACTTACAGTGGGGGGACAAAAGTTTCGCGTCAATTCCCACCGCGCCGCTGTGGTGAGGAACACGGAACTTTTGGCAATCCACTGTACTTACCTGCGTCCGTGAGCGCATCGCCATATCGATATTAAGTACTTCAAAGCAGCACTCTACAAGCATGGAAATAACCCTATTTTATCGAGGATGACAATGCAGACCTGTTATTTTTATACATCTCGATGTTTTCTGAGCAATCTTCCTCACGACACCCAGTAGCAAATGTTATTTAACAGGCAGCACTCGGTATAATCGTTTTTCCCAGGTCGCAGAGCCGCCTGCACACCCCTTTCAAGGCACGGAAACGAGAGCCCTTTGCGTGGAAGTACTGTATTATTAAAGTGCTACCAAGTATCAACCTCTAGCTACCCAAGCAGAAGACCTTCGAGCTCGCTATGGGGCGTGCTCAGCGTTTTGTGACGAATCCATCACGCCATGTGAAAACCACTCCGCGACAGTCCCAAACTTGTCCTCGCTCCTCTCCAGAGCCGACTTGAACAGCTCATGCTTATCGACTTCCTCTTGTTGTCCTTTGCGGATTTTCCGAATCATGTCGTTGCCGGCAGAGCATTTGGGGCATTCCGCGTCCTCTTTCGTGCCGCTCCGCAAGCATCGTTCGTGAAAACTGTGCTTGCACAGAAAGTGTATCGTCGGCAAGTCCAAGCCTTGACCACATTCACTGCATCGAGTAGCTTGAAATATAGCAGGTTTTGAATTGAGCTCTTCAATTTCGGTCCGTCGCTTTTCCGTGTCTGCGCGCAGTGTCCTGATTCTGTGACGATTGCTTGAAATCTGTTTGCGCTCGCGAGTAATCGTTTCTTGCAGGTATGGTTTGATCATGCCCATTGTTGCAAAACTACCACCGCCAGACTGACCAACCAGTGTTTGAATGACTTGCAAGGGGGCCATCAAGCCATCCTGGTCAATCTTAGCCAAGATTCCCGCAAGCTCGTCGTGCCCTGCCTCGTCTAGGACCTTGGGGTCCGAAGTCAGGTAAGCCAGCGCAGCAGGGTACAGCTGAGGCTCCTCTGGCCCGTACTTTCGCAGTGCTTTCATCGCCCCTTGAGTATCTCGTGCCGAAGTATAGGACCGAAATATGTCCGATAAGAGTCCAGCTTGCTCTTTGACCAGTACGGTGCCATCCTTGAAGTTAGACAAGTGCGACAGCAATAAGACGTTGGAACTTTCCATGGGCACATGCTCGCCCTGAATTAGCCTTTTTGCCTTTGCCTCCCACTCTTCTCTGTGCAGACCCTTTCTTTCACCAGCCTTGTACAAATACATTTCGAACAGGGTCGTATATAAGTCTGTTTGGTCTGATGTTCGAAGGCCGCTTTCTTCCAGGCATGCTTCTAGAAACACGATAAATTCATTTGGATGATCGATGAACGACGAGAACGCTGTTCTTGGTTCGGGTGGGGTGTATTTAGGAGGCGGGTAGTCGTCTTCGTTAGGCGCAAGGCCTTCCACGGCTGGTCTGGTACCACCAGGTGTACCCGTCGCTGAGGTTGGGCTTATGTACGGCAAAGTGAAAAGATTTGAAAGATTTTGTACAGCGCTAGCAGCGCCAGAAGTAAATGCGTTCGAGGACTGCCCAGCGCTTTCAATTACAGCGACGGGCGTTCGCTTTGGCCTATATCGACCAGTGTAATAATCGCTGAATAGCTTGGTTGCTTCTGTTGGACAATGTTCGATGAGGACCCGAGCATACTTCCGCAGACAAGGGTACGCCTTTGATGTACTCGTCAGTATACCGTAGGAGGGGGGCCAAGGCAGAACTTACAATTGCTGGATCTTGGTGCCAAATGTATTCGAGCGCAGCAGCATAATTCTTGGAATCTTCGATCAATATATCGACCACCAGCTCCGTTTCGCCGTGCTTCTTTGCCAGGTAGGCGGCCTGTTCGTAGTAGCCCCCCTGTCTGCACATCGAGATGGCAGTATCAAGGTCAAATTTGAGGTCACCAGGAGATTGTATGAATTTCTCCAGCTTCTCTTTGTCCTTGAGTTTGGCATAGCAGTTCAGTAGCAACGTTGTGTGGTCTGATGTTGCCTTTCTATGTTCGTGTAGTTCTTCCAGATACCGAATCAGATTGTGTATTCGTTGCGTGTCCAGAAACTGCGGTGGTCAGCAAGAATATTAACACAGTGATCGTGTACCAACCTTTCTAATAACTTGCGACGGTTCGGTAGTATCGATAGCCCGAATGTATTGCACCATTGAACCATCATAGTCAGCCTTTTGGTATAGATGGTCACCAAACTTGCGATATATGACACTCTGCTCTTTACTGTTCATTCCGGCGTTTCTCGCGAGCTCCAGGGCCAGGGGGAACATGTTCCGTTGGTACATCATTTCCAGTCGCTGCTGTAGTGATTTCTCGTGGTACCGATAGACCTATTGGAAGGGTTCAGTGAATGGCATCATGGCAATTCAAACGCAGTATCCTACCTTCCCTTGCTCTGTTACTGAGAAAATGTCGCCCCAAACTTCAAAGATAAACTTGACCGGCGAAATCAAGGTTTCTGTGTGGGCAATGATGCGCAAATCAGGCTCGAGCAGCACAAACGTGGACGAGTCAAATAGGCCATCTGCACCATTCGTGAATCGGCGACGTATGGAGTCCGGTTCACTGCTAGACATCGGTGGGCAAGCTAGTGCCATGTAGTCTTGGTGTACAGCAATCATCTTCTTCGGCGATTCATACGCCTTCGGGGGACCACGTCCATCTATCTTGTACGTGTAGATCGCATCCTCTCTCGCCACGACAATATCACCTGTGACAGGATCCAGGGTCATGCAGCCTACCGCACACCCGCTATCCTCGACGGTTTTCGGCGGAAGCCCTTGGCCTCTCTTTGACAAGCCAAGCTTGAGTATCCTAGACGTAGTCGACACAAAGAGAGTTGTGATTTTTTCGTCTTCCATGAGTTGCACTCCCGTTACGGGCTCCTCTGATTCATATACTATTCGCTGTTTCGTCCCGAGGTCGTGGATCAAGTCCCCGCGAATGACCGTGACGGCACCATTGGCAAAGCCGACCGCAATTTGGGAGAGATCGTCGAGCGCAGTGAAGGCGGAGATCTAATCAATTCGTCAATTATTTTTTCTGGCTTTGGTGCAGGAAGCGACACAAACCGGAAACTGTCGCCTGCCATTGCTGACAGTGATTGTACTCAGGCAAGTAGGTATGTTTGTCTTCTTGACAAGCTTATCGAGAGCCCAGGCTTTGAGAACCGGCTCGCCGCTCAAGTCTTCCTATATAACTGCTTCAATATCCCAAAGGACGCTGGTCTCAAAGGCGTCCGACTTACTGCGACCGTGACGAGGATGCTGGTTCCTTCGACCTGGCGCATATGCGTAACTTGTCCTGCGTCGTGTGCCTGGAATTTGTTCACAACCTTCCAGTTCTTGCCGATAATGCTGACAGAGCCATCGATTGACCCCAGGAACAGGTTCTCCGAGCCAGCGCATACGCTCGAAATATCGTTGCTTTCGAATAGTTGGGCGGCCTCGGCTTCAGGCAGTGACACCCGAGAGACATCGAAGAAGTCAAACGACTTCCACTACGCAAAGTTAGCTGCTATGCAAATATGCTAGCAGTAATGGGTGGTATCTTGCGGCAAAATAACCTGCGCCCAGTGAGGCAACTTACCGAGATGGCCATTTTGTCGTTTGAATGGAATTTCGTTGCTAATGCCCGGAGGAAGGCTTGCAAACGCGCAATGACGATGGTGGGACAATGGTAGTCCCTGGGGTAGCTCCAGCTGGCTGTGGCGCTAAACTCCAGCCAGCTACTAGGTACCTCCAGGTACCTACTACCTACATGTAGGTACCTCTATAGTGGCTGGTGTGCTGTAGCCCAATATCTCACGTCTTGGCATTTAATACATTATTTGACTGGTCTTTACTCAAACGAGAGAGCGATCTCGCATCTCAAGAAAATATAAGTGCGTTCAAGCGTAACTATTCATTCATGCTTTAAGTAGCGGGTATCTTTCTAGGTTCCGTTCCTCGTCATCCGAGTACGGCCTTCCTGCTGGTCAATCACCAGTAATTCCATCTTCGCCTTCAGCTCGTCGCATGAACCAGTAAATGTCCTGCGTGTTCCATGCCACCTACCGCAGCCCGCTACTCATTCAACCTTGGAGCTGGTGCACCGACACTTGGCACCTCCATAGGACTGGCCAAAGGAGTGCCCGGGATGCCCATTCCTCCACCAATGCTGTCCGGCCGACCGTGGCCGAGGCGGCCGCTTCTCACACTAGCACCATCCCCTTGCTTTGTATATATGCTGTTTCGGTCGCTCGTAATAGCCGCGGCCCCCGTAGTCGAGTACATGCTGTTTCGTTCCGCTCCAAGTCGTGGTCCACTGGGGTGCACTACCGGAACCCCGCCCTCAACATTTGAGCTAAGAACGCTGAGCGGGAGGCTCTCACGGCTGCCTCCCCAAAGGGAAGACGGTGCTAACGCCCTCACGGATGCATCTGTGTCCATAGACCTACGCCTGCGTCGCTTGCTAGATGAAGCGAGGGTTAGGATAGAGGCGTTATCCGTCAGTAAGTTATTGGCGGTCGCTGTCGTATATGTCGTCGGATTGTTTGGTGGCGCCAGGTGCGCGGGTATCGCAGAGGCTGGAGACTGCGTAGCGAACGGCTGGGTGAACTGTATTGAATGACCATTTGAACCACTTGGGTGGCTCTGGGATGCTTGTGTGTTGTTGTTGGGCCCGACGGATTGTATTGTCGTCAAAGTCGTGGTCAAAGAGCGAACCGATGGAGCTGGGCTCGAAAACGTGCTGTCACCACCTCGCCTCGACTCGACAGTTCCTCCCATGGTCCGGCCAGTGCCTGTCAAGGAGCTGGCGCCATGACTGGGGGCATTAATCGACCGCGCAGTATCATTCTCGGTCGAACTTGTTCCAGCCATACTCCTTCCGCCAGCTGTTGGTGACACCAAGTCATCTACCGAATATCGACCAGAGTGGCCAGCCGTCGAAGTATCACCGGTTCGGTGCGTCGCGAACGAGTGTTCGCTGTGTCGATGCCTGTTGCCATGATTTTGGCTGACTGTGCCCGACTCAGGATACGGGTTATTCAGCTTGCCGCCTCGGCGGGGTTTAGCATGTCGCTTGCCTCTTTCGGAGTCTGACGAGTTCTTGAAGTTGGTGAGTTTCTTGACCCAGGTTGTAAATGGGCGACGTCGTTGCGGTTGACGAGCTACCGAGTGTAAGCAGGAGTGTTCCAGGAACACAAACGAGGGTGGAGGTTGTACCCTGATTTGCTGAGATCACATCCTCAGTGGTCATCATTCTGCCGTCTGCTCTCGCTGATTTCGCACTGTAGGAGAAGGAACTGCGATATATGGAGTACGTTCGAAAACTACCCTATATTTTGCCGATGCAGTAGGATGCTCGTTTGCCTCGTCGATAAGGTAGGTGGTTAGGCTGTCATGGGTCACAGCGCACTTTGATGACGCGGAAGAGATGGGGGAGGCAATAGTATCATCACGTGACTGCGTTGCTGCTCTAACGTCACAGCAATAATTCTGACTGACCCTCGCCAAAAGATGAACTAGGAAGAGGTTTAATAGAAGCCCTGACTGTACGTGCAGCTTTTTGTACGGCAACCCCCGCCTCGCCGATGTGCTATCGGCATCCTGCCATCTTCGAGCTACCCCAGTAGAAGTGGTGCTAGATTTAGTGGAGCCACAGCAAGGCACTCGCCGAGGCTTCTGGTTTCTTCATTCTTCATTCCCCTCAGCTTCACCATAATGTCGGTCCTCGTGTCATGTCTATCCGACGGCTTCCTGACGAAGTAACTGAAAAGATCACGTCATCATCGTCTATCGTCTCTCTTAACGCGGCTATCTGCGGGCTGGTCAAGAATTCTTTGGATGCTGGCGCTTGCAAAGTCAACATCGTCCTCGACTATGTTCGCGGGAATTGCACGGTAGAAGATGATGGCGAGGGCATCCCAGCTCAAGAATTCGGGCTAGGCAGAAGCCTAGCGAAACCGAACAGTAGGGCATACAAGTGACTTTTCTCTGTCCCATGCTCACCGGTATGAAATACAGGCACATCGCGATATCCTCATTCGTCGAGCTATCATGGCCGTTACGGGAATTTTCTTGCTTCTCTCGCAGCTCTGTCGTTGGTAATAATCACGTCAAATACCGAAGAGGAAAATTCGCCCAGCTCTGTAGCCATTCATCACGGGACTGCAACGGCAAGCGAGACTGATCTTTCTGCTCATCACCGCCATTCGTTCAGCCATGGCACACGTGTTGCTGTTTTCGACCTGTTTGGGTCAATGCCTGTAAGGGTAAAGCACCGTGCATCCGCATTTTCCACGCCCTCCTACCTCGAGAAAGAATTCAAGGCGCTCACGTACGACCTGACTGCTTTACTGCTAGCTTGGCCCACCAGTGTTTCTGTATTCTTGCGTGAAGCGGTGCAGAACTGTCAGCTTCGAATGAGAGGTCTTGATGGGCTGAGCATAGACCAGCGGACATCTCGTCTCCTGGTGCAAGCAGGGTTGGCAGACTTTAATGAAGCCAATTCATGGGTACCAGTGGTCGCATCTAACGGCAGCGCCTCCGTCGAGGGATGTATCAACACAACTCCTATCGCAACCCGGAAGTCGCAGTTCATCAGCCTCGGAATACACACGATGGAGCGGTATTCAAGCGGGAACGTTCTTTTCGAAGAGGTCAATGAAATATTCACCTCGTCAAGCTTTGGCGTAATTGAGGATTCGGAATTGGACGAAACCTCTATGGAGAGTCCTCTCCCTACATTCTGGAAGCCCCGGAAAGGGTTGGAACGGTGGCCCATGTTTTACTTAAGATTTAAAATTGATTCGGTGGTGACAGAAGATGCCCTTCAACCGCGTAGCTCAACCTTGGCAGTTGTCATTAGCCTCCTGCGCGCCGTTTGCTACGCTTTCCTAAGAAGACACAAAATGAGACCGCGAAAATTGCTGCATACTCGTCAAAAGTCCTCTTTGACAGAAGGCGGAAATCGAACATTGCCATTTCAGAACAACCACACCAACACTTCCGCGCTGGGTATTTTAGAAAAGTCTTCGGGTCTCTCCGATAATTGGCGTCGAATCAAGGTTGGCCATCGTGCGGGCATGGCTGTACCACAGTCCAGCAGCAAATATTCACAATTGGTTGGCTCTGGCGGTCAGCTTTTACGGGTGCCGTTTGTGGACGGAAGTCATAATGAGGCTTGCGCCGGAACTCTGTGTATTGACGCGGACAGCCATACTTTACGAGATTATCCGACGAGGCCCTTTGAAACCTTTGAGACACGTTGCCCTGAGGGCAATGAACAGTGGCTCGAGAAGCTGGTTCAAAATTGGAAAAATCCAGTATTTGATACAGTCGAACCTGCCGTGTATCAATTGTCTACTGACTTGGGTGATTTTTCCAACGGGGGGGACTGTCACTCTGCCTCGACCAATATCAGCGGATCATTATCAAGAAGTTCTTTGGCAAAGGCCAAGATTATCGCTCAGGTGGATAGCAAGTTTGTATTGATCAAAGTACCTCTTCCATCTCCCGTTACCAGTGACGTATTCAGCACCGATCCAGCCCGCTTTGCTCTATTTGCCGTCGATCAACACGCAGCAGATGAACGATGCCGATTGGAAGAGCTCATGACAAGCTACTTTCAGCAAGCAGAGGGCACAATCAAGCCAGTGGTTGAGCCCCTCGATCAATCTCTCTCTTTCGACATGTCAAGAAAAGAACTCGACATGTTTGCCAAGTGGAAGTCGTTTTGGGAGGGATGGGGGATTCGGTATCAGCTCCTGGATGGCAAACTCGTTGGGCAATGCGCAGAGCCCCCAGCAAGGCTCATAGTTACAGGCTTGCCGCCAAGCATTCTCGAGCGGTGTCGGGGAGAGCCGCGGGTGTTGCTCGACCTCTTACGCAAAGAGACGTGGAATGCGGAAGAGAACTCCAGCGCAGAGTCTACAAGAACACGGCCAAACTCAAACTTTCAAGCATGTCCGCGCGGCATACTCGAGCTTCTTCACTCGAGAGCATGCCGAAGTAGGATGACCCCCTGGCCAACAAGTATTTATACAAGATTACTGACTTGTGTTGTGTGCAGGCGCAATCATGTTCAATGACGAGCTGACCTTGTCAGAGTGCACTTCTCTCATTCGACGGCTTGCCCAGTGCTCGCTACCCTTCCAGTGCGCCCACGGCCGACCGAGCATGGCGCCTCTGGTGGGCTTGGGCGGCAGAACAGACAATGCACTTCGTACTTTACCAGGCATTGCCTTTCGAGATAGCACGGCAGTACCTGTGATGCCCAATGCAGGGTCTTGGGCCACGTGGATGCGCTGATTATGGCGGCAACCGAGGATATATTGGTAGCGCTTGGTATCCATGCCCATATATGTCAAATTTACATTTTGTTCAGACCCCCTCGTACTTGTATACAGAATTATTTGTCATGACAAATTCAGCCCTTGAGATCTCCCTCTGCAGGCCTTAGAATTTCGGCTCGACGGAAGTATTTCCGTTGCACTACTTGTTCTTACACGGTCCTCCCTCCACCGCGTGTACACATTTTCGAGGGCCGCTCAGAAGCGACCTTGGTGCAAAAGCTGCTGTTTCTTTTGTGATGCCCCTGCATCCTTTGCGCGACCGCGCTGCTCGGGATCTTCGATGACCCATTGTTTCAGATCATGATCCCACTGGTGACTATAGCTCCCATCTATTAGCATCTATTCAAGAAAGCCACACGGACCGAGAGTGTGTACGTACGACTGAAACGTCTCTTTCGTCATTGACCTCTGTGAGTATTCATCGCTCAGAATCTTTTCCACATTGTAGGGTATTCTCGCAGGTACGCCCTCAAACTCAGACACGCGAAGCGGCCAGAGATCGTGTGCCTTGTATTGGTGCCCATTCTTGCAGGACCATTCACCAGGCCTCCGCTCAGGAGCGCGCTCGCGGAGAACGGTAATGTCGACAAACATGCCGTGATCCGTGTCAATCCAGCGACCGTCAATCATGTTGTAACCGCCCCTCGAGTCGACGTTTGTGTAGTGCGGGTTGATATCGAGCAGGTACGTGCGAGTGCGCGGACTGTTCGCAGCACCAGTGGTAGTACCGGCGATGGCTGACCCAGCATCCTTGCCAAAGGTCACTGTGTGCTCGGTGCCATTGAAGCCGTTCGCCAGCCACGCCATCGTCGCGTTGGAAACTTGCACGTCGAGATCGTAGTCCCACGGCATGATGTGCGCATTCCACCACCAGCCGAGCAGAGTACCATGCGCAAGCCAGGTCTCGACCCCCATGGCCTGCATGGTTTGCAGATAGCTGCGAATAAGATCGCGCAGTATGATTTGGCGTTCATCGTAGGCGGCTTCCCCTTTAAAATAACGAAGATCGTAGTGCATCCGCGCCAGAGAGCCGCCCGGCTCCTGAAAGTATTTGTACGAGACGGGTGCGGCGGCGGGCGGCTCCCAGGGCTGCGATAAGACGGAAGCGGCGCCGGCTGCGAAAAGCAGCAATGTGACCAAACGTAATCGGCTGGCAATAGTCATTGTGGAAAAGGGCGGCTCTGAAATTTGGTGGCGATCTTTGCCTCGGGATGTCGCGCTGAACTAGTGTACGATACGACACTAATCAAGTGAAATTCTGTGTGGATGAATCGCGAACTGGGGTCACTTTGCTGGGATCCAAGACATCACCCATGCCCTGATCACGTCCGTCATGCACTTTGATGTCGCACGGAATAGAAAATCGTGGGGGCTAGACGAGATAGTTATAATAAGAACTAATAGGCCGCGTGTCGCAAGTCCCGTTTTAACTTGAACTGTCTCGCTGCTGTCACGCGTGGCTCCACTGGGCGTCGTCATCACAGCGCGGGAGATCGCCCGAGCGAGTCTCTTGGTCTCCTAATAGATGGTAACTGAACGCGCAATGCGAATGGATTGGTGGCGTTCGCTGGTATGGTTGACATAGCGGCCTGGGAGCGAATCGGAACAGCCTCGCCGGGAATTTGGCTGAGACGAAGAAAGGAGTGTCAGCAATCTGAACACTTCCCTTTAGGCCTGCTTCATATTCAACTTCGTCATCAAGTTCGTGAAAGCGCCCCAGAGTCGTCAACAAAAAGAAAACTCCCCATTATATTTCTCCACAACCTTGGCAACACCATGAGACAGGTCAACGATAAGGTCCGCATACTCAATGGTTTCTAGTCGGTGCGCAATCATCAGAATAGTGCAGTCTGCAAATACCACGTGACTGGCAACGAGTGTCTGGGATTCAAAATGCGTTTCTGGCTACGATGAGAGCGTCTCAGAATCCTCTTCTTTGGCCAAGATCCAACGTGAAAAAGAAGCATTGATCCACCATCGCTCGGGAAGATCCCTTTGACCTGGACCCGGCGGTTGTATGTGCTTCGTAGATGGTTTGGCGCTCCAGGCCCAAGAGCTATCAGGGAAGTATTGGAACAATCCCGCATTGAATCATAATGAGAAACCGGCTACCAGGGTCTTTGGGCGTCTTGCTGTCAGTGACGATTGACTCCAAAGCTCTACACAGCCTGATGTGCTCTGCTTAGTCCCAGTTGGCAGCGGGAGCGCCAGGACGAGGACGCGAGACCTAGGAAATTGCTGGCGAACAGCACCTAATTTAGCGCGTCAGCGCAGCATCTTTTGTACGACGAATCTAGGGTGGCGTCCTGTAGCTTCTCCATTTCTTTTTTCCCGGCGGGATTAGCAGCGCGTACACGCTCAGCCACCATATGACACTGGCGGTTGCCATATCTCACGCCGCGGCTGGAGTTGTTCGTACTCCGGTCGCGCCCCGGACCGTAGAAACTAAGGAACGTTAGTTGCCAGGGGACTAAATAACGATTCTAGCTCTATATAATCGACAACAACGAAATAGAAAAAGTACTTGAGTAAATGGAAAAGAACAAACGGAATCGAGTAGGACGAAACATGACGATCTTTCTTAGCAGTTCTTCTCTGCCATATTCCCCCTTCATAGTTGCCATGGGCGTAGTTGAGCTTTGGTTGGTGTGCCAAGGCCAGAGTCATAACCCTGGCGAGCGAAATGCTCAACTGCCGTTGGGCTTGCATTTGATTCAATGCCCGTGCCGAACACCTGATCGAGAGAGGTGTTTGGCGATTCTGAACGATTGTTGGTTTCACCGAGATTCGAGCTCTGCCACAGTGGGGGACGCTTCTTTGGCTGCCTTTCCCAAGACACTGGGGCCAGACGTTTGCTACTGGAGCCAGACGCCTCCACTCCTATTGGACCATATGATGCTGGTTCGAGTAGACCTGCTACCTGTAGCACTGTCTCCATGTTTGAGGCCGGCTGATCCGAGCAAGCTCCAGAGGACGGCCACCTTTCCGTAGGACAAGTCCACTCATACGGCGCGTGCTCACAAGGTGCTGACTGTGGTCGAGTTCTCTCATACTGCCAATCCGGTGATGATTCGTCCGATGTTGGTTCGTACAGCGCCGACTGTGGTGGTGCTGGATCTTGCCTAGAGTCGAGCTGATCCATCCAAGTTGTAGAGACCGACTGCTCGTTGCCCCGGTCACATGGAGTTGTTCCCGAATCCATATGCATGGAATAACAGGATGCATTGGAGTTATCAACAGTCGGCCAAGATGATGACGATGCTGGATACTGAGAGAGGACTGGTATCATGGTTGGCGTCTGCGGTAGCGGTGGTGGAGGCATCGCCAGTGAGTCCTCTCTGTCTTTCATGGCTCTGAAAGAGTCCCTTCCTTGCCAAGTTCTATGCATGGCCATTCCCGCAGCCGCCACGACCTGATGACCACGTATGATCAGGGGCTCACTCCCTCTCGGCGATCTTGGTCTTGAGCCTCCAGATGAGCTTCCGGATGAGCTTCCGGAGTTCTCGTCGTGCGAGTCAGAAGCAGTCGAGTTCGATGCAGACGTGTCAGAATGAGAAGCCCATGTGGTTCCGCTGTTGCTCGCCACTCCTGCTCCCGGAAAATAAAGCGATGTCTGGTTGGTGTTCTGACTGGCCTGTTGTGCTTCCTGCGCTTGCTGAGCTGCCTGCACTTCCTGGGACGGTCCTAATTCATAGGCAACAGGATCGTCAAACGGAGTTGGTGCAATCTCCACGACAGCCAAATCCGGAATAGGTTCTAGATTTTCCACTCGAGACGGGAAGCTGTTGCTAGCAGGACTTTTCAGAAAGTCGTGTTCAATGTACCATTCCTTGCGACTTTTTAGTTTACTCGTGGCGAACTTCCAGGTGCAGAAGTCAAACTTCCAAGTGGCCGCGGCCAAGGTCGTGTTGTAGCTTGCCGGCTCGAAGGATTTGAAAGTATCGAGCCCTAAAGTCGCCATCGTATGGCTGTATTGTGTGTTGAGAGGGTTGCACTCGGACCGAAACAGCTGAGCGCCGAAATGAACGCGCGCGTGTTCGATGAGAAGCGTACCAACCTCCACCGACATGGCATCGGATACGCTTGGAGTGATGAACTGAAAGCTAAAGTCTACCATGCGGCATTCCGTATCATCGAGATGGGGGTCTTCAAAGAAAGCACGCGGGCTTGTGCGTGAGACAATGTTGTAGGAAGCGATCCCGTAAAACGGGCCATCAGCTTCGTGGCCTTTTATAGCAAAAGCATAGCCCCTGCCGTGGCTTGATTCAGCGGCCAGGTGTTGGATCCTCGAGGTAATAGGCAGCTTTGTCTGCCTTTCAGGGCCTGTGCGAGGTGTTAATAAGCCCAGATTCGATTTTCCAGACAAGAGCTTGGTATGGTCTGATTCCATGACTTCTCCGTACCAAGATGAGTGGCTGGGTTCGAGGGCGCAGATTTCGATGTGCTCGCCTTGCATTTGGATATGTCGGAAGTAAGGGGCGATATCTGCATTATCTGCACCACTTGGGTAGTCCGCGTTGTGGATTGTGAGGTATTCATCGGCCTTACCGAACCTGATCGTACTGACATCCCAAGGTATAGTGGTCCCAACAGGGTCAGGATCGTTGGCCGCGATCCGAGCCTCAACGCTCGTTGCAAATCTCCGCCCATCAAGCCTCGCAGACTCTACTCTCGACCAGTTGATCAATCTGGCCAGTCTCGCTGTTCTGGTGTATTGGCCCCGGTCAAGGTCAGCTTGGGCTCTACCGATATTGCGAACTCCATCCCTGATCCTTCGCCCGAGTTCAAGCTGCTCACTGGGGGAGGCATCACAGACCAAGTTTCGCAAACGATTGATCTCGCGTTGATATATCTGCAACGCGGTCATTTCCTTCCTCTCGTCTCTTTCTGCGGCGACAATCGAAGTGGCGATGGCAGAAGCTATACGAGGCTCCTCAATACCAAGCTCTTTTCGGCACCGGCGTAAGGCATATTCTTTCGATCGATGCTCCCTCTCATCTTCTTCGCGTCGTCTTCGTAAAGCCTCCTGTCGCATACTTTCACAGCTGGCCCATTGTTGTTCTGTCACACCGGACATGTTGTGTGGGGGTACTGCGTCACTTCAGAGATGGTGTGTCCATACCGAAAGTAAGAATGATGGAGGGAAATTTGAAGAGTTGAGGCCAAGCTATGGTAGGGAGCCGGCGTAATAACCGAACGACAGCAAATTACGACAGGTCACTACTCGAAGCAGGTCTCACGATAAGGAAGGAAACGCCGGAGTTGAGGGGCCGGTTGGTCAGGCTGCTTGAATGGTCGCCACTGGTGGTACTGGTATGTAGTAATGCTCAAAACTCTCTCGGTTGGTCGAGGCACAGAGTACTGGGGTAGGTGAGAGCTGAAGATTGCATACGTTCCGGCAAAGCGTCAATGCTTTGGCAAGAGAATGTGGCGAATATCGAGCTTCGCAGATTTACGGGCATCGGTTGGGCTCTTTCACTCGTGTGACCACCGACTTTCTCTCGGCTGCGGCGCAACGCTGGACGTACCAGTAGCGCTTTCTCTCGGCTGCGGCGCAACGCTGGACGTACCAGTAGCGCAATGGCAATCCGTCGAGTGCCAACATTGACGTCAGAGGTCTTGACTCATCCATGATAAGGGCCACGAAAGTTAGCCCCGGTGCTCATTTGATCATATTTTGCACGATGCAAACGCTCCGCCATAGCGACAAAGGTTGGGTGGACACCACCCCCTCCTCCTGTTCCCTTTCCGGGCACAATGGCCGGGGAGTTGTAATCATATGCACGTACTCTATACCGGTGCAGCAGTTATGCAGTTGGCTCGACGTTGTCAAAGGTCCTGTCCACCCAATATGGTCCAGCGTCTGCTCCGTAACGGCTCGGGCAACATGTGGTCGTTGGCCAGTTCGCTAAGATTGCAGGGGAGTCGGATAAGTACTCAACCTGACAAGGCTGAGACTCTGCATGTTGACAAGTCGAGACGTCCATCCCCACCAGTGAGAAAGGTGCCTGCAAATGGATGGTTTGTATGGTGGTGTGGAAGCAAGATGGACACGATGGGCGCTAGCCAGTTGTGAGGTAAGTAATTTGTACGGTTGGTAAGATCAAGTGTTCGGGCGCTAAACATTGATGTGACGGCGTTTTCAGCAGCCAGCTGTCATGTTCGGTCTTCCATGCATTCTGCGTGTGTGTCGAAACTGAGCCTCTGTCTTGTCTTGCAATTGATAATCAGCCTTGTTGTCCTCGTCCATGTCTAAAGGCTGCTCGACTTCGTTTGCCCGGATCTCATGGCGGACGCCCGGCCGAACGATTCTCCTCCACCGCCCCACAGGCTGACTGTTTTGCCCTGCTCCGTTGCTCCCACTGCGTCAAGCCTCTTTACAAATCAGCCCACACACCCTGTTGGATCCTGGATTTGCTAATTATAACTGACACTTTCTCCTGTGCCTTGCCCTGCTCTACCAACAACCCCATCACATCACAACCCGGTTCGTGTCTTTTGTGCAGGCACATGCAGAAAGCACCAGGTCAACCCACACACACAATCTCAAGTCACCAATCATCACCTGCGTGCAACCGCGGAGAAGCATCGCGGAGAACGGAGGCTCAGCCACTCTTATTTCACATCATGGCCGACCAACCGCCGTCAGAGTCACCCGCTGCCTCCGTTGCCGCGAGCCAGAGCGATGGCAAGCAACATCTGCTGGTCGCTGCAAGCGGCTCTGTGGCTACCATCAAGCTCCCAGAAATCATCTCTGCTCTTTCCTCCAGACAGAGGCTTTCCATCCGAATTATTCTCACAAAATCCGCTACTCATTTCCTTGCTGGCCAAGCCACCGAGCAGCCCAGCCTAGAATCGTTATCCCGCTTACCTAATGTCGACGGCCTCTACATAGATGAGGATGAGTGGACTAGCCCCGGATGGACCAGAGGTGCCAGCATACTGCATATTGAGCTACGCCGTTGGGCAGATGTGCTGTTTGTCGTGCCCCTCTCGGCCAATCTCCTAGCCCGCATTGCTGCCGGCATGTGTGATGACCTCCTCTCCAGCGTCATCCGCGCCTGGGATACTCGTCGCGCTGCCATCGTCGTAGCGCCTTCCATGAATACACTGATGTGGGAGCATCCGCTAACAGAGCAGCACTTGTCTATGTTACGGTCTTGGCCATGGTTTCACATTTTACTACCACAACCAAAGGCCCTTGCCTGCGGGGACGTTGGACAGGGCGCAATGCGTGAATGGCAAGAGATTGTGGTCGATGTCAAGCAAAGGCTTGACGATCTTGACACTTGATGGGCCAGTAGAAAGCCTTGTCAAGGAAATTTCCCCAAACTTATCATGCAACTCTGTGTATTTTATTAAATTTGACATCTACTAGACGTTGCTGTGGTGACTCTATTTGAAGCCATGCTATTTGAAGCCAGGCTCTGCAACAAGTCAAGTTCCCAAGTGGAATATTGTAGTCTCAGCAAGTACCGTCCTGGCCTCCTGTTTTAATTCCTCATAAACAGTATCTCGATCAAGTGCGCTTTCACACAATACTGCCTCTTTCTCACCACAGCGATACGTAACCTGATACTTTATGTGGCCCTGGTCCCGTCGGGCTGAACGGACGAATAGCACAAACAAACTTGTCAAGTCATTCTCCTACTCAGTTGTTAAATATAATCCCTTGTTCCCGTAAGATAGGTGATACGAATATCCCCTAATTGGAGCCCCCATGCCTCTTCACGAACGATTGATGCGGAGTCCTACACTGGCGTCACGACATCGACATCGACGACAACCCGTGTGAAGGCCTCTACGGTAGTATAAATTTCTCCCCTCGGTACGCGCCAGCTAACTACTTTTGAAGCAATCATATATATGAAGGATTCACAATTCCAAGTGGTTTTCTCCTTTGGTCTACTTCCCTGTGCCCTTTCTACGCCGCATTTCCTCGAACATCATAAACGAAGCCCTCCCCCTCCAAGAATGAGGCGGCGCCAAAGTGTATCATGAATCAATGATTGGAGACTCGAGACATTGAAATAGGATATTCATTCCGAGCCTTTGTCGATGCACTTCTTCTCTTCCGTCAAGGAGCTGTAGTTTGGTCATCGCTCGCTTCGTTCGGTAAATCTCAGTCAGTTGCGTGCATTCCGCAACCCTTGAAGAGGGATCATAGGGTAACTCTATAATTTATCCTCGCATATTGATTAGACTTCTCCGACAAGTTGCGCGCTGAATGGCTGAGAGCCGAGCAGTGTGGCATGCTCGATATTTCCAACCGCTCACTTACCACAATCGCATCATTCTGCAGTCAGGACAAACTTTATCATCTAGCTAATAACCGACTAAAGAGACTTTTTATTGAGAGTGCAATATGTAGTTCCTAATGAATATAATCAGGGACCGCACTCAGCGGACGGTTGCGGGACCTTTGAGATCTCAAACATTGTCACCGAGGTTGTTCACATTTGTTTCATTTGAGGATTATCCTTGACGGCGATGGACGTTCTGGTGCCGGAGGGCACGGGGGTTGGCAAGATATGTTTGCATTGCTGCTCCAGCACAAGAGCAAAGCCTTGCGAGCTGCAAGATGGAACAGTACACCATCGTTGGCGTCAACTAATGTAGAACTATTAACCTCAGTGTAATTAGAAGTGAGTTTCAGAACTGTATTTGGGGGATTCAAAAGACGGTGATGCACGCTGCCAGGATTTTTGCTGTCGAATGCGACAGTCATGGCGCTGGCAACAGACTCAGGAATCCTCCAATTAAAATTCGTCCAACTCGCGGGCGTAGTAGGAAGGCACCAAACTTGGAAATTTATTAACAATCAAGTAACGACCCGTTACTACAACCTTCAGTTCAAGTCCTGTTGGGTATCGGAACTTATATTCGCAGTGTCCTTACCACGTGCTTTAATAGTCATACAAGTCTGAGGAGAGCTCAAATAGACACGTGCATGTTCTCAACATTCTCTTCCGACAGATGCACCTGCATCACTGAAGTTAATGATGGGGCTGCCATTTGCGAATGGTTGTCAGATAGCAAAATCCTCAAGCACGTGTTCCTACCCGTTCCTTTGCGACGCCGAGCGGATGTAGCTCGGTGGCTGTACTGGTAAGCCTACTTGCTAATTTGGGATAGAGCGGAAGCCGCTGTGGATTGTTTGTGGTTTTGGTGGATTATTAGCGGTCTCTTCTGGATCCGTACTACATGTCCGTACAATCCTTTCGCTAGATTCTACAGCGATGGACTTATTTATTAGCTCTTGGGGGTGCGAATGGTCCGCGGCCTTGGCACCGTACGTTAGTTATCTAACGAATTAGTTAGCAGCTCACCGTTTGACTGACTTATCTTGTTCCACAGCTATATTGGTCAGCCTCGACTCTTGAGGCTGGTGTTTGTCTTTCGCGCAGTTCGGTCGCCTATTTTGGTCGTCATGCCGCCATGTGCCTGACAGCACGAATTTACCGGCTCGTGCCTCCGCGGTGTCAAGAATTCTCATTTAATGTCCTTCTAGCATAGCAAGGCTACTTATGGCTGGAGCTAGGGCCATCTCCACAAACGTCCTCCCCAGACCTTTAGTTCGCCTCATATATAAGTTATTTATCACTAGTTAAGCCGCCCCTGTTAGGTGGTCGAGCGTAGCACAAGAGCGATCGCGTTGCACCGGCTCAGGGCTGGTAGCGATGGTTCGCCATTGTAACATCGTTGATTTCCCCGCCACATCTTGCAGCATTGGCGGCGCTTCTTGAAGGTCCATCTACGAGGCAATTCCAGGTTTCCTCTAGTTAGAAATGAAGAACGGCCGAGGCAGCCCCCGCTGACGCAAGCTGCTCGGCGGCCACAAACGCCCCCCGTTGGTAGTTTGCATTGGTGGCGGCGATTGGGCTTGGGGTAAATAGGAACGGAAGGCGACGCCCCGTGCAGTGGCCTGGTGGGACAATTACATCTTGCATTGCGCCGTACAAATGAAGTGTGAGTGAGCCACAGTACTTTTGAGTGAGGTCGTGCATTTGGCCGGCAAGGTGCAGGAGGTCCAGGCCCGTCGCCGACACACCACCAACCGAACCTGTTTACTCTCTATTATTGTCTGAGCCTCGCCTTCTCATCAATACGAGGCGATGAACAATTGGCAATACATATGTGGTCTTGTCCTCCATCGCTTGCAAGTGGCTCACAGATTTGAACTGTCACTCGGACCAAAGACCAAGCCACTACCCGTATACGAACAGCCCCAGCCTCTGACTACGGGGCCACCGGAAAGTGAAATCAGAACTTGGACGCCACCTGAGAAGCCTGCAGAACTTGTCTCTGACACTTTTGGCCAACCTGCCAAGACAGGAACCCTTGCGGAACTAGGCTTGAAGAGCATGGTGCCCGCTCCAGCTGACCCGCCCAATTCAGGCCCCAGACCATGCCGATGCCGCGACGGCTGGAAACTTTTACCCAATCGCAAATCCACCTGCCTCATGTGGGAAGTCGAACTTCTGATAGGCGGGCAAGACTGTTAGACGGACGCATTGATTTGTCTAGTCCCGAACAAACAATGGGCGTGGGGAGGAAAAGTCGCGAGGCCGACCCGCTCAGCTGTCCACAACTTGACCGAGCCATTAACTAACTCACGCAGCCCAGCAACTCGGGCCATGCACCTTGCCGTCCTGGGGAGTTGGCCTGCATGAGTATCGCCGCTGATGGGTAGTATATAGGTAGCCAAGTCGCTGTGCTGCGGGCTCAGCCGTCTCCCCTCTGCTTCCTCCCCAACCCCATCACATACTCAATTGATTTCAGGCTCGTTCGATTCTTGTCTCACCACCCGTCAAAATGAAGTCTTTCGCTGTCATCTCTACTCTCATCGCCGCCGTCGCTGCCGCCTGCGGTGGTGACAACTGCGCCCGTCAGGTCACTGGTACCCGCGATGGCGTTTCCGCCGTCACCTCCCGCAAGGCCGACTGCTCTAGCTTCCTGCTGACCACCATTGTCCCCGATGCTACGTAAGTCTCCCGTCCTTGTGCACTGCGAATGCTGTCTGTATAGCCCGTACTCATTGTATCCCCAGCACCACCACCATTACCGTCACCGTCGACCCCGATGAGCCGACCAAGGCCAAGCGCTTCAACCACGAGGTCCGCGCCGCTACCCAGGTCCCTACTGCCATTCCCGCCTACGCCTCTGGTTGCGACAGCGCGGCTCGCTACTCGTCCGCTTGCGCCTGCTGGGGTATTACCGCCAGCGCTACCACCGCTAGCCAGCCCACCAAGACTGTCACTGTCACCGTTACCAGCGACTACTGCGAGGATCTGTAAATGTCATGCTAGCAGTTGTCAATGCTTGGGGTCGTCGGGTCTGCGAGGGGATCTCCGCCCGCCCATCGGCGTAAAAGGTCGACGGACTGTACAGAAATTATACATGTTACAACGAACAGCATATATCCGCGGTATATGAAAACACCAAGCCGGCAAGCACCAGTGGACAGTGCTGGACTCGCTTGGTCGATGTAAATAGACAATATACGGAATAATGATAAAATCCAAGTTCTATACATATGAGTGTGTGCATATGCATATGTGTATATCTCATGCATGTGTGACTGCGTGTCTGTATCGCACTGTTTGTTAGTGGTGTACTCGGGTTTTTATGCATTCATATTGCATTGAATAGACAAGTCGGCAGGTTCTTGACCATGACAGATCTGCAATCTCAATGGGCAGCGACGATCACTGATTCACTATGTTCACAACAGGAAATATGAGACAGTGATCCGGGCCACCGGGTTGCACTTCTCTATTCCGTACCTAACTAGCGATCAGACGGAACGCCGCTGATCATCAGAGATTGCAAACTTTGGAGCAGTGGAAGTAGACTTTCCTACGAAGTACATGGCACTACAGCCACGCAACATGTATAGTGATTCGAAGTTTTGCAAAAGTTAACCACGAATCTTTCGTCTCGGCCATTTTCGCTGACACATATGTACCTCTATAACGGCAGCCTCTTGGAGGCTAACTAGTGTCAGGGCAAGCTCCTAGGTCAAAAGCCACTGGAGAATAAAGTTCCAGCTAAGATCGTTACCAGCGCCTACCTCTAACTACCTACAATGGGGTGAAGATGTAGGCCCGAGGCACAACAACTCCTATCTGTATTTATATGTCCTCCACATGTAACTACAGGTGAAGGACCCGGTTTCGCGACGCTATCGAGCGGATTCTTCCCATCGTCAATACAGTCCGTGGACAAGTCGGCAGCAATGACATATGCAAAAGTATCCTCGAGTGTCGTGGCAGTTGCTTGAAAATAGCTTACCGACGACGCTTGGCAAACTTGTCCTTCTATTAGATGCCGGAGTACCTACTGAGGGTAACGAGGGAAATGACCATCATGAAGTAAAGTTGCAACTATCCCGTGGTCCGTAGTGCTAGTGGACTTTCGACAAGCCGCCATTTTCTGGGAAGCCCCACACGCATAGTTCGGCAAAAAAAGGTTCCGCAGCATTCCAACTGCCTTCATCAACGGCAGAGGCCCGCCAACACACGGCGGCGCGTAGAGATAACCTTTGCACAAACGACAAACATTAAAGCCCAAGACCGTGGAATTTATTTCGACCCGAGCCGCCCTGTTGGCGTTTGGCGTTTGGCGGCTCGCCGGCTGTGCATCCGTTTCGTGGCCAGGGCTCATCACCGCTGTATTGGCGGGGCAACACCAGAGATAAACAAAGGCACCCTGTATCAACACCGCCAGGTCAACCAGGCCAGCGAACCCAGTCTCATTTCACATTGCTCAATTTATCATCTTGGCCCTGACTCCCCTAATTTCCTACTGCAAAGTAGTCCTCGAACAGACTACTTTCCCTAGACTCGGTATTTAATGCCGATGCCTAGACGACGAAACAGGAACGACGAACTCAATTTCGAGATACACGTTGACGATTCTTGCCTGTCCGAATTAGCTATCGAGGGGCTGAGCCCATTGGATACTACGGTACCCCGAGATACGACCATGACGACACCAAGTGCCACCAGCGACTTCAATGCCAACTCCGAAGGCTCAGATGCAACGACCCTCGAAAATGTCGACGTGGAGGGTAACAATCTTACCAGTAGACGAGACTCCGACCTGTCCAATGCGTCCTATGAGAGCGATAGACGCCCAGCAAGCCAGCCAGGGTCTGACTGCAATCGGTCAGCACGCAATTCCTACGCCAGCGTCTCCGACGACAGACAGTCGGTGAGGGGCTCTGAACAGGCTGGAGGTAGAGTTTCCGCCGGCGAAAGCAGCTCACAGCATGAGCAGGACGACGATGTGTTCAGCAGTCATAGCCCAAGTAGTTCGACAGGTTCCAATATCGAGGCGGATCACCTGAAGCAGTCCGACGTCGATTCTCGAAGATTGACCGGCGGGTCAAGAATCTCTGATATGCAGCCATACGACCCAAACGAAGAATTTATACCGACAGTCAGAGAGACTCCACGACCACCATTTCGATCGCCGTCCTCGGTCAAAGCCATGCAATTGAACTCTCCGCCACCTTCCGTTACTGGCTCGACTCGCTCAAAGCGCAGAGCCACACGATCAAGCGTTTCGCGGATAGGATCGCCTGCCATCTCCACGCAATTCTCCCCCAAGAAGACACCCCCACGATTCAAGAGGAACACCCCGCCCCTAGTTCTACTACATGTCACCTTGCTGCCCCTAAGGTGGCCTTGGGGTGATCTGCTGGATAATGCGCGGCCAAGCGAGCTCAGTGACGCTGGAAAAAATCTGCGTGAGGCATGGAAACAGCTGCAAGCTCGAGTCGGAGATACGATCTCTGACCGAGGCATCTTGCTGCCACATCCTCAAAACGACTTTGAAATCCTGGAGGAGCGGCTCCTCGAGGCCTTGGAGCTGCCGCTTCGACGTCGTGCCCGCATTCTTGAATGCGGACACTATCTTGGACCCGCCAACGAGCTAGCAATGCCAGAGGATGAAATTCCCAGCGACGATGAAGGGTTTGAAGAACGCACCCATGCACCAGAGGAGCGTCACTGGTGCTCAACCTGCGAATCAGATATTCGATATGATTCTCTAGGAGAGGGAAAGCTCTTTCGAACCAAGGTTTACGCCAGCAATGGCCTTATGAGGGCCGGTGCCTGGGACGCTTGCTGGAAGGAAATGGAGCGAGTGGATGTTGAGTTGGAGCCCATTACTGATCCCTCCGTTGTGAATGAGCTCGAACGCATCGCAGCTACGCAGGAGCGTGAGGCCATAGAAGCCGAAATCGCGGCCTCGACTCACATGGCCCGAGATGCGCCCGAAGATGTTTTCGATACACCTCCCGCTCACGAGGACGCTTTCGACCCTCCCCCCGCTCATGACGGTGGGCGAGAGCTGTACGAAGAGAGGATGCGTGAGATATACGGCCAACCGGAAAGTGGCGAAACGGTCGCAGAAGAAACCGAGGAAGAGATCCCAGAGGATCTGAAAGCCTCTCCTCGGTCGTGGCCCGATACCTCGGCGGTACATGCGCGGAGCGGAGCTTGGGCCGAAGCTTTTAGATATGGACCCCGCGATGCTGTCCAGCTGATGCTGTTCATTCTCTGTGTACTTCTCCTTCAGTACCTGGGGATTGGATTTGACAGAACAGGAAAATCCGACTCTAGGAATCTTGAGGATTCAGTACCGGTACCTGTCGTGGTGTCTCAAGAAGCCTCGGGCACCGAAATACCCTTTCAAGAGTCGAGCTCTGGATATACCAGTACCTCGTTGCCGAACAGTATTCAAGAGTCTTATGCGGCCTGCGCGTCTGCACTTGAAGCTGCAGAGGCGTCTTTGGCGCTGGCCGTGACAACACCAACCGTCACAGTGACGGAAACCGTCTCCGTGTCTGTGGTGGAGACACGCGTTGCATACATAGAGCCGCGCCTGAACGACCAGTTGATGTCAGAGGTCAATGATGTCAACGATGTCAACGATGTCAACGATGTCAACGATGTCAACGATGTCAACGATGTCAACGATGTCAAAGATG